GACTGACGGACGGACGGACAACTGCTCGGCCTATTCCACCGTGGCTCCGACTTCGACTGTGTGGCCAAGTTTGCTTTAAAGATTCTGCAGCTTCATAAACAAAGCGCACAGCAACAAAAAGCAAAAACAAAAAAGAAAGAAATATACAACAACAACAACAACAAAACATTATCCGAATTGATTTTGGAATTTTCTATTATGCAAATAGGCATATAGTAGTAGTGTGTCTTATGCATATGCATAGATGGTACAGTCAATACTGGCATTAGATGTTCAGTCGAACTGTGGCCTCAATTTCTGGAACACCATTGTTTTCAATGATATCTCCAGCAATATCGAATAAAAGTCTTCATTACATTTGGATTAACACCTGAGAATTTCAAAAATTGTTACTCAAAGTAATACTAAAATGTTTTTCCAGTTTTTCCTTTTGATTTTTGATGTACCTGTGCATATAAATAGTATTCAATTTATAAATAATAAAAAACTTGTACAGAGTTAATTTAGCCCGCTCTACGCTGTCAATTGTTGTTTAACTTTTTCCATTTCTCCAATTCGTTCAATTGAGTGAAAAAGCCAAGCCACCTGTACTTTTAACATTAAAATATCTTAACCTCACTTTTAAGTACATATTGTTTTAATAAAAGTGCATACATTTAAATTTAAATTGAAAAAATAAATAAATACATATGTCCCACATATCAAATAAAATATTTAACATTTTAAGCCACCTGTACTTTTAACATTAAAATATCTTTAACTCACCTTTAAATACATATTTAAAGTGAATTTAAATTTAAAAAAAAAAAACAACTAAAATATTTAAAATTGTAAGCCACCTGTACTTTTAACATTGAAATATCCGTACCTCACTTTTGAATACATATTGCTTAAATAAAAGTGAATAAATTTAAATTTAAATTGAAAAAATAAATAAATATGTCCCACATATCAACTAAAATATTTAACATTTTGAGTAAAACCTTTTCAAATACTTCTCTAGATGTGATTAAAAGCAATTGATTTATTGTAGTTACCTGGCCTCTTCGTTTTTTTTTTTTTTTTGTTTTTTAAATGTAAAACTTTTATGCTGATATTATTTACAATAACTTAAATTAAACTTATGGAAAAATACAAATACAGCTAAAACTAGGAGCTTAGTCTTATTTAATTATTTATACTTTATGTAAATCTATTGGGCCTCTTCGGCTAGAAATAAATTATGAAAGTGCTTTGTTTCCTATTGTGGGAGACGACTCTACCTCTTGATAGTATCTGTGTTTACTAATCATAGATTTGTGCGCGTATAATCGAGCGCCCACGTGCCGCATTAGTAAAGAGTTGGCGAGAACTTTCGCCAACCATGTGCGAAACCACAGGCAAAGCCCAATTTCGTCTATTGTACGATTATGTACATATGTATGTATGTATGTATGTATATATGAGTAGTTTACTCGAAGGTATTTAGTTTCTATCGCCACACTTCTACTTTTTCACAGTTCAACTAACTGCCTGCTTTTCACTTGGCACGGAAAATTAACCAAAAAGCTAAATTGAGTGGAAACATGAGTATGGCTCATGTGAGCGCGCACTTAAGCAGCAAACATGCTAATTACTATACTCGTGTGTATGCTGGATATTGGTAAAAACAAAATAGTTTGCTAGAGAAACCAACGATATACATATACTATATGTACATATGTAGTATGTACGATATTTTAGCTTTTGGGCAGCAATCATTGTGTGAGGCAAAGTTCAGCTCAAGAAACTCTAGCTGCCACTGATTGCAATCGCATGCTGTGGCAAGTTGTGGCCAAGTGGCTCCATTAGTAGGTTTTAGTCAGACACCCATCCATCCATCCATCCATCCATTGATCGGAGTGGGCCGCACGATCTCTGTAAAGTTGTCGGCGTTGGCGGCATGCTTTGCATACGCAACGAGCAACAGCTATTTCAGAATTTGCAATCGAATTTGGATCGAGGTTAATGCAAAACCATAAAAAAGCGAAATGCGCGACAGAAGCGGGCGGCCAGCACACTGACAAGTGAAAACGACAAGCGGCCAAAAAAAAAGACAAAAAAAAAACAACAACAACGACGAGTGCAACCAAAAGAGACTCAAGCCAGCAAGCTCACTCGCAAGACCAAGTCTGACATTCTAGCGGTCGTTGACACAAGCTCTCTTAATAGGTTAACTGCGTACGTGTGTGTGCGTGTGTGTGTGTGTGAGTGTGTGTGTGCTTCACTTTCACTGCATTCAGCATTAACATTCATCTACATCATCAGCATTCATCGTCATCGCCAACGTCATCATCATCATCTTCATCATCATCATCATTGTTAACATCAACGTCATCGCCATCGATTGCTGTCGAGTCTCCGCGCGGTCTTTGTCTTTACGAACTCTTTGCCTTCTGTTTCAATTGCCGTTACTTGGTCATTGTATAATCGCAGAGAAGACCTTGAGGTCGAGCAACGTGTTCTTCTCGATGATGCAAGCCCGCTTGTTGCTGCTTCTACTATCTACTCGTATACTCGTTAGACGAAATTATTGCGGTTCCCAATCGGCTTTGCCTGTGATAGCTGCCGAATTGTTCCGCTATTAGTCTATTAATTTCCAACTCTACACTGGTCGGCACAATTACTTTGACGAACCGTACTCACGAATGTCGGTGCTTGTTGCTTCTAGTTTAAAGGAATAAAATTTAGTGGACTCAGTTCCAAGACGTCTTCAAAAAGTTATCGAAGCCAAAGGAGGGTATACATTTTATTAATCTACCATCAATTTCTTATGTTTTGTTTAGTATTAAGGTTTGTTTTTTTGTTTATATCCATTGTCAAAATACTTATGCCAACCCATGAAATTTAGCTTGATTTATAATTTTAAAAGCTCTTATAAAAATATCTCCTTTGAATTATTTTTAAGTTTTAAGTATTTGAGAAAGAAATTTCCTTTGATATCTTAAACCAAGAATCAGTTATTGACAAAAATGTATGATTTTCTTTTTGTCAAAATAATTGTGCCGACCAGTGTAGATTAAGATAACATGTCTCGCTCGCACACTTGGACTTGAAGAGGATGATTTTTTATATAGCCTGTACCCAAAGACTAAAAGGGTTGGTATTCAGGTTGTCCTGAGTCCTAAGCAGATCAACTTTGTTTATTTTTCCTGATACACCCCACTCCCGCCGCAATTCGTGTTTTTCCATAGTTCCCGTAATTTTTGGAATTTTGTACTCGGATTTGGCAAATACGTCCAGTTTTATGTGATTATGAGTCCGTATTCATTGCGATAGGGTAATTATGTAGAAAGTTATAGCCATATATTCTCTGCCGAAGCTCTGCCCGCAGCTGTTGTTGTTGCTGCTGCTATGACTTATCCCTCCATATAAACACGCATAGACACGATGATGTAAATGTATGCTGTTGAAACTGTACATAAACATGTCTTCACTTTTGTATTTATTTAATTAATTTTTTTTAATAATTTTTTCTTTTAATTTTCCTGTTTTGTGGAGAGTACAGGGTATTTAACCGTCGGACTTGCTCGTCTGTAGCGTTCTCTCTTGTTTCATATCCAGTGCCTTATAAGGGTCCATATCCGTTTTCAACCATCAGATGGTTAAGAATTTTGTTAGTTTATTAATTTAACCCAAAGCTATCTTTATAGAAATTGTCATAATTAGAAATATTAATATATGTTTCCATTTTTAAATACATTATTTGTTTCCAACTTTCTTAAGAGTATGCTAATCTATTCGATTATTATTATTTGTTCCATTAAAGGAATACCAATTGGGCTCAGACAGTGTCAGTTGTCATTCATCGATCCAGGAAACAATTCGCAGTAAATATCTAGTATTCTTATGTCGAAATCTACATCTTGGCTAGTACAGGATTTGATTGAGTATTCATATACCCTAATCAAGCACGAATTGAGATTTGTCGAGCCGAGTAAGCTTACTATATTGTAAAAAATCCTATTGTCAATCGCACTAGCATCAACAAATTCGAATTCTGTCGCGATTACTCTGGGTGTTAAGAAACTTCAATAATTAACCTTTCCATTTCTTAGGCATTCAAAATGTTAATCAAATATTAAGAAATATTTTTCATAAATAAAAAAACAAATGCACTCCCAATTCCACATTATTTGTAAATGACTATCTGGAATTTAGAAAACGTATTAATACGTATGAAATGTTTTTAATGAAATCCACTTTGGATGTACACCTATAAATACATTCAATAGAAGCAATTAAGAAATATAGTATTTTCTCAATTTTCAGGCCACGGTTAACTTAATAATTTCGATTTGGTAGACAATTTTTTAAATAAGGGACCCTTTTCTGAATTGTACGGTGATATTTTTCTTCGAGTGTGACTTTTCTGTAGTTTATTCTGAACTTGTAGTTCACTATATCTTAAAAATTGCATAAAATATTCTTCTGGCTTGACACCTGTGGTTGTTTTTTTTAATTTGGTTTATCTTTTATTTAAAGTACTTTAAAGGCAGAATTTAAACTCGTTCTCGAGATTTATTAAAACAAGATTTTTTTAAATACATACTTGGCATTAATTTGGGTTGGGGATCTCTCTTGATGTAGTTATGGGTGTAAGGACTATGAAGATATTAAAAGCCTTCCTCTATACAAATGAAATGTAATATTATTTATAATTATACTTACTGTTTGTTAATATAATTGAAAAAGTATTTACTTTCAGAGGTTATTGTTTAAAGAACTGTTTTCTCTGGTTATTAGGTTAGGGAGATAATTGTATTGAAGCATGCTGTGGATTCGTATTCCAGCACTGATTCAAAATCTTAAGGGAACGCTTTTGGCAGTCTTACTTGTAGTAGAAAATTCAACACAAAGTAAATTAACAAAACGTTATCGACCGGATCGGCTGAACTGTGCCGTTCTACCAGACTTTATCTTGAAGAACTCTGATTCTTGTTACCATGAAGCGGAAAGCAGTGGAGCAGAGTGACAAAAACCCTTACATGGTTAGGGAAAAGAAAGTGGACAGCAGTTGCTCCCAAGAAGGTGCCAAGCCTTTGCTGCACCTAGCAACTGGTTCCAACGTGTCGCTTCCCAAGCCGAGGTCGGGGGACATAGCTCGCAAACGGTGGCTTCTACTGAGAGAGATATTGCGAAGCGGTTTCGGTAGAGGGTACGGTTTCGGTTTCGGTTTCGGTTTTGAGAGTGGTGGTCAACTTACGGAGGAGCAAACGGCCTCGGTGCGAAGGTTCAAGACCTTTAATTTGTTGCGTCAGGTTTGCTTTGAGGACCATTGGAAGTTGAAATCTCTGGGAAATATCAACAATTGGTGTACGTTTGTGATGCAACTGAACAATAGTGTCGAATATTCAGTGAATATTCACCATTTGGAACGCCAGCTGACAGCCAACGATCTCGTTGGCTTCAACAACACCGGAAACATATGCGTGTGGCCTGCAGAGGAGGCTTTGGCGGCTCTTGTGTTGTCCGATTTAGGAACCTATCGCAGCAAATGGATTATGGAATTGGGCGGTGGCTACACCTCACTCGCAGGTCTCATGCTGGCCAAATATGCCGAGCCTTTTGCCGTGCACCTGACTGACGGTAATGAGTTGTCTGTGGAGGATCTGAAGAGGACTGTCCGCCTCAACGAGCTGAGCTGCTACATCAAATGCTCGGTCCTGAAGTGGCAGGACGTGGCAGCTCGTTCACCCCCCGAGCAGGCCAAAATTGAATATATACTCTGCGCCGATTGCTTGTTCTTCGATGAGGCCCGTTCCGCGCTGATCGACACAATTTGGTACTATTTGGCACCCTCTGGGGAGGCCTTGGTAATGGCGCCACGGCGCGGAAGGACATTCGATGCGTTTCGGGAGAAGTGCCTGGCGCGGGGATTCAATGTGGAGATGGTTACGCGCTACCATGAGACCATTTGGCGGCGCCACAAGCAGCTCAAGGCGAACTCTGCTCTCTACGACGAAGATCTACATTATCCTTTGCTCTTGCGCTTGTCCAAGAAAACTAGCTAGATTTAATTCAAATTTAGTTCGATCCAGGAAACTCTAGTTCACACAGCAGACTTTTTTACTGCAATACCGAAGAGATCACTTCAAATAATACACATAAATCTTTCGATTTCCATTCAGAAACATATATTGATTGCTAAGAAATTAACCTAAAGACTGAATAATTCGTACAGATTTCAAATCCCCGACCTTAACTTGTGATTTAAAGAGCAAAAATAAATGCAGAATTCTTGCTTATAGTATGATCGGTGGAGTCTGAAAATTCTTGAGAGAAGTGAAGTCTGTACTTTAAAGACGAAGTAGAATCCGTCCAATCACTTCTACATAAATTAATTAGCTGGAAATAAGTATAATAGAGCTAAAAAGGATGTGTAAAGAATTCGACCATCTATTTGAGAAAACAAGTAGAGAAGCTAAAGTCGGGTATCCCGACTTTGAAATACTCTGTACATATAGTATGTGTAGAATAATTATGTGTAATTGTGTGTGTCTGTGTATGTCTCGTGTGCCTGAGCAAAGCAGTAACAACAACAACAGCTGCGGGCACTACTTGGTCTTATGTACATATATGGCTATAACTTCCTGTTAAATCGGCCTATCATGATGAACTTGGCATTTGGAGTTATAATAACTAAATGGAGGTATTTGCCAAGTTTGAGTTCGAAAGTCCAAGAATTACGGGAGTTACGATTTGCGGGGGAGAGGGAGGAGAGAGGGAAATTCCAAAATGCACATTTTCTGCGTATTACCATAAGCCATCTGGGACTAAAATTTGGTGTCCCTAGGTCCTATAGTCTCCGAGATATAAGCGATTATACGAATGGAAAATCGGGAAAACCCCCATAGGGGGGAAGTGGGGGGAAATCGAAAAAATAAAACCAACTTGCACAGCGTACACACATGAGGCATCTTTGTGCAAAATTTGGTGTCTGTAGCTCTTATAGTCTCTGAGATCCAGGTGTTCATACGGACAGACGGACAGACAGACAGACAGACAGACAGACAGGGCTAGATCGACTCGTCTTGTCATTTTATGTGTACATTTTATGTGCAGAGTATAAAAAGGGGCTTAATTTCTGATTCTGATTGTAAGGATTTTATACTTGTAAAAATGTATTTCAGATCGTGTTCTACGCTTTTCGAAATAGCTCCTGGGGCTAATATATTTGCAGAAATTCCTACCGAAATTTGCGAATCCCTCTCGTTACCATAAAACGGCATCCATAAGCATTAAGATACTGGCACGGATTATCTTTCTGAATATTTGACCACAAACTGGATAACGATTCGATCGTTCTTATAACCAAAGAATGATGCTGTCCTTAAATCCGGAATTGTGGCACTAGAAGTGGAGGAACAGCCCTTTAGCTACATGAGAGACATTTCCCCGAAAGTTACAAGTCGTTAGCAAGTTTGGACAGAAAAATAGACCTTTGAGTTTTTTATTTTACCATTTTAAGGGCCAACAGACAACAACAATTTACAATAGAACTTTAGTTAGTTAATATATTGGTTTAATAGATTATATCTATGGAGAAGAATATTCCAGCAACTCTACTTTCGTTGCTGCTGACTGGCTGGCACAGATCCCGATCCAGGCCCAGACGAAGCCGCAGCCGCGGCAGCAGCAGCCGCATAGGCCGGCGACTCTGGCTCATCCAGGGATAGCTTGGCCGTAAGGAAGCGTGTGGATGGCGTATTGCTGCCACTGTTGGTGCCATCGGAGGTGTGCGGAAGCGTTGAGGCCATTGCCGGAAGCAGCAGAAACTCGTTGAAGAGAAAGTCTGCGTCCATTGACTGAGTTTTCCCATTGTAGCCGCGTATAATGCGCTTGGGCGGCTCAATAAAGCATTCCTTGACGATGAGGGCGCCCGGATGGGGAGTGGCATCCAGAGAGGAGCAAGCCGATAGTGCATTGCACAATCTATAGTGCGTTGCGGCGGTGACACCGGCGGCATGTGCGGCCACTGCTTGATGCCTGGGCGAGCTGTATGATGAGACAGAGGCGGTAGTCACGCCACTGACGCTCTCAGGTCCGTGGCCAGCCTGGCTACCAACGCAACCACCGCCACCGCCACCCCCACCACCGGCGGCAACGGCAGCGCCACTGCAACATGCAAAAGCGTTGCTTTTCAGATTAATGCAGGACTGCGTGTGCGAGACATCCGCATAGTCCTTGGCCGGCATTGGAGCACGCTTCAGCGTATTGCTCTCAAAGGGAAAGTTCGAGTTCGATGTGGACTGCGTGAGATTCTCGAATTTTCGCAAGCGGGCATCCTGTCGTAGTAGCTGAGAGCTGCCCGCCGCTGGAAGGTTAATCGACGCGTGCAGAGCACTATTGTCCTTCAGACCGGAACTTGAGCCTGCGCACTCAAAGCCGCCACTCTCAAATAGACTTATCTGCTTCTGAATACGCGGCGAAATGGGATCGTGAGCCCGACGTACATTACTCTTGTTAAATGTGCCACCATCGTCATCGACTGCCTCTGCACCAGCGTGGACGGCAACACGTTCGGGGGAGGCATGCGTGACACGCGTATCGGGTACGGCTAGGGGCATGGTAAGCGCGAAATTGAATTTTGGATCATCCACTTCCACGTCGGGGGGTTCCATGTGGCCGGCGTGCGAGGGACAACAATAGCAAGTTTCCAGCTGGGGCTCATCCATGGGCAGCGATGGTGTAGTGCCGGCCGAGAGTGTGGCCTCTTCATCGTCATCGAAGCCCTGCAGGGTAAGCAGAAGACAAACAATAGTTTCTTCCACTGGGACTAGTCGCCAGCGACCGACTACTTACATCTACGGATAGCGTCATGGAGCCCTTGTTGGCCACCATGCTCAGATCCATGCCGAAGCTGACCGGCGTAAGACAAGCACTGCTCTTCTCATCGCGATCGCTGCTCGCACTGCCCGCACAAACGCTGAGAAAGACGCCGCCGTCTAACGTATCCTGGTTCATGGGCGCATAGGCCCCCAGTTCAGCCTCTGCGGTCGCCTCAAGGTCCGCCTCCACGTCGACGTCAACCGTATGGATATCCACGATGGGCATAAGGCTGCAAAGATAGCGATTAGAGTTGATTTCCGTAATCAGAAATCAAACAAAGAACATACCCCGAACACACGCCGCTCAATGCTGGCATCTTAGCCAGCGGCTCTTGAGCCATCTCCTCCGACTGCAGGCTGTCTTGCTGCTGTTGTTGCTGCCACACTTGATGGGCGGTGGCCGTTGGGCGTTGGGAGCACGTGTGTTCATGTGTTTATGTATTTGTGTGTTTGTTAATGGTGCAAGTTGTTAGTTTTTTCTTTTTTCTTTTTCGTTTCAGACAATACTAGAGAGTTGCAAGTGATGTTAAGTGCATACAATACGCATCCTATTGGAATAGGCCTTAAGCTTTTGGCAAAGCAAACACACAGTAAGAGAGAATAAGAGAGGGAGAGCAAGAGGGCGCGCGTGAGACGCAAGAGAAAAAAGAAACGAAACGAAAATTGAAGTGAGCGGTGAAAATCGAAGTAAACCGTCGGAGAGCAAGCAGACACACAAGCCTGCATGCGAGAGGCATTTAAATGTTCTATATCTCGAGTTGTTCGACATCTGGAAGACTATACTATATCTATATAATGGACTTGGTTTCTCTCTATATCTACAAGTAAGTTGCATCTGTTCAATAGAGGGCTAGTCTTTAACTTTATTTACTTTATTTTCATTTAAATTTCTAGACACTTCTATTTCAAAATTAAGCCTTGATGTCTGACTAAACTAAAGGACGCTTGTAAATGTCGATAAAATGCTTTGGGAATATTACTTTTCTAGGCATAATGCAAGATGCGATAAAGTAACATTTTAGATGCAACTTTTGTTCATACTGGGTTATCTATGGACTTGGTTTCTCTATACATCTAAGTTGCATCTGTTCAATAGAGAGCTGGGCTTTAACTTTATTTACTTTATTTTCATTTAAATTTCTAGACACTTCTATTTCAAAATTAAGCCTTGATGTCTGACTAAACTAAAGGACGCTTGTAAATGTCGATAAAATGCTTTGGGAATATTACTTTTCTAGGCATAATGCAAGATGCGATAAAGTAACATTTTAGATGCAACTTTTGTTCATACTGGGTTATCTATGGACTTGGTTTCTCTATACATATAAGTTGCATCTGTTCAATAGAGAGCTGGGCTTTAACTTTATTTACTTTATTTTCATTTAAACTAAACCAACGACTTCAAGACACTTCTATATAAAAATTAAGCCTTAATGTCTCACTAAACTAAAGGACGCTTGCATGTCGATTAAATGCTTTGGGGATATTACTTTTGTAGGCATAGTACAAGATGCTATTTTTGTTCATACTGGGATAAGTTCTTAAAATCTTGTGCATGCTACAGTCCTGCAACTAAAATAATCTCTATTGTACCAATTGTTTCTATTTAGTGCAAAGATTTATATAAAATTGTAGATGCTGGCGATGAGCTTCCAAGTTTGGTAGTGGTTTTGCAATAAACGAGACCATTTTTGGTTATAATGAGGCTACTTATACTTGTAAATGCCAAATGTGTTCAAAGCAAGTGTATTTTAGTAATACTTGGTAATATTCTAGTAATTTGTGTACCAATCGTTGCTATATTAGTTTACTGTTAAGAATGATTAATAAGCTTCCGTTAATTCGAATTTCTTTAAGCGTCCTTCTCTTGTCGAACGTCAATATCAATTCTTATTACTTATCTTTTATCGGTTACTATCGATTATTGATCACTGTTCTCTACTTTGCTTGATCACTGCTTAATTATTAGTGTGAGTGATTACGGGGTGTTCCTACTGTTACGTAATTAGGGCATTCCTACAACACATATATCAAATATAGTAAGTAGACTATATACATATGGTTTGTGTATGGTTTGTGATAAGCTTGCCTTCCCTACGAATAAGACATCCTTCATAGTACTAGACAAACGGAACTATCTATCTATATAGATTCGTCATATCTAATATTCCAGGTAAAGGGCTCAAAAAATGTACAACAGCTGTCCAACAGTTGCTTTTTGCAAGGACACTCAAATACGGTCTACTTGATTTATATCGATAGTTGTGTCTATTCTTTATTTTAGTTCGAGTGTCTAAAACAGGTGTATTACACATACTCGTACATGTGCGGGCAACAGACAGAATTGAGCTTACAAAATAATAGTGATAAATACATGCGCACAATTCAAAACATGTATAGTACATTGCATTGTAGTTATTATTTTACAAACAAATATTTAATTCAAGGCTTTGTGCTAGTTCGAATCCTCTGAAAATCCAAAAAAAAAAGAAGTAAAAAATAATTTTAAAAAAGCCTTAACGGTAGTATAGTACTATAAACAATCAATTCATACATATATGCATACTTCTCGAAAAAAAACGATATATAGCATTTAAAAATTTCGAAAAAAAAAACACTTTAATATTGGAGATGTAGACAAAATAGGAAATGAGAAAGAAAAACATCCGCTTAGGTGGATCGGAATTTTGGAAGCTGCAGCGTGCAAATTTTCTATATTTTGCATGCTGAACAAGAAATACACGCGGCTCGTGACTCACGAGCGTCGCTCGGTCTGTGACATACTGGGTATCCTAGTTGACTTACGCAGTTTCTTCGCCATCGCCATTTTCGTTAAATCGTAATTGCTCTCCAGATTCTCGACGGCGGACTCGGGCCGTATGCTGCCGACGGTTCGTCGCAAAACGTTGTCAACGTTGGAGCCCGCCTCGCTGCCGCCACGATCGCAGGATTCGCACGTGAGGATGCTCGGACCGCGATGCAGAATCGATGGCACAGTGCCCTCTTCCCGTTGATTCAGCGTCATCGAGGACACGGTGCTAATGGGCAGCTCGACAACACGCGGCGGTGAGCCTGTGGGTGTCTTAAAGATTTGCGCAAAGATCATGTCCTGCAGGAAGCTGTCCAGCTTGCGTAACGACAGCGCATTGTGTAGCGTTTCCAGTGGGCGTATGGGCGGCACATCCCCGAATCCTTGGGAACGAGGCGCCACACGCAGAGACAGAGGCAGAGACAGAGGCAGAGAGCGTTGTCAGTTGTGTTGAATTGTTCTTTGGCAATGGGGTGAGGTGCGCAATGGGGAGGAAAACAAGGATTGTGTGGTGGTGGTGCTGGTGGTTCTGGTGGTGGCTATGATTGTGGTTGTGGCTACGAGAGAGCTTAGGCCCACTCTGTGTACTTACCGGACGATGATACCGGTATCATGTCGCGTAGATTCGGCGCCGACGAGCTGCCGCTAATGACCGCCGTGCTGAAAAGGCTATTCGCGCTGGTGGCCATCTTTTTGCTAAAACCACCGAAACCCAACATTTTCATATAGGACATCTGGCCGGCAATACTGTGTCTTTGGCGGCGCGATGATGTCGATGAGTTGGCCGAGGAGACCGAGGCTGAGACTGTGCTATCTGTAGCGATGGTAGTGGTACAACAAGACAGGGACGTGGTTGTGGCGGTTGTCGTGTTTTTATAGATGGTGTGGTTGTGGTGGTTGTTGTTGTTGTTGTTGTTGTTTGCGTTCATGTCAATTGGTGTATTGGTCGTTATATGGGTTGTCAGCGAATGGTTGATGGGTTTGTGTTGGTTGTAGTTGTGGTGTGGGTTGTAATTGTGGTGGTGTCGGTGGGGGTGGTGGTGTCGGTGGTCAGTATTGGAGGGATCGATCGGATTGAATTGGTTAGTAAAAGGTAGATTAGAAGACATTGTTGCAGTATTAGTTATAGCTGCGGCTGCTATTGTTATTGTAGTTATAGTGGTTGTTGCTGCTGTTGTTGTTGTTGTTGTTGTTATTATTGCTGTTGTTGTTGTTGTGGTTGTTGCTGTTGCTGTTGCAGTTGGTGTAATGGTTGTGGCTATGGACGCCAACACAAGCGTGGCATTTGCTGTTGCTATAGCTGTGGGCGTGGCCGAGGCGGTTAAGCCAATGTTTGTTACCAACAACGTGGGTAAATTGTACGCCACCTGTGGTTGGGTGGTTGTGTCGGTCGTAGTATAGGTATTGATAGTGGTGGCTATGGTTGAAGCTGCACTGGGTAGCGTCACATGCTCGGCAATGGGTGCGAATGTGCTAACGAAATAGTTGGGCGGGGCAGGAGCAGGGAGAGGGGTTGAAGCCTGTCGAGTTGTCGAGTGGCTAGGGAAACGAAATGGATTCTCTTGAACCACCGGCGCTGATTGCACCATCGAGAGCTGACCGCACGAATGGCTAGTTGCTTTGGCACTGCTAGCACCGAACTTGGCCTGCTCCTGATGCAGTTTATTGAGCTGCGACTCGTCCATGTCTTTGCACAGCCTCAGCGTCGAGGCTGTGGGGGAGGTGGTGCAGTGAACGCTTAGCATTACCGCACGCGTCGGCTGCTGTCCGAACTCACAGCTAAGCAGTGCAGCCGGAGCCGAGCTGGATAGCTGAAAGTCGTCGTCAAAGGAGCTGCCAGCATTCGGTTGCACCACTTGACCGGCTGATGACGGCTGCAGCTCTCCGCAGGCAGGGGCGGCATGGGTATGGCAGGCAACCAAGTCGGCCATACTTTTCGAGTGGGCATGGGGTGTGCCCGCATTGAGCGCCTCACCGCTGGTGCACTGGCAGGTGAGCGGACGCTCGTTGGTGGCCAGTGGCGAGATTTGCGGCAAATGTTGCAACTGATTCACATAGTCCGGCTCATCGGTGCTCTCCATGCGGCACATGGTCAGCACATGAAGACGCTTGTGAGGGGTGGCAACACAACGATGGGCACCAACTAGGCCGCCACTAGCGGATTGAGGGGTGCCCGGATTCTGGGAGAAGTCAATGTCCGACAATGGCAGCTCATTGGTGGACGAGTCGATCTTGAAGAAGGACAGACTATCGGTGACACGGATCTGGATAGCGGAGCGATTACTGCCACCTACGCGGGCACTTGTGATCTCGTCAAACGAGGCGACTGCTGGTTGTGGCGATGGTGAGGGCGCGGGCGCGGGCACGGGCACGGGCGCCTGGACATCTGTGAGATGATGGCAAGCAGGTTGGTCGCCGGTTAGTGTATGGATAGTCACAAGCATTGCGGCACATGGAACAAGGGATTTCAAGGTTTCGTTTCAGGTAACGTCAGCATCGACAGTGTGTGCGTGTGCGTGTGCGTGTGTTTGGGTGTGTGTGTGCGTGTGCGTGCGTGTGTGTGTGTGTGTGTGTGGGAGTGTGTGGGTGCGATCGTTTGTTGTATGGTCATAGAGAATACAAACAGAAAACTCATTAGCCGAGATACTCTTAGTATTAAAAAGAAGCATGTCAAGAAGAAGTAGTAGAACTAGAAGGTCTAGTAGTAGTCATACTTGTACTGGAAAAGGAAGCCTGTGCTTTCATTCTCATTTAGTTGCGAAACAGGCCGGGATGCACAGCAGCGCAAAAACAACAGCAAGCGGGATTTTGGACTGGGCTGATCTGGTCTGGTCTGGTCTGGTCTGGTTAGTGTGAATGGGGAGCGAGGCGGTTGTGGGCGCGCTTGCGCACAACAAACAAATAGCAACAATAACAACAAAATAGACAGACAAAAAACGTCACAACTCAATTCGAACTATATCGATATATGTATATACAATTATGTATGTTAATTGTCGTGTAATGTTTTCTCATGCATGTCAGACTTAAGGCGAGCGAGAGCGACAGACAGACTGAGCATAATCGTAACGGAAAGAGTTGCGTGCGAAATTGAGAACAAATGCACGAACTTCCCAGAACTATACAGAGCAACAGAGAGAGAGAAAGATAGAGAGAGAGAGAGCGAGAGAAAGACAGAGAGAGAGAGAGAGAGTGCATAGGAGAGAACAAGACTGCAGAGCGACGATGCAAAGATCAAACTGGATACAGAATGTACGGCTATCGAAGCATCTGAATCATCAGCAAGAGCGTCTTCATTTCGTATAGTGCCTCAAGCCCTGGAGCAGCTGCTTCTGTCAGCCGGTCCAGGGCAATGAAATGGCACAGAGGCGACCTTCCTCATATCCAGATGCAACAACAACAGTCCAGTTCCTACTACTCTGAGTTAGATGGTCATTGAGCGATCGTGTTTGAGGTGTGTATGTGGGGTTGGCTTTTTGGGCCAAACCGATACTACTGCACAGCCAAGTACACGGGATTCCGCGGCCAGATTCTTATCGATTTTCAATTTTCTTTGGCTTACATGTTGTACATTATACATACATATATACATATATATCTACCGTTATATATCTATATATAATGCGTTTAATCATCCATTTGTATATATTCTCATTGATCACAGAAAATATGAAAACTAAAAATGTTGGGCACAGTTTAAAGATAAATTTGTTTTGGTGGTTAAAGTAAATAGGAATTAGAATGGGGAAACATGAAAAAAATATCCTTTTCCCATATGTATGTACGTACATACGAGAGGGTCGAACGTTTCTTTACACAGACAAAAATCATGTTAACTCATGTCGTTTATAAAAGTAGTATGCGTTGTTCAGCTTACAGAAGATTCATTTTCATAAAGTATTTCTTGACACTTTGCAAAAACTTACATATACTAAATGATGAGTATGTATTTTAAAATGTCTATTATAAGAAACATCGATGCAGAACATTTTGTATGTTTAAAGATTGAAAAAATACAAGTAGTACACTATTTATATATGAAAGAATCATGCGAAAGACTTCATCAAGATATCTTAGAAATGTAACATTTTCTTTCGTTCTATATAAATTTGAAAATATAGAATGACTAGAAATCTTTGGTAAACTGAATCGCGCATTTTGTGGAAAACATAGAAACAATGAAATAATTTTGAAATTTTCCGTTTTCTTTTCTTCTTTTGTGGGGCGGGAATTTGAGTGTTGCAGAGAGATAGAGAGGCTAGCGTAAGTCGTAGGTCGCATGCAAGACAAAACAATAATAGGTGGTGTAGGGTATATGTGAGCTCTATGTATGCTACAAGGCAGCTTAAGCGCGTCGAGGTTGATGGGGGGTCTTAGGGACCCCACAACTGACCCACGATCATCAATAGAGGCGCCGTGTATTAGTTGAACAAAATATCACATTAGTTTGACAGCCAATTCGTCGGTGTTAGACAGCGTAAGAAGGTATTAAACGTAAGTTAAAAAAAAAAAGTCAAGAACCAATCATAACTACGTTTAAGAAATTATATGCTGAAATGGGCAAGGGTGCCCAATATTAGGAGATCGCGAGCTGATTAGCAGACACGGAGCGCAGCGCAGCTATAATGGTCAACAGGCCCTGACCGAACCTGATGGCCCAGCGGCCGCTCCCCACCGCACACATACATACCCTGATCCTGGCCGCAGGTGGTAGTCGGTCGCTGCTCGAAGCTGCGCGAACGTGGCTCGCAGTCGGGACTAACGGCGCGTATGTCTGGACTGATAGGTCGAATGTCCAGGGCCGTGTGGTGCTGCTGCTGATGGTGCAATTGTTGTTGTGAGGCAAGCTCTTCATTGAGGCGTTTTGCCAGATCCATTGCCTCGTGCCCGCTGACGGTGTGATGGGCGCCAATGGGTATGGGCTTGGACTTCAGTTGCTTTGAGCTCAGGCGATTAAAGGTGAACGAGGAATAGCCACGTTCCGTGCTTATGCCTGAGATGCGCTCGGAATTACGGGGATTTGAAATTAAAGAGCACTGCAAAACAGCAAAGGCATGATGAATTATTGAAATGGAAATGCGATAGGGTAAGACTTACCCGCTTCTTGCTCTGAGTATCCTCAGCGATATCGATCTCCTCTTCAATGCGCGATGGATTCGACTCTTCGGATGACTGAACACTCACATTGCAAGTGTTGTCGCTGTGTGAGTGTGGCCGGAAACCCGGACCCGGGGGTAGATTCTTTTGCACACAGCAGTTGACGCCCGGACTGAAGTGCAGTTCGACGTGGAAACGCTCCTCCGAGGTGGGATCCTTGGTTGGGTCCTCGTATAACATAATGACGATCTGTGACATATAATTCAACTCGGACACCATCGAGATGTAGTCCATGGCGCGTCTCCACTGCTCGTCCGTGACGACGTTCAGCAGTCCACCGTAGCGGAGCACCGTAAGCAGGGAGTGGACATGCGACTCACTGGTGAAGTAGAGCCGAGTCCGAACATGACGTTGCGGACTCGCCACACCATGGCTGTAATGCGGATTTAGGCGGTTCATAAACTCATCCTCGACCTCATCAATATTCCGTTGCAGGTCCCCCTTAATCTTACGCAACAACGGCGAACAGATGCCTTGGCCAATCGCAAGTTTCTCCTGCGGTGTTAGGCCATACTCTTGGGGTATAACGATGTCCGCTAAATTCTTCGCATATATGTACAACTCTTCCGCTTGATCGTACTGCAGCGTGTGCTGGTTGTGTTGAAGATCGTACTTGATGCAGTCATATATATCAGGTATTTTGGATATGTCGAATAGTTTGGACTTCGTGCTAAAGTCTTTCTCAATTTTTTCCCAGCGGCAACGCATTAAGTCCCATGTCTCGCCATGATATAAAATAGCATCTTTGGTCTTGGGATCGTCCTTTTTAATGCTGATTATGTGCAACAGTTCCCGTATGAGCAGAAGCACATGATGGCAACAGTCCACCGGATTCTTGACAAAGTCAAGCGCCTGATTAATGGACTTGCTGTTGCACGGATTGATCAATTCACGATCCTGGCTCGTGAACTCGCGATCGTTCTGCATCAGCTCATGCAAGCGTCCTTTGGCACTGTGAGAATCATGAAAAGGGTGTGATTAGTCGGATTCAAGCTCCTGGGTTCAATTAAGTACGCCTAGGACTTGGGGAACCTACAAGGATAAATAGCGCCACAGACTTTTAGAAAGATGTTGATTAAATGTAATAGCCCCATTGATCTAAATTCAAATGGTGATAAAACTCGCATACACCCACACAATTCATTGAAGGATATTGTTGGGTTTCCTATTATATTTTTAATTTGGAAGATCCAGACCATTTCGTTTCGTTTATATTCAACCTGTATGATTACTTAATGCAAAAAAATTGACTACCATTTCATTTAAGTGAATCCCGAGGAGAGTTTTTTAAAAAGGGCATAGGATCGAATTTAAAAAATTCTACAGTTGGATTACTTACAGATTCTGATACTTGCTAGAGTCGCAGTCGTTGTCCAGCAGCCCATTTGTGTTGGCGCTCTTCACCATCTGCACCAATATGGGCGTAAGCTCACCCTCCAGTGCCAGGAGACCTTTGGCAAAGGCGGCCGCAGTCATTTGGACGCGACCCTCATCCGAGGCATAGATTTTCAAATCATGCCGGAAAGTTGAGTGCAGACTGTAAAATGCAATGGTTGAGGGGCGATTGTTTTCTATCAGTTGCGGCCAAACACCTACCGCAGTAGACCCAGACCCTGAGTGCCGGAGTAGTCTGAGCGGCCTTGGCCCCCTGGATACATGCAGCGGAAGATGCGACCCAGCTCCTCGGCCTGTATGCGTCCGGCGGGCGTTAGCTCACCGCCCCATTTAAGAATAAGCACCAACGAAGGTTCTGCGGGCGTGTCGGCTGGCATGATATCGAATTTCAAGTAATATGGACGCGAATCGGTCAGCTACAGGGACTTACCGTCATCCGAACTGGAGCCACGTGGCCGACCCTTCGGTTGATATTTCATCTGCACCTTCCGATTAATGCCCGAGAAGTGACCATACATCTCCAGCACATTCTTTAGCTGCTCCAGCTTGCTCTCCTTCTCCTCAATTTCCACATGTGTCTTGGTGTGTATTTCGGAAAGTAGGAACCGTGCTATATCCAGAATTTCTTGTAGTTGCTTGGGTCGCTTCAGTTTGACGTGGCCCAGCTTATAGCCATCGTACTTCTCGAAGATCTCGAAGAATCTGCAATGGGTTTAAGCATAATAATAATTCACCCACATAGCTCTATGATTTGTGGCACTTACTTGGGATGTCGCACCTCCACCTTCATCTTCTGCTTGGGCGTTCGATCCCCATGCCTTATGACGGCCACTACGCAGCGTAGTTCCATCATCTTGCCGAATGTTGTCGGCACAATTGGAGGGTCGTCCAGTTGGAAGGGCACGGACCAGGGTATGTGCAGTGTGGGCGTCAGCTCGCGTAATATCATGTTTCCCAATATCTTGGCGCAGTCATCGTAATACTTATTTGAGTTCTTCACGAAGCTAAAGCCATTCACATCGCACACATAGCTCTTGCCATTGGCGCGCAGCAGATCGAAGCCGCAGACGGTCTGCTTAAAGGCCAGACACACCTTACGCGATATAAGCTTCTCGGAGTGATTGAGTATGACCGGATATCGTATTTCCTTGCCCTCGCTGTCCCGCTCCACTTTGCCATCCAGGGCCGGACTCTTGCGTGCTTCGGCGTGCGCATAATCGGGCCCCACGGTATAGACTTTGACATCGGTACCTGAAAAGTAGACTAAGTTGTAAAGGTAATGCTGGATTCAGTGCGTTCGACTGGCGGCCATTTTGAGGTCGGCGGCAACGGCGCAAACTGCTGTTGTGGATGTGTGTTGTGGGTGTGTACTATATATAGTATATGGTTGATTGGGTGCTTATGAGGGAGAGAGAGAGAGAGAGCAGTGCTTGTTTATGGTGGTGCGAGGCAGGACATACGACATTTTTGCATTAGACAATAGCATTGGAGTTGAGTTGATTGTTTTCTTTTTTCATTTTTGTTTGGCTGTGGCATGCACTTGGATTACTAAGGTGGATTACTTATGGTGGACAAATTATTTAGTGGATGCGGGCTCTGGCACCTAGCGCAAACGTTAACGAGAACTATAGGCAATAGACAAGCGCATACCATCGGTGGGCATAAAGTCCTCATAGATGAAGGAGCCGGTCTTGCGTACACGTGACTCTGGGGAGTAGACACTGCTACGACTGCCAATCTTTCGGAATAGACGCTGACTACCGCCGCCTGCCGATGTCGGATAATAGATGTAAATGTTGTGATCCTCCGCTGAGACCGGTTTCTCCACAAACGGCTTGTTAAATGTTATGCCATTGACCTCCACATGATCCTCGGACTCGATAAGCTCATGATCTGCAATAAATCATTGATTTGTCAATTCGAAAATCTTCGTCTTCGGGGGAGGCTTCGTTTAACACTTGCAACACTTACGTTTCGGGTCCGGTGAGTCGCGATCGAGAACCGCATAGCGCGGTATTTCAATGCCCTCCTTCTCCAATATGGCGTAGACGCGTCGACGATCCTGTATATCGTACTGCATGTGCAGATTATTGAGCACAAATGGGTTACGCAGCTGCGCATACTCAATGGCCTTCTCCAGCGGGAAGCCTTTCGAGTGAAAGGAGACCAGACAATCGCAGGTGGGCCAATTTTGAACCGGCTCCCGCAATATCACATGCTCCTCAAATGTGACCAGCTTGATGAACTCGAATTCACCCAGACGTGTTAGGATCTCCTTCATTGGCTTCGATTGTGTCTTCTTGGCCATCGCGCAGATCCCAACAACAACCTGCTTGCTGTTGCTCGACGAGTTGCTCGTGTCCGAGTCCATGCCGTCATTGCTGTCACCGAAATCGGTGTCGCCCTGAATAGCAAACAAATGGAGAAACGAAACAAGAATGTCGCATGATGATTTATATCCATGATTATATTTGTCAAATGGCCATCCATCGCCAACAACAATCATAGGAAGAACAGCAAAGAACAACAAACAACAAGCAATCAGCAAGCTAGTGGCAGAGAAGCGAATTTTCCCATTTGTTGTTTTTATTATAAATCTCCGTTCTAAATACCTACACAGACATACTATACACACATACATACGTGTGTATAGAAGAGCTGCAAAGCTAACTTAGTGTGGGTGTCCCACATTTAAGTCGCTCGCCCAGTTGATTGTTGCAATTAGCAGTCAAGCTTTCAAGCCGAATTGTTCAATCGCATTGGCTTTCCAGCTGCTCTCGCCTTCTCCTTCCCCGTTCCCTCCCCTCCCCTCTCTTCCCATCCCTGTCACGATCACTTACTTATCTGCCAAATGTCGCCCAGTTGTTGATTCAACAATTCTACTAAAAGAAAAAACTTAAACTTACAATTTGATGATTTTGTCTACAATCATTGATTGTAAGCACAAGGTTTCCAGATGTCGTTTTTGTTTTTGTTTGTTCGAAAAATAATGTACATAATATATACTTTACACTATATGTATGTGTGACAAATATCTTTGATCAACACCACTGGGAATGAGAGAGTATTAGAAAAGTTTCTGGTCTTTCTTAAGAAATCTTTTTTGTGTTTGTTTTTTTTTTTTGAGCAGTTTGTTTCGTTCGGTTTTTGCTTTTCTTTGAAGCTTTAAAAATTGTACTGCCTGCCATTTGTTCTCCTATTTTTATTATTTTATTAGCTACTTACAAGTAGTCGTGTGATAGATTCTTCGACTCAAAGAATGCTACTGAAATATGTAAAAACAACAAACAATTGAATCATTTGGAAAACAACAAAATTTGAAACACCCTCGAATCAAAACAGCATTCAATATTGTTTGCAACTACAAGTCAAGAGAACCATTTGAAAAATGATATTATCTGCTTTATAATTTCTTAACTTCGACTAAGTATCAGAGATATAGTATTTAAGCAGTCAAAGGCTTATTTACTGAGTTCTACTCGTTTCACGTTTTATTTTTTGCAAAGTATTGATGAAAATGAAATCGGATTTTTCCGGTATCCATGTAATTGAAAACATTTTGTAAATATATTTAAAAGAAACACATATGTAGGTAATTAGTACTTGATCGAAAGCCTGAATAACTAACTAAATAATGCTAACTAATGGAAACCCATTTAAATTTTAGTAGACGAATAAAATTCTATCAACGAATCGGTTTCGTTATTCGATATTCTTGTTATTTTAAAGGCATTATTTACTTTTTAAGACTGCTTTGTACTTTTTGTGACCATTTACAACTAATTTTAAACTGGAAGTAATAAGAATTGTGCACGATATATGCTCTAGACCTGTATCTATTGTTTTTTTAGTATTTAAGACTCTCGTAATGTTCAGAAATTTTAAAACAGTGCAGCGTTGGTGAGAGATAAGGATTTAAGGATTGAATCTATGGGGAAACGCTTCCATTAGTAATTTAGAGATAATCAAGAGATCTCAATCGAAGATACTGAGAACCATCACTGGGGCCCCCAGGTACACACGGAATGAAAATATCCGAAAAGATTTAAATGTGGGAACTGTTAAAGATGAAAGCAAAGTACCAGCTTAAGCTTCGGGACCATCCAAGTAGACTAGCGCGGAATTTAACTTGGCAGACTAGCCATACACGACTCCGGCGAAGAGACCTCCCCACCCAGCAATAAGAGTTAGGGCCGTAATTTAAATAATTAATTGTTATTCATGAAATAACAATATTAGATTGAGATTTGTCGACTTATCGTAAGTCTCCGAAAGAGAAGATACGATAAATAAAGAAAACTAAAAAAAAAAATTTGAATCTGAGGATAGCGTTTTGAGGATAGTCTAATTCTTGTACACCTCTCGAAATGGGTCTTTCGATGCGCACTAATAAATAAAAGGACTAAACATCTAAGTCGCTTTCAGGAATACCACCAATAAAGTTTAGCAATAATATTTGCTATGCTTCTGGGGGAAACGACTATATAGTCGTATAGTGAGAACATGAAGGAATGTCTAATGGGGGTTTTTTGTTTTTGTTTTTGTTTTTGAAAAACATTCACTGAAGAAGTAGAAAAATCGTGATAAACCATGCAGTTGCTAAGCTTTTTCAGGTCATTAATACAAAATAACATTTCTCGATTGCCATTTGTGTCGATGTACACATATGTACTTATATAGATATATGTACAGTGAAAACTCTCTTGGCCGGACACTCGCGGTCGGCCAATCTTTGTCCGCCGAAGGGGATACTTAAATACTTTATACACCGATCGAATGTTTTAGAAAAAGTGTTCGCCGAAGAGAGTGTGCGGATGAGGGAGGTGTCCGTTAAGGTAGTTTTCACTGTACATATGTATGTATGTATATGTACATACATTCAAGCACTCATCACAGAAACAGAAGTCATCGCTGTCATCACAATTGGCGGCATCAACGATGCCATAGTCTTCATAGTCGCTGACATTGAAGGGTCCGTACTCGCCATGGTCGCTGCTATCATCGTCCCGGCTTTCCAGATTGCCGGCACTCTGGCTGCGTCGCTGCCTCTGCTTCAGTCTGCGACGCTTTTGGCCGGCACGTCGGGCACGGCGACTGGTGTTGGCAGTAAGGCTATTCCGTCGAGCTGTGCCCAGCGTTGTGCCCTCCTGCCCGTTGCCTGCTTCCTCAGCAGCCGTTGCCGTCTCAATGCCCGGCGCAGCGCTGGCCGTGGCAATGGCAGCAGCGGCTGCTGCTTCCAATTTCATTTTGTGACGCTGATGGCGCACGCGCAACTTTTTGAGGCGCCACCAGTCCTTAAACCAGGTCCACTCCATGTCAACCAATAACAGCAACAATCACAACAATGACAATGGCTGGAACTCACTGATTGACTTTTAATATTTCGCTCGCAACTGATTCTAGTTAGCTATTCTTTAAGCACGTACATATGTACATGTGTATGTAAATGAAATGTGTGCTTTAAAATGAAATGTTTTTGTTGCACGTTACGTTTTAATTGCAATTGCAAAATTATATACTATTACTTAGCACTTAAGGCCCGCCAAGACACACACACAACGCGACGAACAGCTGACAATGAACTGAGCAACGGAACCGTTGGGCCGTTGGGCCCAGAAGGCAAGGCAAGGCAAGACAAGGCAAGCAGGCCAGACCAGGCCGGGCCGGGCCAGGCCAGACCAGCTGAGGGCAGGGGCTGTGTGTGGCGAGAAATGCTACCGAATCGGGCCGTAGCGAAGCGAACCAAATGCTCTTTTATGGCACCGCGAGTGACGCTTCGCCTCCAACGCGCCGCTCCACAATATTTTGATGTTGATAATAACAACAATAATACAAACATACATACATACATACATACATATATAAATACTTATGTATATATGCATTCATTTGTATGTATGTATATATGTAATGCTATAATAATTGGCCACACACAAGGCCGGCCCGCGTCGTGACGCTTTGTTGTTGCTCTTCAAACAGCGCCAATTGTTTTCCATGCGCCAACAGGCAGAAGGGTGGTGGGCGAGGGGGGTAGGGGGAGGTCATGACTTGAAGAGCGCTAAAGCCACGTCGTATATTCTGATGATAAGCACTAGTTTGAGTAACTTGCTTAAATTACTGATCAGAGCTAAGCGAGATAAGACGACAACAAACACACGCACACAATCAGACACACATACAAGTATAATCGAACTTGTTCTCAGTGGCTTGCTAACTCATTAATAAACAAATAAAACTGATTGTGAGACAAGCTGCTGGACCATGTAATGCCCTGTAGGCTGAAACATGCAAACTCCGACAGCGTCTGGAATAACACACACTACGAGTACAGTGAAAACTCCCTTAATGAACACTTGTTCTAAAACATTCGATCTGTGTAAAAAGTATTTTATTTATTTTACTTATCCCCCCTCTATTGTATTGATTTATTTTTTGATTTTTTTGTATTTTTTTAAATATTTAAAAAAAAATGAAAAATAAATAAATAAAAGCGGACACAAATTGTGTCCGGCCAAGAGACCTTTCACTGTATATGCTGCAAGCATATGTAGAAGGGTATGCCATCAAAGGGTGCTGCTTATTCGCTCTCACAGCGCTCGTACATCACAAAAAGCTCCGGGACGTAGCCACATCGTCTGAATTGTGTCTTTCGGTGTTGCCACGTGTGAGTATTTTTCCGGGCAATTTTGTTCAAAATTTTCCACGCTTGTTGTAGGCAGAGCGTGAAAATTGTTGACTTAGCGCCAGATCCTTTAAAGTGAGCTTGATATCACGAGAGAGAACAAAAATAATATCCCAGTCCCACTACACTTAAAAGGCGATCACTCTAACTACGCAGAGCTAATTGTGACGTCTTTCCTATGAGAACATAACACCGAATTCTATCATGAGAGTAATATTCATTTTTAAAACCTGTTCACCAAAATCTTCTATATTGCGCATATAAATTGGAAACAAAGCGATTAAGATATGATCCATAACTCGTTCAATATTTTAAAAAGTGCATATGTGAACCACAGATTTATTATTATAAATTTTTCGTCTTGATTCACAATAGGATTAAAAAATAACGATTTTTATTTTGAGAAAATGAGCTCAAATCGCTTGAATAGAAATAAGAAACAATGGAATATTATAGGAGATCTTAAGCGCAGGATTTATTGTTGGTAAAAGGATTTTGATTTCTGTTTTTGGGCTGAGAGGCCAAGTAATTTTGGCTTCTTCTTTCTCTATTTTCTATAATTTTAGTGGACGAAGCGTTCTTATAAACAGACAAATGAAAGGTGTTCCAGACGCTGTCGCAAAACTAACATGCCCACTTATTTACTTAAATAGAGGGTATGGGCACATTAATATATACGGAAATCAAACAAATGATCTGAACTTTAGAATTATGTATAAACATGTAAATAAAACTATTTATAGAACACCCGTACAATTTTAATGAATGAAATTATTATTTATGTGCCATTTGCATGTGCTCTCGTTTTCTCACGCCAACAATAGTGGTTTTAAACAAAATCTATTCTATTATTTTGTATTCTTTTGTATTACATTTTTTTTTTTAAATGTACACTGGCCTTGAATTAAAAAAAAAATCCTCTACAATACATTGTAAAATTTGTATTAAGTATTTATTAAATAGGCATGGAAAATGATTCTCTTATTGTAAACAGCAGTACTTGGTTTTAGTTCCAAGAAAAACAGCGCTAATATTAATTACTTTTGTACTTTATAACTAATTTCTAATGTATTTATTTGTAAGGGGCGAAAGCGGAACTTTTTTTATTGCGATTCCGAGACAAACGAGACCAGACACACCGACTTGTTGCTCCCCCACAGCTAGTAACTAAAATTTCTCCACTTTTCCGGCTTGTTTCGCGTCTTGTTTTTAGAATTAAAACAACACAAATTAGTCAAATAAACCAATTTATACTTAATAAAAAGTAAATTGTTTTAATTTTACAAATCAGGTGGTAATTCCCAGATAAGAGTTTTGTAGTTTTTAACTGATCAACTGACTCAAATGTATTTATTTTATTCTCACAACTCAACGCAACCATGCTTTGTTTTGTTTCAACTTCATGTTAAACAATTTACCAGCTGTGATTAGCTGTAGTAGCTATTTTTGTAAAGCGTAGTCACCAGCTGGCAAGCACTTTCTACAACTCACCTCCAAGGAAGGTCGAGAGGCAACTTTAGTTTACGGCACAGGTTTTAGATAGAATAATTGGAATAATTGGTTCTTTGCCTCCGACGCGTGACGAATGGAACAAAGCAAATGTGCCACTTACACACACCTACCCGCCCGGATTCCTATGCCAAACGATAACTTTTGTCGTCTAAATAGGTATTTGGGTTGTCAACAGCTATCTGTTACGGATTCTATGGCATGCTTTTAGGCGGTGGCTTCGAAGTTCGAACCGACTGGGGAATGCTCGCCGGTCAGCGTTGCTTACCACAAGAAATCAGAACTCTCAATGAATTGCCCGACAGTGAAAACTTCTAAAGCTGTTCGACGCTTTGGGGCAACGACTGCCGACTGGTGAGGCGACTACGAAGTTACAGCGGCCAGAGCAGGAAAAAAAGCAGCCAGAGGCAAACAGCGGATGCGCAAACATATTGGGAAGCAAATAACAAGATAATTAAGCTGCATGTCTTGCCAAAAATTAATTAGTTTTTGCGACAAATGAGCAAACAAATGACAACGCCAACGCGGCGTATACGCAACAATACAAATTAAACAAAAACGCAACGCAATGTAAACGAGCAAGACAAATAATAATAACAAATAACAAAAAGAAAGAAAAGAAAAACGAAACCAAGACAGGCAATTAATATTAAACAACAGAAAATGTTTTTTTTTAAAAAAAGTGTAAGACTGAGAATAAGAGAAACGTTCACCCCATAAGAGAATGAGGAAGAGCGCGGCTCCAGCGGCAGTTCATTATCAGTTGTTTCTAATGGGATAGAAAAAGATACATATAGTATAAGGCACGATAAGAGAGAGGTTAGAGAATTTGTAAATAAGTAAACAACGAGCGCTTATCCACACAATAGAGAGCTGTGTGGTCGGTCTAGTTTACACTTCTTCCCATTAAATCTAATCCTATTTCGACTTCACCGCCTAAGCTTCCGCGATCTATACCTATTATGATATATAGTAGGCATATAATACTTTAATTATTTTGATTGCTGTATACACATCTTCTACAAAAACTACAAGCATCTATTCTATTGCTTTCAAATTGCTTTTATTAAAAATAACACATTTTAAGTCACCTATTTTATTCGAAGAAATTACATTGCTTAACCATTTTTTGCTTTACAATTAAATAATATTTTCCAGGCTTCCCAATGATATACACAGCTACACTGCAAGTGAATGCAAATGTTTTGAAACCTTAGTATTTATTTGTTGAATGATTGGAAATATTTCGTGGTATTATATAATTATATTTAGGCAGTTGAACTAACAGCAACATAACGGATAAATTTGTTTCTATTTGTGCGAAATAGATTGAACTAAAATATTTTAATTGCATTAAATTTCTATTTTCAATCTCCTATCCGACCTTTTACAGTACTTGTATGTAGAAGTAGGAAGACTGGAAAAGGAGTAGAAAAAGAAAACAACTAAGCCGATTTAGATTAAAATATAGCATATATATGATGCCCCAAAAGAAGGAACAGGAGCCAAGGGCGTACGCATGGGGGGCCGTTGCCTCCCCTACAAAAAATTTTGCCATATAAAGTCGACCACACGTTCATTATTACTTCGCTTACTTACTGAGTTGGATTTGTTGAAGTTTTTTCATAGATCATATGCATAAATTCTTTTTTAAATGCATCGTGCATTATTTAATCAACATTTTAATTTTTTGGACCCCCCCTCCCCCTTTTGTAAAAGCTGCGTACGCCCTTGGCAGGAGCCGTTGTTTCTGTCTCAGCTAAAGACCAAGTCTCTCCCACACAACTCTCTTGGCAACAGTTAACTGTTAACGACGCATACGCACCGCCCAAGTTCGGCGTCGAGTTCACGTGAGTCAGACATCGTCGTTCAGCTGCTGTTAATGTCAAGGTGCCCGTAGACTCTGTTGTTGACTCTGCTGTTGCCAACGTGGAGGTGGCAGTTGCTGATGCCTTTGTTGTTGCGCCGTTTGCTCCATTTGCTGTGGTAGTGGCGCGCCTGCGCTGCCGACGGTTCCGCCAACTACGACATGGAGTGTTGTAGTCAACGCCACGCCCATCGCGTCCACTGACGCTGAATTTGTCAAAACTGTTGCCCATTTGGCATTTCTAGCTATCGAGCGAGCTATAAAGGTGTGACTTATTCTGTTTTTCTAGTGCTCCTCTGCTTACACAGCTTTTGTTGCTAATATTTGTTTGTCATACAAATTGATAAATTGACAACTTGATGCGTGATGTGCCGCGATGATGTTCTTGGTGCCTAATGCATTAATCGATTAGCTATATAATAAATGCGTCCCCCTAGTTGAGTTCCTATAATCATAACTTATACGCCTTTTAAGCCCCTCTACAAACTGAGAGAAGTCTAGAAATGAACTGAATCAGAAAAAATAACTTAACGAAGAGATTTGGTTTGAAATTTTTTGTTTTTCCACAGATTTGATTATATTAACAAATTTCTGGAATCAATTTTCATACTTAAATATCATATGATTGACTGCTCAATGGCTACGGAGACGTGTTTACTTTTCGCAAAATTGCATTTTTATCATTTTCAAAGATATATAGTCATTGTAACCTATAAACTAGCTACTGTTTGTCCCAGTGTATAGTAGTATAGTAGAATTTTTATAACAAAAAGAAATTTTAATAAAACTATAAGAAATATCCAATAATTTATCTTAGATATTCCCAATCACTATATATACGCTCTGCACTTGATTTATTATTATTGCTTATCATTATTGCTAATCAACCAGTGTTTTTTTGTTTTCCACATGTCCATGGAAAGTTTTGTGCCCAATAAATTGTATCTAAGTGATTGATTATTTGTATCTCATAGCGAACGAAGACCGCAACGAGAAGCTTTGAGTGGCGCTAATTTATGAATGAAATTGAAATGTTTTTATTTTCTTATTTAACTTGTGAATTCAGATTTGATGCGATAGCGTGAATCACTTTTAAATTTAGCGCCAAAGAACAAAAAGCCAAAATGCAATGCGGCATTTAAAATGAGAGGCAGAGAGAGATAGAGAGAGAGAGAACAGACAGGGAGAGCGAGTGTGCCAGTCAAGGAACATTTGACATTGACATTGTCGAGAAACGAATGGTGAGAGCTAAGCGAGAGAGAGTCAAATGAGAGGGGGGCTACATGCAGCATGCTGTCAGCTGCTGTTGCTGCTGCTGTTGTTGTTGCTGCTGCTAGTGTTGCTGCTGCAAGCAACAAAAAGTCAGGGTCAACGCAACAAGAAAAGGATGCCCAACCCCCCCACACAACATGTGGTGGGCAGCAAGTTGTTGTTATTGCTGCTGCTGCTGCTGCTCCAAATGCAGTTGGTTGGCGAGAGATATTGATTTTTACACGCCACACCAGCACACGCAACAGCAGCAGCAACAACCCAAGCATTGAAGTAAATTTAAACAAAATTAGATATGTTAGTATTTCATTTTCATTGCATACATTGCCATCGTGACCCAGATAGAAGCCCACGCGATGTGAATGTGCTGCTGAGGATGACGACGTCTGCTGTTGCTGCGCCGACTGCGAATGTTGCTGGTGTTGCTGCTGATGATGCTGGGCGCTGCTTTGCTGTGTCGACTGACGCAGATCCTGATAGCCCGACTCCAGCTCAGTGTAGGACATGGCTGCTGGCTGATGGGATTAGTTGGCGTGGAGTTTTTCTTGTTCTTTTTTATTTTTATTTTAGTTAGGCAGGCAAAGCAAGCGGCAATTATGAAATACTGCTTAGATTCGATTTCACATTTTGGTATCAAAAATGGGGCAAATATGAAACAAAGTGGAAAACACAAATACACACGAGCACAGACCAAAAACGCACACTCGCTGCGTCGTCGTCACGGACTTTTTTTATAAGTTTAATTTATTTTTAATTAATCACTTTATGCCTTTATTATGACGGTATGTACTTTCTCGTTAGCGGCAGCAATGAACTAAATAACTGTTAAGATAACAAGAGCGAAAACGCCAATTGGGGACAGGGGTGCTTTGTCAATTATTTTTGGGTGGCCTTCGATTTTCGTGCAGCTACTCGTACTTTCAAAACGAAGAAATTGTAATAATCGAGTGATTTTTCTTTTTATTCTTAATTTTAAATTCACTTTATAGCACATTGGCTCCCACTGCTAAAGAAAAACTTCTGCAATTTTTATTTGCGCACGAATTACGAAAGAATTATATATATGTATATACAAAAATGTTAGTGTTCTGCTGGGGCAGACGCGGGATCAACAACACAACACGCGGCCGCCGCCACAGTCCAAGACAATTTCAATATTTTTCACACATGCTTGTGGGGGCTGCTTCTGCCGTTGATGACGTTGGTGACGTTCAATGGCGCAGTTGTCAACGCATCACCCAGACAACACAGTGTTGTGTGCAAATCGTGTGGGAAATTACATTTTAATTCCAAATTTGATTGCTGGGCTGCGGCTGGCGGCATGCTCAGAGAGCTTTAGCAATGTCAAAACAAGTCTGCATCTGCTCTCCCAAAAATTGCCGCCTTTTATCGAACAGTGCTGCCAACTTTGTTATTTTAAAAATCGGTTCGAAATTTAAACTTTACGAGTTTCTAGTTGTTTGGTTTTAACAAATCTAGATCGAAATTGTTCGCTTACATGCTAAAAACTTTCGATAAAAATGAGGAGATTTGTATCAGGCTGCGACAAATATCAATTGATTCATGTATATAAATATACACTATAAACAACTTCGGCCTGTCTGTGCCAGTACCTGGAAGTGGAGAAATGTGCATGGCATGCTTTTTAAATGATTGTTATTGTTTTAAATATTAAGTAGTGCTACCGGATTTTCTCTTTTAAAAATCGCAGTCCATGGTTTGGTAAAACCTGGCGAAGTTATTGAAAAACTTCAGTACTATTGTGTACTTATATGAGCGTAAACACTTTTTCAGGCATTGTATTAGTTAGTAAAATTATTATTAATGAAAAAGAAAACTTTAACTTACCATCAGAAAAAAAATTGCTTAAAGCAGATAGCTTAATCTTTTTCCTTAACTAATAAATATAACAACTGTGCCTGTAGAGATTTTTACACCACAGGTGTGCGTAGAGCCTTGCTGTAAACCCATCAAACAAAATTCAATTAAGATATAGTTTTTAATCACCTCCTTAACTTTGACGTCCGCAAAAACCCTAAAACCAACTAGCTCTGCAATTGTCAAACATTTTTGAAATGGCTAGAATGATAAATTTGTATTTTTTAGGCGGGAGTCTCACGAAAGAACCTCCCTTATGAAGGAGAGAAGTACTCGCGTCAATAAATGTATAATTTCCGGACAACAATACTGCCGATTATGAACAAGATAGAACTTCTCAAAATAGCTTTGTAAAGCTGAGGTGTTGTATTGTATTCTAGTTGGTCATCAAAATGTGAAAGCATCCACCAACACCAACTCAATAACAACATTATTTGAATCGTATGCGATATTGCTTGGCAGAGCTTTAAAGGAGTCGTCGATATTGGTCGCTAGCAGCCGCTTTGGACAATTTGATACAAATACAAACACATACATACATACAAGTATATTGGCGATTCCATAGACCATGGCAACCTGAGCCCGTTTCTTGGCTACGCAAACAAAGTCCATGACGATGCAAGGGAGAGCCACTTAGGGCGACTTCTGGCAAGCAGTGGCTTGTTTCTTTTTCCCAATTTAATTTCCTGTTTAAATGCAATATTCTTGGTTGCCACAGGAGGCGCGCCAGCTGGTGCCACGAGCTCCTCCCGCTGTGATTATCTCGCAACAGCGCTATGAACGAATCACTTCCAACGCCACTCAGGCGCCCAAAAAGGAGCAGCAACGACAATGGCAGCAGCGGCAACGGGACCAGGAACAATTGCGTGCTGGTGGCGAGGAGCTTCTGCGCCAGTTTGGCGGCCGGAAGCTGTGCAGCAGCATCCAGGAGCAGTGCATCACGGAGCAGCGGGCGCAGGAGCAGCATAAGAAGGCGGCGATTCGTGAGGCACGTGAGAAGAGCGCTCTGGATCGAAGTGAGGAGCAGCGTGTACGAGCAGAGCGCATTGCGAAGGCACAGTTGCTGCTGGAGCAACTGCGTCCTGGACCGCGAGAGCTTCAATGCGCCCGCCTGCAGAGCCAGGTGATGCGATCTGTGAATGTCCAGCGGCAGCTACAAATGGACTTCGCCCAGATAATGCGGGCACAGCGCGCGCTCGATCGACGTGTGTACGGCGAGCAGGTGTTGCTCGGTCTGGAGCAGGCGCAGCGGCAGCAGGCCGAGCAATGCCAGCAGCAGGTCGAGCACAAACGGGAGCTACAGTTGGCCATTCAGCAGCGGCGACAGGAGCGTGCGAGCGAGCGGGAGGCTCAGCTCAAGCAGGAGCGCGCGGAGCGAGAGCGCCACGAGCGTGAGGTACAGCAACAAGAGGCCAAGGAACGGGAGGCGCAGGCGCAGCGGCAGCGCCAGCGCAGGGAGCACGCCTTGGCAGCGCTGGCCATGGCCAAGCAGCAGGAGCAGCGTGAGTAAAACACTTTGAACTCCCAAACATGGATGTATATGTATATTGAATTAATTCCTAAACACACATAGGTCTGCAAATGCTCGACGAGGTGGAGCAGTCCAAGTGCGAGGTGCACAACGAGGCCAAGGGTCAGCTGGATGCGCTAAAGCGGGAGCTGGGGAAGCAGCGCATGCAGCGACGATTGTTGAGGAACGAGCAGCTGGCGTTGGAAATCAAACCGCGCCTGCACTACAGTGCTGGCGAGGATCTGGCTCGGCATGAGCGCCAGCTCGCCGCCATGCGTGAGGCACACAGCGCTGAGCAGCGAGCACACCGGGAACGCCTGGAGGTCGCTATTGGGGAGCGAGTGCAGACCCAGCGGCAGGAGCAAGCCGCGGCTTTGGTCGCAAGGCAGCAGGCTGAGGAGCAACGACGTCAGGACGAGGCCCAGCGTCTGCAGAATGAGCAGATCTACCTGAACTTCAAGCGTGATGAACGCCAACAGCGACTCCGAGGCATGCACGCCCTGCGCGGCCAACTTGACAAGCAGCTGCAGGAGCGCGCCGCTGTCGAAGCTCAGCCCGAGATCAACTACAATCGCAATGCCGTGCTCGAGACAATGCGCGAGGATGAGTTCTTCTTCAACTACGCCCATCAACTGATGACGACCGCTCGCAACGAGGGCTGCCCCCTCAAGCCTTTCGTGCGCGCCGTCCAGCAATACAAGAGCGACAACCATATTGATGCCGGCATCCGCGTGCCGCGACATCTCGTTTCCAAGCTGACAATGGGTCTGCGCACTGAAGGCGATAGCCAGGCTGCCACCAAGCAGCCGGAGCAACCATTGCAGGACTCTAAAGAGGAACAGCAGCGCTTGTCCAGGATTCGGGAAAAGCTGCAAGAAATTGAGAAATTGGTGCGAGAGGAAGCCCTGGAAAGGGCTAAGGATAACTCAGAAACAACGAAACCTCAAGAAAGTCCAAGTCCACCCAACCTAAAATTGAATCTCACCGGAAAAACAAATCGTACAGAGTCGTAACTCGACGAATAAACCCTACCAACCCGTAAAAAGCGAAAGCAGCCTAGAGCTAAAGAATTTAATAATATACTACTAATTAAAAAGGGGAAAAAGGGTACTTCTTTGTAGCTAATATTTGATGTCACCCTTCTTTTTCTTATCAGCAGAGCTTTAGCCCAAATCTAGTTAATAAATAATTAAACGCAAGCTCGCCTAATCACCCAGTTTAGAACGACACCCGGAATATCGTAAATTCAGCCAATTATATGATGCTGCTAAGAAAATCCAGCACCTCCAAATCGCAGCTTAATTCTCTTCGGAAAAGACCGAATTCGCCAATTGAAACTAGAGCTGAATATCGTAAAGCTAAAAACGACTGCAAATAGAACTTGTACTACAAGTATTTCAAAATTTAATTTATATTAAGCAATGGTCTGAATATCGTAAAGTTACGATTTCGGTCTCTCTTTTCATTCAGCATTCTTTTCGTATATAGTATTAAGTAAAGATCTGAATATCGTTAATTTACAAATTCACTCTCTCTTTTCATTCAGAATTATATATGAACCCAAAAGTTCTGAAAAAAGTAACAAATATATACGTTCGAGGCAGATATGTCAGTATTTTCCTAAAAAAAAATCCTATTAGCTCCTTCTGATAGGATACATATATAATTATATATATGTATAATTAGTACTTAACTGAAACATAAAGCAAGGCGCTTTTACCAAGTCTTGTTGTAAAGAATGGAAAAAGAGTGCCCTTCAGTAAAATGTTGCTTCAAAGACAAAAAGATTCTTACATCGAACATTGACGGCCGTGGGAAAATGGATCCAGTCTAATCCATAGCATTATATATTATATTATAACATTATTTGATTGGCGGAGAAATGGGGCAAATCAATACAATATTCACAATAGGATTTTAAAAAGTCCATCAGAACAAACATAAATTACTGGAGTTCTTGAGTAAAAGAAAATTTTGGAAACAGATAATCCGTTAATATTTGATAAAACTCTTTAATTAAAATGTCAATGCTTCTGAAGGCACAATTCTTTTTTGACGGGTTCATACATTTCCATTTTATCCAATCAGGCATTTCTTGGGGCAAGAAGTAAAAGGCACACCTCCTAGAGGCGACGCTTGACATGCATGGCCAGCATCTTAGTCTTGATACGTTTACGATCCCGGGCGATTATCTCCATACGCTCCTTTATGCTTGTCTGGAAGAAGACCAGATGTAGAGTCCTACTGGCCGAGCACAACTGCAAAAATTTGTATTGAAAGCGAAGAAATGGTTAACAGTGTGACCTTTAAAGTAAATAACCCCCTACTTCATATTGTACTGTCGAAAATTTAGGGGCGGTTCTTTTTTATAACTGATAAAAAAACTGAATATGACTTATAATCGGATTTTAACGAGTTGTTATTCTGAGGATAGAGTTCTGCACCCAAGTTTATTTTCAGATTGAAAGTTATATATAAATCAATTAGAAAATAAACTTTTCTTGTCAAAAAAACGTTTATAAGAATTATGAAGATTTTAATTTATTTAAAAGTCCCTACGGTACTGAACTAGGGTTATCTAATTAACTAACCTGCTGCAATAATCGAGCTTTTAGTCTGATATTGGCCGGTGCCTCCTCCTCCAGGCTGTCGCCGCATGTCTCCAGATGCAGATTGAGCACAAAGATGAGTGTGTCCCGAATAGTCTGGACAATTCGCTGTACTTGTTCTGTCCGGAAGAGACGACGCACAAGGAACCCACGGACTCCGGCTGTAAGCTGCGTGGCGGCCAATTCGAGTCGTTGCGGCTCCTCCAGCTGGGCATAAAGCAACTGAAGCTGACGGCCTCGTTGCTGCCAAGGATTAAAACCAATTCAAATAACGGAGAAGAGAGAGAGAGAGAGAGATTACTCATAAATATGAATTGCCTTCATATTTCAATCGCTCAATTTTTACCCAATTTTATCCAAATTATCCATAATTATAATATGTGGCTTGACGTAATTTAAATTGAATAGAAACAAGTCAAAGATATTCTTTAGACCAGATTTTAAACGATTATAAATAGCGCACTTTGGAAAGAGCATTGCATATTAATATAAGTTTAACTATAGTATATTACGTAGCTATATTTTAGTTTTAGGATATCTAAACAATACTTTAAATAATGAAAATATCATTTGAAACGATTGTTTTTATCTGCGTCCATCTGCGATTTCGAAGTTTTTGAATACAGTACAGTTTGACAAATAAAATATTCAAATGGAATCACTTTTATTATAGCCTATATATATGGTTATGTTTCTCTGAAATTTTTATTGCTTTTACTTTAGACTAATATTCTAAAATTCCTCAGAATAGTCGAGAAACAAACAAAAATATTGAGAGAAAACATTACTAAGAAAGGAACCCATTTTTGCTATCGATAGCTTATCGAAAAGGGATTCGATATTTGTCCGAGCAGGTGAGTAACGGTACTGGATAGTTTAGTCAGTCGAAAACAGATGTTGATAGCATTATAGAAATGTCGTAAGTATTGGAAACTGTTGCCGTCAATTGTTGTTTGGCTTTATCAATTGATGACAATGCTATTGGGACCCGATACGATATACATACATATAGTACATAGGTCCCGCTACACTTCTATTTGTATTTCATTTGAAAACAACATTTTTTGGAAATAAGTAGCTGAGAAAACAAATTCATGTTATGTCGTTTTGGAATTACAAAATATACATACATATGTATATATGTATGTATATATGTACATATATCCAATATAGTTTAGTACAAGTATATCAAGAAATTGGAAACTGATTGTATATTTTTAGGCTCATAGCTCCAGCTACATACTCATTTACATACTATGTAACAAATGGGGGATGCAAAATATTTGGACGCTTATTTAAATGTACATACATACATATGTATGTACTATAATTGATGCTTAAGTCATTTTTCAGGGAATGCGGGTAGTATACCCCAATAGACAGCCATCAGAACTACCAGAGCTATTTACTATTACTTAAATCATCTTCATAGTTTTGTAGATATATAGATTTTAAGCAGCTTTCGAGAAATTTTCTTGTTTTTATTATTTTTATTTAGGATAGTTTTTAGTTAAGAGCGAATAAAGAAAAATTTTTAGTTATTCTAAAATTAGGCTAATTGTTCCCTTTTTTGGGTAAGGCAGCATGGCAATTCTTGGGAGCGGCAACACCGCTGCTCCCCCCTCCATGTCTAAGTCTTCGTATGCATTTTGCTTAAGGCACTTGATTGGGAGGCGAGGATTACAGGCTACGTTACAGGATTACGTTGCTCATGGCTTCTTGCTTGCATATCGCTGCATGTTAGCATGTGGGATTAATAGAGAGAGAGTAAGAGAGCGAGACAGGTAGATAGATAGGTAGATAGAGAAGGAGACAGAAAGAGAGAGAGCAATAACTTAGAGACGCTATACTCACACTCTGGCGACTCGGGGATACATTCCGACGCGTGTTTGACGCCGCCCGTTGCTGGGACTGGGCACGAGTTGGGGACGCCAGCTGATTGCGAGCCGCCACACGCATGGGTGATACGGCATTACGATTCTGGTGTGGCTTGCTGGACGGGGGCGATAATTTCGGAGTTTTGGAGCGCATGGGCGACTTTTGTGGGGCGCTGCCGGCTGACGGTTGATTGGTTTTTTTGGGCGAAGATTGACGCTGTCGTGCACTCCGGTTGCCGACTGTGGGCGAATTGCGAACGGTTGGACGAACTATTAAGTCCGATTGCATTGTCGACTCCTTTTGTGGGGGCAGGGCAAGCACATCTGTCGGCTGTGTAATCAGACTCTGTTCGGGAGTTGAGTCGAAGAGGCGCTTGCGAGCGCTGGACTGCTGCCCGGCAGCGGCACGACAGCTCGTCTCCGTGGCCAAAAAACTATCGAGGCCCATTAGGCTGGATGGTGACGTCTGTGGCGTCGCTGCTGTTGTCGCTGTCGTCGTCGTTGGCGTGCTGTTAGCCGGCGAGGACACTGTTGGCGATGTGATGGTGATATTTATGCTGGGCAGTGTGCTAATGGGTGCCTCTGAGCAGCTGCTGCTCTGGGGGGTCGTCGACGGCTGTGAGCTGCGTAAGTTGGAGAGCAAACGCCGCTCGGGCAGCTCTGGGGAGCTGCGCCGGCACTGCAGCTGCGAGAGCGTCTCATGTAGCTGCTCCAAATCATCGGTGCTGGTGTATTCTGACACAGAGTTGTGCGCGTTATGCGCATAATTGGATACATTTATTTCCGCGCAGATCTCGTCAAGCAGAAACTGCTGTTGCCGATCGAACTCGTCCTGCATGCGACGCTGCTCTTCATGTTGGTAGTGGACCAGTTGCTGAAATCGATTGCGATGCGCACACTTGATGTCATGGAACATTTTTCGCTTGGCTAGTGCCAGCTGAACACGTTCGTGGGTGTCGGTGCTACAGCTCTCATGCAGCGCACTCTCCAAGAGCTCTTCCAGCTGCTGTTGATTGCGGAGCGTAGCAGCTGTGCAGTGCAGCACATTGTTGGGAGAAGAGCGGCTACGCTGAGGGCTACCTCGAAAGCTTGTGTGAGTACTGGATGAGGAACGCGAACAGATGCGACTGTTGGAGTTGTTGCGCTGGACTCGCTTCGCCTTGGACTCTACAGTGTCGCGACGAAGGTGGGCATAACTCATAGAGACGAAGGAACGACCAGGAGAATTAGAGGGCGTTAGTGCAGATTTTTTATCAGCAAAGCGGCAGCGCATTAATGGCTGGGATCTGCCTTTCGGGTCAGTCGCTGCCGCCGCCTCTGCCGTACGCTGCATGTGATCCACCAGCGCCTGTGATGGCTCATCCAACGTGAAGGATCGTGATCGTAACATTAGAGCCGCATCTGCAGCACACTCTCCGTTTAGGGCCGGACTAGTGCTGGAGCGCTGCATACGGCTGTCCTGCCAGACGACAGTCGCCACTGGTGGTGGTGCTGGGGACGTTGTACGCCGAATTCCTGTGTCGAGAGCACGCTCAAAGTGTAGAATCTTGCTTGTAATGGTGTTTAATTTACGGCGGCGACAATTTAGCATTGGACTGCAGCTGGGCGAAGGGCAGATCGCAGCCCGTGGTTGACCATTCTGTCCCTCTCTTTTGCAGTCTTGGTATGCCAGCAGCTCTGGCTCTGGGGATGGCTGTGGCTGAGGCTGTAGCTGCTGCGACTGTTGTGGCGTGGGCGGATCCACACAAATAATCGGTATGGTACCCATTTCTGAATCCGACTCTTGCTCCACTTCGAGTTCCAGGTCGAGCGTCTGGGGTCGGCGACGTGGTACTAACGGTGGAGGAGGCGGCGGCAGTTGTGTGCTGTCGAAGATGAACGTCTTTGTCTGCTGTAGCTGTGGCATACTGTGCCGTACGGTCAGTGATTCGCCAGAGGCAACGTTCACGGGAATAGGAATTGGAGTAAGCGTTGGAGTGATGTTGCTATCGCTATTCTTCTTCTTCTTGGCCATTGATAGTGCACACAATTCTTGCAAAGTCCTGATTTTGTTTATTGCTACTTGTTGTTGCTGTTCTTTTTCTGTCTGTTCCAGATGCTGCTCCTGCGCAATCGTGGTGGTGCTGTAGAGCGTTGACAACGATCTGACTGCGCGCGCCTGCTTATACTTGGCCTCAAGCTGCACCGCCTGCTCCCGCATTAGTTGCATCTCTCGTCGCTTTTCCTCTGTCATCTAGCGGCCGTTATGCTTCAGTTGAGGCACACCCATCATACTCACAACTACAAGATACTCACCAATGGCGGCAATATGGGCTGACCGCCGATGCGGAACTGGGAAACATAATGGGATGGTGGGAGGCAGCAACTTGAACTGCTTGTGGGTGTGCATGGTTTTGTAGTTGTTGGCGTATTGACTGTCGTGGCCGTCGTCGAAGACTCCATCGTTGCGGCGCTCTCTTCCGTTACCGCCTGCAGTAAATCCAACGCCATGCTGTAAATTGGCAACATTGTAATATAAAATTAAGATAAAAACTGCACGAAACGTCATTCAAACCAACCCTGTTGAGTCCATGGTATGTTATAATTTTGTTAAATCCAAAACAAAAAAAAAAAGATAAAGCGAAAGGTTTTGTTTTGAGCGTTGCTATGACAATTTGCAAGGCCAACTTTTCCCCGGCGATAGGCAGACCAACTCTGAGTTGGCATCACTTCCACAGCTGTGCATATCGATATATAAATACCACATAGCGATACTTGAAAAATACTAATGGACAGTTGGCAGTGCATCGCGAACAAAGGCCCAAAAAAATACCGAAATACCCATTGGAGGTGAGAACGTTGACGTGTGAAGACGCAACATGTTCGACAAGTTGAGCGATTTTTTTTTGTTTTTTTGATTTGTTGTATGATTTTTTTTGCAAACACGTCTGGATTACACCTGCCGCGCATAAAGTTCAATACAAAGATGTATTAGCCAAATTAATACAGAGTGCGTGTGTGCATGCGTAAGCAGAAAGTAGCTTAAAAGTAGTGGTGAAAAGCAAGTGCGAAAAATACAAGCAAACAAGCAAGCTGACCAAATTGTGGGCGAATCAACAAGAAAAGGAGAATGAATGATGAGGAAAAAAAGTAGTACTAGAAAAAAAATGCGAAAGCTACTGTGAAGTGACAAAATAAAGAGTGACAAGATAAAGAGCAACAAAATAAAGCAACAACAAAAAATAGTCACAATAACAATAAGTCGCTGCTGACGTCGCCGTCGCCGCTTACGTTGACGTCGCCGCTGCCGTTGCCTACGGTGTTGTGTTGGTTTGTGTGTGTGTGTGCGTACGTGCGTGTTTTTAGTAGCGAGAGCGCGTACGTCGTCGTTTTTCCCTTTATAATCTTCGTATTTGAAAATATTCTAATATTTTTTCGGGTTTGTATCCGTATCCAACATAAAATAACTTAAGCACTAGCGCCGCCTTGTGTTTCCAGCAGAATCAGCGTTTTAAGGCAGCGTGTAGTTCGCAACGCTTTGCAGAGGTATGTTATTTTTTCGAATTCTTATTAGATCATTGTCAATTGCCTGTGTTTGTTGTGTGTGTGTGTGTATGAGTATGTGTATTAATTTGTACATCGTCAAGTGATGGCAACAGCCCAAGCCACCCCCCAAGGCACACGCATAAGCATTTCCATATCCAATATATATCGTACAACATATATGATGTACGTATATATGTGTGTTTTTACTTGGCGCTCGCACGCTGCCGCAATATATTTAAAGTTGCGGCTGCTCTGCTGCAGCGACGGTGGCGTGACAACGAAACTAGAACTGTGCGTGAATTCGTGCGTGATCGGGAAATGCCGTTAATATTGTGAATTTGGTGACTGCCAAAATTGTGAAACTCTTGAAGGGGTTACAACATACGACATTATAAAAATTCAATAATACACACATATACAAAATCGCAGAAATGATTGCTTTTCCAAAAAGTTTGTTAATTAATTAGAACAATAATGATGTCATGTTAAATGAGAACCAAATAACTGCTTTATCTAAAATTATGCAAAATACATAGAAATATAAACATTGAGTTCACTTAAAATTACAAACTTTGTTTCAATCCATTAAAAGATTATTTGGTTGCATTGTTTATTGCAAGAAAAGGTTAAAAAAAAAGGAAATTTGTAGAGCATTACAAAAAGCTCCATAAGAGTTTCATTTTTTACAATAGATATTAAGACAAATTAGAGTTCCCACTACCCTTTCTCGACGCATAGAACAATTGTTCAAATTGAAATGATAGTTTTCATTATTTTTAAATATACATATATTATTCCGTTAAAAATGACAGTATTTAGACTTATTAATTAATAATTTAAATATTTCGTGCATTATCATTATAGTCATACAGTCTGTGAATTTCAGTGTGGACGAACGGTGTGTGTGTTACTGTTTTCTTTGTCACGCGCACAGCTCCAACGGCAAAACACGACTTCGTTTTTGTTGAATGCTTTTTGCTACTCACTCATTTTGCCGTTATTTATGTAACAAGTGTGCGTCGTGTGTGCAAGTTTGTCGTAAAGTTTGAAACAGAGTTATAGCTCTCTGCTTAGTGGGAGTGGAAGAGGCATAAATACATACATATAAACATATATGTATATACATACATATGTATGTATATGTTCGAAAAGTGGCCGCCGGGTAAAGCACATTGAACTGGTTAGATGCAGTTGTTTTTGTCGCTCCGAGTTATCAGCTGGCAAATTTTCGAATGATGATCAGAGCGCATCGTCGTTCAACTCGCATGCTCATGGCCAATTGACAATTGAGCTGCTGGTCTGTGAAGGGGGTGGGTAGGCGTGTATGTGGAGGTCGCGATGCCTCGCTTGTTTTTCTATTGTGTGTGTGTGACGTGCATTCTAAGCTGATCTGATTATCACAATCATGTGCTTGTTTACTAATTTTTGGCTACAACTACCTCACAACTGATTTGCATCTACATACAAGCATATTCATATATAGTATCTACATACAGGGTGTGCCATCTTTTATGTCGGTATGTAGATATTGAAAAACTTTGTCATTAGTGAACCGATTGACTTGACACTGGTCTAGTGTTGAAAACCTCAGTTCAAGAAATTGTACAGAACCAAATTAAATAAAAATATCTCATACTTGAAAATCGGTTGTTTATTTTCAAGGATATTCAATGTTTGCATACCGACATAAAAGATGGCGCACTGTACATATGTACATTGTATATAGATTCATATATACACATATAGTATTAATGAATTACAGAAAGAATCACAACGAAGGCAGCGAAATAGTATGTATGTAAATCATTATTTTATTGTCATTGGCGCACTGATAACAACAGCGACTTCATGCCCGTGAGCGACGCGTGAGCAAAGCGTGTGTTTTGCTGTCCATGTTCGATATCGCGGGCGATTTCCATTGTTACACTTCTCGCGTTTTGTTCTCATTTTTATAATCATCCAAAGAGCGTTCAACAGCAATCAGATTGCTTGCAACGACACGTGAAAAAAAAACACCTAAAACACAAAAAACATGGAAATATAAGCATTGAGTTCACTTAAAATTACAAACTTTGTTACAATCAAAATATTATTTGGTTGCATTGTCCGATATTCCAACTAACGCAGCCATAGCAACATCTTTTGTCATATTTTGCTTTTGTTCTTTCTGATTTTTCCACTCTTCTTCTCGTGATAGATAGAATTTAGTAATATAAATATACTCTTTCAAATTTAATCCAACAGATACAGAAAGTTATACATTTTCAGTTTTTCATGTATCCATAGTATTTATTTTATCCTTTATTACTGTACTGCGTTTCCTACTTCAGCTACAAAGGATTAATCGAACTTTTTACTATTCTTCTTCAATTGTCAATACAAAAACCATGAATTTTAAATTACGTATAAACGCAATAATGACGCCAAAATAACAATCTTAAGTTTGTGCGAGAAGGTATTGCAAGCTAGGTTTCATATCCAGAATAGACCAGTTTCGAAAACGAATTAACTGGAATTTAGATAGCTTTAATTATCAGTGCCTTTCAACAGAATAATCCATAGCTATAAAAATAAAACACAATATGTATTTATATTTTTCTAGGGTATTTCATCATAGGTGTGTCGCGAGGCGTCATAGTTTCAATAATTGTCGGTGTTCCATCTTGCAATTTGTTTATAAATTTTCCAATCCGTTTCTGGGACGTCACGGCAAAAAACATCATTTCGTAACCTCCACCGCAAACGCCACCTTCCCATCTCCCTCTGCCCCTGACTTTGCCAACGTCAAACGGTACTTGCGACATCGCTAGTCGGCTTAGGTGAGGTACATTTTTGATCATGACTGTATACTATAATTAATGTAATTGTCATCAAAAACAATACCAACAACAACTAAAACAACGAGCACAATACGTTATGCGTCACTGCGTAATTGTTTTATACACCCTTGCTGGGGCTGGTTTTATTTGCTTAAAATTACAAAACTGATTGCCTGAATGGCTTAAAGGCCACATATGGATAACTGATGGTTTAGTGCTTTGTAACAAATGGATACATTTGCATGTACGAAGTAGAAGTCAACAATAGCTTATTTAATACCCAAAATAAAGTACACCGAGCCAATGTATTATAATTATAACGTGTTTTTATATCATGTGTACGATGAGTAAAAAGAGTATATTAGGCTTATCCAGGCAGAAGGAAGCACCTCCTACGCCAGAAAGTACATATACACATATATTCAAATTTAGGCGATGTCTAGCTCCATTTGTCTGGATGAACGTCTGTATTTCGAAAACCGCTGAGCCCAAATTGATCAAACTTGGACTGTAGACTCTCCTAGTCCCTAGACAATGGGAGTTTATTTTATTAAATACAATAAATGTACTATTTAAAATGTAAGACGTCTACCAAACTTAAATTGTCCAGCGTACTCGTACACCTGCTAGGCTATAAAAACAATATGACTTCGGAATGATAATGATTCGTTCCTAATTACCCATTGTGGAGTTTAGCCGCATAACCCCCCAATAACAACTCAATGGAAAATTTATGATTGGAAGTGAAGAACCACTTTACTGAATGTCAACCAACGAATAATTCGCTGCTTTGGCAGATTAATTTCTGGAGATATTTACCACCGTCGCTGCAAAAAGTTGTGTACAATGAAGGAATGAAAGAGTCATCATATGGATATTTTATTTTGTGTATCCTGTACCCGAAGGATGAAATGATATGCAAAGAGCAGAAGGAGGTGTAGCAGACCGCATATTATAGATAACCTTCATTAATGAGCAGCATGACGAGGCAACTTGATATAGACATGTCCGTCCCTATAATCGCCAAAAACTTTATCATTATCCTTATTATTTTTATATATTCAGTTGCCATATGACCGATCTGTGCAAACATTGCTGTCAGTACCAACAACTTTATTGTTTATTAGGATGTCGAAACCAAAATTAATTGATTTTTTTCGTATTAATCTAAAGTTTCATCAAAATCGACTCACTATATCATATAGCTGCCATGTGAATGATTGGCTTACTTTAATTGCTGCTGAATGCCACGTTTTCATTGTTTTAAATAGCCAACCATATTGCGATCGAAAACCAATTCTTATCAGGCAATAAGATTTTTGGAAGGCGAACAGTTATGCTATCCAAACATACTAGTTTCCGATTTCATTGCAATCAGTCCCATTATCATTGCTGTATCAATAGCCTTGATGTGCAGGTGCAGGTGGTCGACGTATGAGTGCCACAATACGATTGTGGACGGCAACAAAAGGCAGAAGAGCTGGTATTTAAAATTATATCAAATTTAAATCTAAATATAAAACTGAAACAATAAACAAATGAAGAGGCAAACGAGTTCTTAGTAATTGAATGTGTCTTTATTTCCAAGAAATTATATGCTCTTTAGGAATACTCTTATCCATTACACAAAACTACCTTTAAATATCTACTTGATTTGGAAAATTTGTGCAAATCGAGGAAATTATATAGTATGGCGTTGTTCTTGTTGTTGTTGTTGCATTGGGTAAACTATTTACTGGGAATTGAAAAAATAGCTAGACATTCTTATTTTAATATAAAAACTTGACAGTTCGTAACCTCTAGGAGTTCACAAACAGATCTTAAAGCATAGATTATCCTCTGTATTTAAATAATTAGTGTACCTTAAACACAACTTAATGAGCAATATGTTAGACTCTTCCTGGGCTTGGGACAACAATCACTGTTGCGTACATTGCGGTTCATGTTAAGAATGTAATGCAGGCTCTTGATTCTTAATTATTCATATTTTTGATATAAGTACACAATTTCATATGAATTGGCCAACTTTATGTTTTCTTTTGTGTCTTTCTATTTTGACTTCTGGAACTTCTTATTGTTTTTAACTTACATGATACGTATAAGGGGCTTTTTTGTTATTGTCCCTTATATTTTCCTAATATTTAACGCCTACACACACCACACATACATACATAAGTAGAAGTAAATTTTTGCTTTTAAATTTAACGCTTCACCCACCAATTTTAATTCGACTTCTTTGCAATAGGCATAGAAAATATGCGAATAAATATTCGTATTCTACCGAAAAATTGTACTGCATTCATCATGCCTGAATTCCGTAGCCTCTACGCCTCGTTGCCCCCGATGTTGTTATAGTTTCGGTTGGTGAAGGTAGTAAAATATTTTACGTTCTGATTTCTGATTGCTTGGCATTAATAATTACGCATAATGCGCTGTTCTATTTATATTTTTATTATTGTTGTTACTATTGCTGTTGCCTTCATATTGATTTGTGTAATTGATTTAATTATTGATTAAGAACTGCAGCGCCCGTTCCGTTGCTCCCTTCCCTAGGTTTTCCATCAAAACAATTTAATGGTTGCCAGTTCCCTAGAGCCATAAATTATGAAGCCGTAAATGTGTTTCCAGTTGCTCGTACTAAGCATTTAGTTAATGTTTGTGTTGGCTATGTGTGTGAAGGTCGAGCGCCGTTGAAGTATTCCCGGGTGCCATAACGCCATTATACGAGTATGTATGTGCATCACATAAATCGGAACACTTGTAAAACGAAGTGTTTAACGACGTGGAAGTGATGTGCACATCTAATTACCAAAGTTGCTTGTGCCGAAAAAAAAAACACAATGAATCACTAACAATGTGTCGATACCCGTGCGAATGCGACCTGAATCATAAGGTAGGGAAATAGTGCGCATATACAACTATGTTACAAATAAGCACGAAGTGCCGGCCCCAATGACTCCCATTGTAAGCCAATTTAGAATTCAATTCAATGGCGATATATCGTTAGCTTACTTACATTTATTTTATACGTTTCGCTATAATTTTCATTTATAATTTTGCCGAATTTTCATAACCTGAAGTATCAACAGTGGAATGCCAATTTAACTGAAATATTTTCGGCCAAACTTTATATTTTGTTTTCAATAACTGCCCTTTAAATGTATATGATATTATTTATCTTTGTCCACCAATTTTTCATTCAGATATGTTAGTTCTGAATTCAATATTTAAAAGCCAAATGTGAACGCTCAACGCTCCAAGACATGTTTACAATGATCAAGATCGAGAAGAATGGTAAGGCTTCAAAGGGAATTTCAGTGATTGGCAAATTCAAAAAAAAGCCAGCATGCCCTTTCATGCTTCGAGTAGACGATATAGAAAAAAAAAAATTGGACATCGATTAGTTTTTAATAAAGAAGTACGCTATTTCTCCGATATTTGAGTCATTGGATTTAAGAATTGTGTAGGCCAATCTCTTTCTTTGGTTAGAAATCATTCAATCATCAACTGGTTTTCAACGGCACTCGCACATTCTTTCTTTATTCGTCTGGAGTGTATGTTTTGAGTGTTGCTTGAGAGCTGCGCATAAGTAATCAGGCCTGTTCCCGTTTCCGGGCTCGGTCAAATAATACGACAACTAAATAAATCAATTTTGCAATTTTCGTCAAACAATTGAGTTATTCTTCAAGCTGGCAGGAAGAAATTAGCTTTTGAAACCTAGTGACTCACTCGTTTTCCGGAATTGAGAACATTTGCTAATTTGTTTGAGCCTGAAAACGGGAAGAGGCGTGAATATTTTCGTAACTTCTTTAAATGCCTGACTCTAACTTGAACTTTCCCTTACATTTACAGACAGATCCATGCAAAATGTCTAGTCCTGACGATAGAATACCAATACATGGTAAGTAACGAATAAACGTAATGGTGTGGGTGGACTAGATGTCCTGGAGGGTTTCAATGGGTGGCACTATAGTATTGTGGCGACCAACAAACAGACCAACCGCCCGACCAACCGACAATATGCGAATACATAACTGAATTGTACACAACAGAACACACATACACACAACAAAGATAAGCTAAAGTATGAGTTTGTATATACTTACATCTATATAGTATGTTCGTACATGGAACGAAAGGCAGGCACACAGATATAGATACACAGTATATATATATATATATATGTATATATGTGTGTGTATTGCTTTTCCAAAAATAACTGTAATAAGCGCTGAGTTGTGTGCAAGAGGCAGGCGCTGTCTGCCTGCCGCCTGGCTGCTCGCCTTCCTTACTTCCTTCCTGTGATGGTAGGTCGGTAGGTGGCTTAGTTCTTAACAGGCTCTGTTTTTACTGTCTTTGCCCGGGTCCTTGGTTTGGGTTTGTGTCTCAATCTGAATCGGAATCTGGGCTTGGGCTTGGGTCTAACAAGAACCAACAGCAACGACATTGTCCATGGTCGTCGGCAAATGCAGAACGCTATTTCGTGAAAAACAAGTGGTTCCATTCGCTGGCCTGCCTTATGATGATAATGTTGAGGGTGGTGGTAGTGTCGAGGGGATGGAAATGATTTTGACGCCAACATTGTTTCTGTCGTTGTCTTGTAATTGCAATTCGGTTTCATCCACCTATTCTGGTTCTTGGCCATTGTTGCTTTACTTATAGCTTAGCACGTGGAGGGTCCAAATGGAAAAGAAATGTTGGCATAATCTTTAGCTGTCAACTCTCGTCTTGAATCCAACCGCGTCCGTTACTCGGCCGCCCCCTTCCCTTCCACCGCTGCCGTAGCTGCTCTCAGCGTCTCTGCGGCCTGTTTGTGTATGACTAAAGAAAACATTCGTTTATCGATTTTGTGCTATTTTTAGCAAATTTACTTGCCTTTGAAAAAAACAAAACAAAAACAGAAACAGCAACAATGTGAAGTCCACGCTGTCGTCGTCGTTTTAGAGGCAGCGTCGTCTGAAACTTTGCCATCAGAACATGTTGTATACATATAGTATACATATCTATGTATGTATGTAAGTATCTACATACACACATATGTATTCAGTTTTGTGTGTGTTTGTGTTTGCGTGTGGGCTTTTTGCAATATTTTGCAGCTGCGCCCATTAGACAACACAAAATTGTGGGTGGGTGTTGTTAGCCTAACAAATCAACCAACCCATCAAACCATCTATCCACTAGCTTATCAATTTTGCATTCATCGATCGACCAAAATGTTCATTTTCATTTTCTCAGCATACATTACAGTCCATCCTAACTAAATGCCACTAAAAGGAGATTTCGAAAATGCCTTGAAATTGATAATCCACAAGCAAACTCATAGCCAATTTTCAACCAATCCATTGTGGCTTTGAGCTTAAAATGCAAATTAGCTTAAAAGATGATCTCTTGTACGATGTTCTTTTATTTATTTTGCTGTCGAATTCCGGAATACGCTTTTGTAGCATTCAGCCCAAATGGATGTCGATCCTTGTTTGAAAATTACATCTATTGAAGAGACTATTTACTAAACAGGTAAATAGTTTGACGCCCACGGTGCTTGGTAATTTTTCGGCAATTCTCTATGAATCACGCAATGATTTTGTAGATGTTGTAGGTAGTCGTCAGTCCAACCAAAATTCTACTTTGCAAGTTAAATAGTACCAAACCAATAATTATGCTAAGAAAAATGTATCGCGCCAACATGAGACTTTCTAGAGCAATTCATTCCCGAATGGAACCGTGTCTGCAGCGATGTCTGAGAACATTCTTAGACTAGATTTGGTGAAAACCCATGGATCACATATGGTACTAATAGAATAGAATTTGTTTGTTTATATTCATGCCATCTTAATAAATAAGTACTAAAAAGACTTTCGTCATGCTTGGCAATGCCGTAAATATTAATAAAACTTGATAGATATGTGATTAGATAGGACAACCATACCATATTTGGTATCTAAAGTAATGGCTCCAATAACCCCAGAGCTTATTTAGAAAATTAGAATTTGTTAATATTTCTTAAGGCAAAGATGCTATATTATTTTTATTAGTAACTTTTATACACATGCACACTTTAAAACAGTTGGGAACAGCTAAGAATCGTCTTTAATCGGCTTTAATCCACTTATTGTGACCATGGTGGCAATCGGAGGTGCGGCAGGTGTGGTGCGTCCTTCTTCTTCTGTGTTGACAAAACTTTTAAATTACAAGTACAGGCGTTGTTACTGCATACATACATACGTACAGATACATATGTATATTTACATACATGTGCATTTGTTTTTGTTGAATTTCATGGTCGATGCCGTGGCCTTAATGTGCGTTGTGGTTTAGAAATCAAATTGCAATACTGCATGCATACTCGTACACACACAGGTACACATGTGCGTGTGCGTATTTTACGACTTTTATTCAATTTCCTTGCACCTGAGAACCCCACATACACACATAAATGACACCTGCCACAATCGCACAGACAGGCAAAGGTCAGCCTAAGCGTGTCGCCGTTTAGGTGGCATAGCTGGAAAACCCAACCCATTCACTCCCAATTCGGCGGCCGTCCTGCCTCGCCATCTTCGCGCCATTAGCAATCTTTGTGCCTTGGGCAGTTATTGTAACGGCACATGCTAAGAATAAAACTCGACTTTGTCGCTCTTTCTCTCTCTCTCTCTCTTTCTTTCGCTCTGACTAACTTTTGTGATGGTGTGTGTGTGTGTGTGTGAACACATTATATAAAATCGTTAGCTTTATGTATGAGCGTCAACTTGTGCCTTGCTCTCATCCTTGTGTGTTAGTATGTATATGTGTGTGTGCAATAATTTGTGTTGTTGTCCGTTTCTGCCTTTTAGCTTTACATTTATCAAGGTAAAGTTACGCACACACATGCAGACACACACAACGACAAGTGTATTACTCGTAACTCGAACTTGAAGCCCTCACAGCGAACGGCGGCCTAGCCAAAACACAAAAACAGAATAACACCTCCTACTGATCCGCCCCATCGCCAAAGTCGGCGTTGTCGTCGTCGTCATCTCCGTATTTGTTGTTGTTGCTGATGTTGCTGTTGTTGTCCAAATGCCCAAAATGTATGCGAGGCGTGCTGTTGTGGGCTGCTCTGTGTCTATTTTTAGACGTGCTGGAAATTTTCCCCAGCACCACACAAAGATGCACACACACACACACACACACACACACATACAAGAACGCCGCTCTCATATACACACATTCACATATGTACATACAAATGTCGCCTGCTATCACTCAAAACAAAGTTAGTGAATTGAATGGGTCGGGTCGGGCCTATCAGATTCGTGGTTCGTGTGGCGCCGACCTACACATCGGCTTGTTTTTCTGTTGTTGTTGTTGTTGCTGCCCTTACAATGACTATAAATAAAATGCCCTACACTTAAGTTATGCTTCGTGAACTGGGCACAAAGAGTACGAAGAGGAACTGTGTAGTATGTACAACTACAACGACGAAGAAGACTGTAACTCAAACTGTAGCTGGTTTGTTTGCCTGCCAAAGCTGTTGTTGTTGTTGGCTTATGTTGTTTTTGTTGTATCTGGTCAATTATCCAATTGGATTTTAGTTTCATAAAATTTACGATGAGGTCGCGATAACTTGTTCGTTGAAATTGCGCTTGAATTGATATACAGTTGTAGTTGTTGTACAAACATATGTTACTCGTACGTATTCAATGTATTTGTGTATGTACATACATATGTATGTTTGTGCATGTAAGTGAGTAATTCAAACTGCGTGTGTTGTGTGCTTTTTGGTTTCTATGTCAACGCATTGACCTTGAAAATTTCAAGTGACCGACGGACGCAACAGCAACAGCAGAAACTTTTCAAAGATGTCGCAAAAACAGCTGACTAACTGTGACTCGAACAAACGAAAACAACACCCTCAACCTCATCAACCATCAACACAAACGCCCAGCACAGTTTGGGAACAAACTTTTTTGTTGTGCACCTGCAATCACTGTCGCAGTTGCAGTCGCGGCCGTCGTCGCTGCAGCGCCCTGCCTATAAGTGTATTGTTGTTTACAAGTGTCTGCCTGCACACACACACACACACATATATAAGCACTAACACATCGGAAGAGGGGGTCATGGAAGTGAGCTGCAGCTGTTGCTTACGCGCTCTCTCATTCACACACGCGCCGCCTCGCAGCTCTCTCGTTTGTTACCTAAGTTCTCTCTCGCGTGCTTTTTTGTTGCCTTTGCTTTGAATTTGGCTTTTTCATTTAATGGCACACACACATATATTTGTACATATTGGCATATGTATATATTGGTTGTTGGTTGGGTCGGTCGGTCGGTAGTCGGTCAACGGGAAAAATATTGCAAGCAAACGTCTGCGCCAGCTTCGATAGAATTTGCTTTTTGTGCAATGTGCGCGCGACTGACTTAAGTTGGCTTACTGGCTGCTTTTTGTTGTTGTTATTCTTGTTGCTTCTAAATATACTCAATAGCCATGCACGATTTATAAAAGCTGCTATATATAGAACAGCAGGTCACGGCCTATGCGAACGGCAACCAACAGCAGCAGCAACAGACATACACACATAAACAAGCGCAAAAGTCACTCACATATGTATGTATATTCATATACTAGATATGTACATACATATGTTTGCATAGATGCATACATACATATGTATGTACATAAGTATGTATTTGTACATATATATGTATGTATGTATATAGTATATGCGTTAAGCTAAACATATTGCCATTGTTATTGCTGCCTTTTTTCTATATATAGTCTCTCTCTATATAGACAAATATTCAATTAAAATCAATTCCCGTCGTCGTTGCTGCACAGAAATCAAAAATAGACGTGCGCGTTGCTGTTGCTGTTGCTCGTTGACTGCCTCTCTGCTTGCCATTCGTTTAATTTCGTTCGCTTTTGCTTTTGCTTCTACTTCTTTTCTTGCTTCTTTGCTGATTATTTTTGCTCACGTAAAATGCCAAAAAGCATGCAAAAAACAGGAAAAATAACAACAACAGAAAATAGCAATAATGAATAAAAACGAGCCAAAAAGTTATCTTTGTCTGCACCGAAATTATATACCCTTCACTGTGGCTTACAACAAAACCATTATTATTCCCTCATGTTTATGGCCCAGGAACTACAAACTTTACTGCACCTGAAAAATGTCGTACTTATTTTGCTTTTAGTTATCCATTATTTGGATCACCTTTTCTGGCTAACATTTTCAATATTCAATTTGGTTCCAATATCTTTATAAGCAATAATGTTTGACAAACAAGAAAACGTTTCAAATGATAAGTTTTATGATATCGTGATCATTCCACATATTATCTGTGTCCGTCAAAAGAAGTATCTTCCTAATGAGCTTAAACACTAAAAACAATAAACACCTTACACTTTTAAGTGACTTGATTGTTGCAGAGGCAGACATACATATGTATGTTTGAAACTCTTATATAGTACATATGTATATTTATGAATGTACATATGTATGCTGTAAACCACCTAATAATGAAAGTCCTAAAATTGCAATTAAGTCAGAGCCACAAACACATATTTATCGCGATTTGGATAATTCTTATCGTCGTATACAGTGAAAACTCTCTTGGCCGGACACTCACGGTCGGCTAATTTTTGTCCGCCGAAGGGGATATTTAAATACTTTATACACCGATCGAATGTTTTAGAAAGTGTCCGCCGAAGAGAGTGTCCGGATAAAAGAGGTGTTCATTAAGGGAGTTTTCACTGTACCTATAAAGTATCCTATACCATCCTTCTTTATGGGCGTTACAGACATATTGGTTAAAATATATCCCTTACACTTTTCAGCGAAGGGTATTAGAACAAGTGTCAGTCAATGACAAAGCAGAGCAGTCAGGCATTCAAGTGTGTGTGTGTGTGTGTGTGTGCCTGTGCCTGTCTCTGGCTCTGTATGTGTAAGCCGCCTCATCAAACGTTATGTGTGTCTTGGACAATTTTGCAATTGTTGGTTTAGTCATGAGCAGCAGCAGCAGCAGTGGCGGCGGGCAATGTGCGCAATTAGTCCGTCATCCAGTTAAAATGATTTGAGCGACAGCGGGGTTAAGAGACGAAGAGAGCGAGGTGAAGAGAGACAGAGAGAGAGAGAGAGAGAGAGAGAGAAAGCTCAGCGTTCGTGATCAAATGAGTAGTAGCAGTAGATAGTGGTCGGGCGGTGGTGGTGACAATTATGAGATTGGGGCTGGGGCTGCCGCCTGGCGTTCCTTTCCTTTCAATATCAAAAACATTTTGTCTTACGGTCAGTCACTCAGTTGCTCATTTGCAGCGTTTATCAATGAAAATGTTAGCTTTGTTTTCACTGCACTTTGCCTGTCGACAAGCTATAGCGTTGACGTTGGCGTTGCCGTTGCCGCTAGCGTCGACGTGGACGTTGACGTTGACAGCGATGTTGTTGGCATGTTTTTTGTGTTTGTGGAGCAGCAAATCAAATTAGTCGTACGGTGGTTAACAGAGCGGTATGTGGGGCGTGTGCAGGGGGCATTCGCTAACTGAAGACAACGAACTGGTATGGGTCTGCCTGCTGCCTGCCGCTGATCAGACGAGGTTTTGAAATTGTTTGACGTCGCCGTCTTCGCGTCACGTGCCGCACGTTGGCCGAAACAACCGAATAAGCAAACGAGGGAGCGAGCGAGCGTTTAGAGCAAGTTGCCTTCAATACTTATCTAAAGAATCGAGCTGTGGCATGTCTGGCCGTTCATGTAATAGCTGTAAACTTGTACAAGGTTACTAAAAATAGTCAAGCACATTCATATACTATATGCCAGTATATTTGTATGTAACATACAGACATGCATGTACATACATACATGCATATATACACGTACATAGTTCGACGTTCAGTCGTCAGAAACGACGGCATTCTAACTACATATGTATGTGCGAGTATATATGTATGTATATTTTAGATTTATTTTTAAAAACGTCTGATAAGCGCGACCGCTGCGCTCTTATCTATATAATCAGCCAACGTGCTGGCACACATATGCACACATACATATGTACATGAAATTCATTTATGTATTATACGCATATAGTCGAAAATGTTTATACATGTTTCCATTGTGTGACTTGGTATTATGTTTTTGTAAATTATTTTTGGTGCTTTTGTAGGAAAACGTGCGTTCAATACGTACGTGCACACATTGTATGCAAATACATGCATACATACATACATATGTACATTTATGTGTACATATTCCGTTCTCTAATATTTTCGTATCTCGCTGTTTACTTTTCACATTTGCAGATTTACCGCCAGAAGCCGGAAACGGTGAGCGAATGATACACTTTGATGTCCACCACCAAGCCGTTGATATTGATCAGCAGATACTGGAGGTAAGTTTGCGATGTCATTGTACATACATATATGTATATATGTATATGTATATATATACATATACATAGTACATACAATATGTAAACACAAGATTGTACTTTGGTAAATTGAAAATCTTTTTGACTAACGACACCACTTCATATGTGGGAGTGGAAATCTCCACAAAAAAAAATTGTGTCTAAGGGCACAATTTCTTTTTATGTTAACGACTGTGAAAATACTATTTGCGTAGTAAATAATAAATAACTAGCAACTCATTTTTGTACGATTGCTGAGATGAGAGAAAACACATGAATGTGTTCTTCTGTGCGCCCAGAAGAATGTACGCCACATCTGGCGTCTCTACGTTCTATCGTTTTCCTAATACAGTTATTCAAACTAATCATATACAGCCGAAATCGCTTTAGGTGTTACAAAAATTTGTAACATCCGTTTTCGGTAAAGGCCTTTCTGTACCTCTCTATAAATAAACACGAATATTTGAGATTTCTTACCAAGTCTTTGGTTTTATTACGCATACGTAGACACCAACTTGGCGTATACGTAATTTTTCAGCAAATGCTAAATTGGATTACACAACCAGCAGAAGGCTTGGCTGATCCCATACACTGATCAGCATGACGAGGAGGTCTATTTAGCCATGTCCGTCTGATTGGTTGCAAAGATATCGAGGAAATGTTGGAGCAAGATTCAAGGGTAAAAAGGGTATTTAGGTGTTTCACTGTTTTATACTCATATTTTAGTTCTTTTCAAAACACCTTTTCTTCTGACGCCAAACATTTTCCTTAGTTGTCGCAATTATATTTTTTTTTTATAAAATCCTATTTTACTTTTAAACCCTTCAACTAATATTGGCTTTTCAATATAAGTTTGTAATACCTTAAGCTGAATTTTTCCATGCAAGGCTATTTATTAGCCTTAAGACTGTGTTGGTTGCTAACTTTTTACTTTTTTTTTTTTTTATGGGGCTTACTTCTAAACTGCACAGCGAACACATATGCTTGATTTTTCTTGAAACCGCTCCATCATATTGTATAAGCATGTTCTGCCGATTTAGGTATAGCTTCAAAGTTTTTGAAGCTATTTGAATCAAATATACAACTGCCATTGGAACGATTCGTTTTAAAAGTTATTCGGATGAATATTTGTATTGTTCGTGAATGAATGATTTATTTAATGTTTTATGTTTAACGAACACGAAGTGGTAAAGAATAATTATAAACTTATAAACTTCGCTTGAATTGAGTACATTTTTGTAGTAAAAAAATTGAAATCATTGTACCTTAGTATGTAAAACAACTTTTGAATAATTGAAACACACTAATCATTTATAAGTATGTATACCCGCAACATGGAGCATATCCAGCACCCCCTTCTATACATATGTATGTTCATCATGTTCTCTCACTACGATTGACAAATATAAGCTAGTGTGGGGGAATATTATTCGTGGAAATCAAATCGAGTGAATGGTATTATTGAACTTTTTCCGAGAACCAAAAATTATAACAGAGTCAACAGATGGTCGACCGGACACACCACCTATTTATCTAAAAAGCTAAAATGATTGCAAACATAATGCTGGAGCTTTAGTTGCGAACCAAAGTTGATTTGCGGTTCAGGATGTTGTTTCTTTCTTCTACAGACGAGTATAAGCTGGGAATTGGGGAAGCGTCGCCGATTTGTTGATATTATTAGAAGCAGGCAGATATCGTTAGGCAGATACACCTAAAAGAATAAGCACATTATTGGAAGGGTGTCTGAAAATATTAATGTATACGGAATCGATCAAAAATTAGCCCAACAAGGCTACTCGCAAAACACATTTACATATGTGTGTATGTATATAATACAAGTATGTACAAATATAGATGATTCAATTCTTGCATCAGACCTTCAAGTACAAACAAGCAAGCACATTAATAAGTATAATATACTACACCTATATATACACTAGTGTAATTATATTAGACTAGTTTATTTTACAAAGAACTATGACTATATTCAATTAGAATATATTTAATATGAATAGTGTTTGAGGAATTACATTTTATTGTGTATGTACACGTCCTCGGGGACTCTTCTAATCTAACAAGATGCTTCAAATTTTAATTAATTTTATTATTGTGGAAGGTCAAAAGTGTGGGAGCAGACGACGATGTTGTCAGACCTGGATGGGGGCGGTCTGGCTGGCTTGCTGACTGACTGACTGGCCGGCTGACTGGGTATAGGAGGGGAGTGATCCCATTTTCAATTAGTTTTTACTGATTGTAACCTCTTTGGGAATGCTGTCAACGTCGCTTAGGCTGTGCTTGTTTTCCTCTCCTTGCTCGCTTCTCATTTATTTATACTTTTCACATTTTCCTTTCTGCTGCCGCTCGCGTGTTGTTGTCTTATACCCTAACAAATAGTTTGGTAGCCTATTAATAGGGGATCGGAATAGCATTGGAAAAAGTAAATGTCTACAAATATATTTTTCCACATTTCATACAATTTAATGTAGAAATATCTTCAATTGATATGCCTAAACGTTCGATTGCAAGAGGCATCTATTAGCCTTTTTCATTGCACCTCAATCGGCCGATCTATTGAAACAAGAACAATGGAAATAACTCTCTCTTTCTGAGGAAGTGTGAAATGATTTGGTGGAGGAGTATAGATCCTAAGCACCTTTTTAAAAAGCGAACAAAAAGCAATGTTCTTCATTAAACAGAAACAGGTTGCAGACCTGCAATTAAACCTACTCGACTGTAAGATGCCCTGTACGCAGATAAGCTGTTTAATTTTTTAACATGAGGCCAATTCCATTTAAGTCTGATACGTAAACATTATAAGTATATACATATACGTGCATATGGATTGTTCCTTCTGTAAAATAAGCAACGACAAGCTAAGCTCTGTATGAGATAGCTTAGCTACAATTCCAGGGATAATAGAACACTTTAATATTTGTTTAAATGGATAAATATCTGAATAATACCAGCTTTGAGTTTTCCATATCCAACAAACTTTTAAGCTATTGTATTGTCTAGTGTCTTAGGAACATACTCATTTATAAACTTTAAAAGGTTTTCAGGAGCAATTAGAAATACAAGCTTGTATCATCAGCTGTCAAGTGTAGTTTTAGCATTGATGTTCAGAATCGATATTTAAAACTCGAACCCTTATTTCTTGAGTTTCTGGAATGTGGAATATATTTATTTTATTTACGTATTAGATATACATACATATGTATATTGGAATACGATGCTAATTAACAAGAGTATTGAGACTTCGTCGCACTAATATTTTCGGATACGTCTCGTATGTGTGTGTGTTTTTCGCTATTGCTCTTTCTTCTTTTAATCTAAATATAAACGCGTGTACAACTTAATGATTCTATATTTATTGTTTTCTCTACGAAAATATGTATGAGTATTTTGCGCATTTTTTAAATAAAACGACGATGGGGCTAAAAATAAAACTGAGAACGAGCAGCGACGACGATGACAACAACAACAACAACAAGAAGAAGGAGACGCATACGGATGATGTTGGCGATAAGATTGAGAGGCGGTGGTGGCGGAACGTGCTCGTTGACAGTGGCACTCGCCGCTTGATGGCTTACAGTTGCTAGACGGTATTGAGGCACACGCAGGGTTGCATTTAGCGAGTGATCAGTGTAGCTGCTTATGGCTTTGGCTTTTGTGTGTCGCAAGCAGAGACGACGTGGCCAACTTTGTTGCCTGTGCGACCAACTGCAGGCCAACATGTGCACGCCCAGCCCCTTTTCCCCCACCTGCTGCTGCTGCTGCTGTTGCTGTTGCCACTGTTGTTGCCCCTCGTCCTTGTCTCTTATGCATTCAATTTATAGCAAGATTTATTTATACTCCAACTTTTTGCTGCCGCTGCTGCTTCTGTTTTTGTTGCTGTTGCTGTTGGTGTTGTTGTTTTGTTTTCAGTTTAATTTTATTTTTGTAAAGTGTTTGTAGCTGTTCTAAAGTGTACAGCCAGCCCCCTTCAGTTGCCACCACCCATACCCATTCTCTAAGCTCTTTGAGTGTGATTCTCTGTTACTGCTGCTGCTGCTGCTGATGATGTTTCGGTTTCAGTTTTTTTCTCTGTTATTTTTACTTTTTCCTTTGAATTTATTTTTGTGTTTTATAAACTCTGTGGGTTTTATTTTTAAAATACACAACGCGAACATTAAGAATACCACGAACAATGCTAATACAGAGTGTTTTATAAAAAATACTTTCTTTTGTTTTTGTTGTTTGTTATTTATAAAATTGTTGCCTTTTGAATGTTGCCCGCAGACGCGGTTGCTGCTGCTGCTTTGATATAAATACATACATACATACATACATACGCATATATTTATGTACAACACCTATAGTGGTAAAATCAGACCCATTCTACCCGTCCTCTTCCTTTGCTGCAGTCAGCACAATTCGAAAAATCCGCCGAAATTGGTAATGAAAATGTATAAACAATTTTTGCTTACGCAAAATATTTATTTAGATTCTATATGTGTATGTTTGGAATGTGGAACACTGAAGAGTTGACTACGAATTTTCAAACAGTAATCACAAAAAAAAAATTCCATTGCTAAATTTTCCAAGCATCGATAAATAATTTAGTTATCCGTTTTTAAAAGTGGCTAAGGAGGAACAAATTTGTAATGCTATGCAGATTCAGGGAAATACCATACATAAAAGCCAAATTGCTAACTTTTTAACTTTAACTATCGCGCAAGTGTATTTACAACGATATATTTATGTTGCAACTGTTTCTTTGCTCAGTGCTTAAAAATGCGCTGCATTTGGTATTCTTTTTTCTTTTTCTATTTATATGGGCGTGTCTGTGTGTTTGCGCTAATTATAGCACAGCGTTTATAATTATACCAGCAACAACAAAAACAACAATAAGAGCAGCAGCACTGCAAGCAGCCGGCAGCAGCCAGGAAAAGTTAAGTGAACAGTGGCGACAACAACAGCAACAGCAACAACAGATGCGCTTTCGGCTTCCTCAACTGTTGCTGCTGGTGCTTGGCCAATTCTAGGAATTTCACATGGGCATATGGCTAGTTGAGGCACAGTGTGACACAGATGAAGAGCGAGAGAGTGAGAGAGAGTAAGAGCGGCGGGTGGTTGGGTGGTTATTGGGTCGCACGCCCATTTGTCTGCTGACCAACAAAAATGTGCATAAAGACCAATCGCCAACGACCTGCAATTGCCCCAATTCGAATAACAGCTAACAACAACAATGACAACGACAACAGCAGCAGCAGCAGTAAGAACAAGAAGAAGAAATATACTACGACAGCTTTTGCGCGCACTCACAACAACAAAAATAGCAAGAACAACAAGAACAATATTCAATAATGAAGCTCGCTCTCTCACAGAATATAAACGGCGACGACGACAACGACGCTTTATCTCTCTCTCTCTCTCGCTTACTCCATGTGTGTGTGTGTGTTTGAATGTGTGTGTGTGGGGTTTGGCGTTGGCGTCGTCGCACGCTCGTTTCCTCAGTAAATAACTGTTTCTAAATTTGTGTTTATATTTTTTGCCAGTCGCTTGAGTGAAACTGAAATGAAAGCGTGCAGGAGGCGGCTATAATATTTTGCCGCTGTTGTGTGTGAAAAGTCGAAGAAAAACGAAACGAAAAGTTTCAAGCAAAAAAATACTAACATACAAAAAATTTAACAAAATCAGAAACCACGAAGAAAAAAAAGTGAACAGAAATAAAATAAAAGCAAGAGAGCCAGCGACACGCATAATTTTTATATTATTTAGTAGTGTGGCTAAAAGCTAAAGAGCATTAGAAGCAATAATATAAAATAACAACCAAAAAGTGACGATTGCTGGCTCGCTCAGTTACGCGCTCGGCGGCTCTATCGCTTGGAGCCAAAAATACACGGCAACAACACAACAAACAGGCAATTGGAGAAACCAAAACAATTTACGTCGTGCGGTCTCCGCGCAAAAGCGCAAAAAAAAAATAAAAAAAAAAAAACAAAAAGCACACCAATAATTTTAACAGCTAGAAAAGAGCAGTAGCAGGAGTCGCAACAGCGCGGCGTTAAGGTCATGGAAACATATTTGAGACATGTAGGCGCATAACTTAAATACCTCCCTCCCTCCATCTCCAGTACTAATTTATGATATTTCATTATGTTTACATTTTATTTGATTAAATTGCCAATTTTTGGTCAATGTGGTTTTTTTCTTCTTCTTCATTACTTACTCACACACTAATTGGCCGACGCTGCCCGCACTTCTTTCCTTCTGCTTGCAGCTAAAAAAGGAACAGGAATTGCAAAAACAAAGGCTGCTGCATACTTTTCAGGAGCAAACGAAGCAAATGGAACGAGAGCATAAAATGCAATTGGAGCACAAGTATCAAGTGAGTAAATGAATGAAATTGTGTGCTGAACTGATCCTCTGCCTTTGGGCAAACTTCAACGAGAGAGGGAGAGAGAGAGCCATCGAAGCAAACCAAACGAACCCACCCACCCATTCACTCTCTTACCATTGATAATTGGCAACTGCTGTTGCTGTTGTGGCCGCTACAGACGATGATAATGATGGTGACAAAGACGCTGAAGGCGATTATGATGATCAGACGCGTGGCATTTACGACAGCAACAACAACATACACACACACACACATGTAGATTATGATGGCGATATGGCGGCGACGGCGACGCCGACGACGACGAAGAAGAAGACGCGCGTGGGCAGCAAAAATCAAAAACTACAAAACAAAAATAAAAATAAATTATCATGTTGCTGCCACCGTTTACGTCGACGCTGGCCGGAAGTGCCCAGTTGAGTGACTAACGCATTGCCATTTTGTCTGTTGTTGTTGGTCAGCTGCAGTAGTAACAACAACAACAATAACATGATTAACATATGTACTATATACAGCAGCAACAGCAGTTGGGGGGAATTTTCGTTTGTGTATCTCTTTTCGAAATCGAATTATAATTAGTGTGCATTTCAAAACAAGCATGACAACAAATAACAAAACAACCCAGACCCCCAAAACTACAACAACATTTGCCAAATTCTATGCCAAAAGAAAACCAAAACAAAACCAACAACAAAACTCTCTTGAACTTATTCCTAATTATTCAGTATGCGGTGCATTCACATGGCGCTTTCCAGGAATTGCGTGAACAAAGCATCATCGAAACGGCAGTCGTGGAGGAGCATCATAGGCAGCAGCAGCAGCAACAGCAACAACACCACCACCATCAACAGCATCATCATCAGCAGCAGCAACAACACCAGCAGCAGCAACAACAACAACATCAGCAGCACCAGCAACAACAACAGCAACAGCGCGAGAGACGAGATCGAGAAGCGATGAAACGCAAAGAGAATTGCAGCGCCAATGCCAGCCCCGAAGTTAAACAGATTCTCAATGTAAAGTATATACTTGTACATACATATACGTGTAACTTAATTCACATTAGTACTATATATGTATTAGAGTTAACGTTCAACGACTTTTTTACTCATTCTCTTTTATTTTCCCAACTCTTGGTGGTGTTTAAACACAGTGCTTCCTCCTGAGTCGCAAGTCACAGGCGGCGGCATCTAATGGCACAACCAACACGTCCCCCTATCGAAATCGGTAAGTGTTTAATCATTTAATTAGTTATTCATTCACTTAACATAAAATAACATACTACAAGTATATTATTATCGACTTGCTATAAATTTCGCATAAATGCCGTACAAATTCTGCAGTGTGACCAAATGAACTTTAAAATACGGTCACACAATTTGTAATAAAGAGGTCTGCCCGAAAACTGATTTGCATTCCTTTTCAATAATTGGCCGCCTTCTTCGTTGCTCTTTCCACTTGGGACCATCAAGTTTGTTTTTTTTTTTCACTTAAAATGACAATTTTAAATTGACAATCGTATTTATATTGGTAAAATATACATAAATCAATTATAGATTGAAATCAGTTACAGTACTAAGTTTCGTTAAAATAGAAAAGAAAGAACAACTTGTTCATAAACGAAGAAGGTTCCCTTTAAGTTTTCACAACTTCATCATCATTAACGTAATAAGTTACTAAATATAGGTTTATGAATCAAAAAAAGAGCTGGAAATTATTTAAAGACAGACAGAAGTTGGCTTTATCTGGCAACTCATCTGTCAAAGTTCTTTCATACATATAGTCTAATTTTCTGGTGTCCCTTAGACGCCAATTCAAACGAACTACTACAATTAGTTTATAATTAAATGGCAAATGTAGAATAAAATGCGTTTCATCTCTTAACTTTATGTTTAACGCCAAAAATGTTGTCACTGTAATTCCTTAAATTTCATGAAATGAATTAAATTTCGGGCAAAATGTAATACAACAATAAAATGTTCAACTAGTTTAGGCAACTTATCATACCCTACTTAAAACAGTTTAACGAATTTGTTTTAGCAAATTATTTGCCTGTCTGACCACATGATTAAGCCTTTGGCATTCCATATGGAAGCAAATATTCGCGGTTATTCAAATAAAAGTTCATCTCTATCAAGTGTATTTTAAGGGAAATTATATGAAAATTATTATATTATATTTCTTATATTTATATTATTTATTTATTATCGTTCTCTGCTCTCCCTCTGCTTTTTAGCGGTGTTGTCAAGAGCTCCTCCGGAGAGTCGCTGCCCGCAGGCACGGTGACCAGCGCGCATCCGTACAAAATACCTCAGCCGCCCTCATCACTGCACAAATATGAATCTGATTTCCCGCTGAGGAAAACAGGTGAGTTGTCAAAATATCTATGTACTCGTATACATATATACAGAGACAGAGAAAGTGTTGCCTACCCGCCCAGCTATTACTACTTACTATCTACCATCCAGTAATGGTTGCGCTATTTTGTGCCCGCCCTGACTAACAGCTGTGCTTACCGTTATGAAATGCAGTTCATTGCTCGTTCAATACTAAACTCCTTAAAATATCTATTTTTAAGCATTACATCCTGGGGGGCTTGTTCTAGTTTTATTTTCCTGTTGGCTAAAACTCCATTAAGTGTCCAACGAAGGTCCAAACGAGTCTGTTACAATAACTACACAAAAGGACGTTAAGTTCAGTGCTTCGTCTGAGAATTAACTCTCAGTTTATTATATTACGTTGAATTACGAAAACAGATTTAGGTTTTTATTATTAGATCAGAGACTGCAGTAATTTTCATTTCCCACTCAAGATCTATGGATGCAGAAATTTGAAAAGTTGTACGCATTTCCTCAATCTAGCACTGCTGGTCAGCAACTGGTCTATAAAACGGTAAAAGCCCATATACTATATACCTACATACATATGTATGTATATGATAAATCCAAATTAAATACACAGACACACATACATATACACACAGGCTCCTAGACACACTCTGTAGCCTGATATTGTAGCATAGTTCTAAACGACAAAAAAAAAAAGAAAAAACAACATACTTATGCGTATGAATGGCATCATCATCATCACCATCACCATACTATATACTATGAACAGCATCCGAGCCGAACCTGCTGAAGATTCGCCTCAAGCAGAGCGTCATTGAGCGGAAGGCGCGCATCGGTGGGCCCGCAGTGGCGCGACGGCACGAGCGACTGCTCCAGGCGGCTCAGCGCAGGCAGCAGAAGAACTCCGTCTTGACAAGTACGTATGACCATTGCACAACACCACACCACACACCCAACTACACACACACACACACAAACACACACATAGAACCATACAGCGGCGCACGGCAATTGCTGGCGGAGAAAACCGCTTAAAACTGCTTAGGAAGCGAATTTGTTTTTCAGTCTTGAAAATTGGAATAAATTACATAAATGGTAATAAAAAAGAAAGCGAGCAGCGAGTTTTGGGCATGCAGCTGATGCTGTTACTGCTGCTGCTACTGCTACTGCTGCGGCTACTGCTGCGGCTACTGCTGCTGTTATTGTTATTCTTGTTAGTGAGTTATTTCGAAAAGCGGAACGCAGGAAGCGAGTGACGCACAGACAGACAGACAGACACACACAAACCCAAACACAGGCGAGGAAACACGCACAACGTAATGGTGGAGTGCTAGAAAATAAATAACACACACACACACACAAACGCTCACATTAATGCGCAATCAATCACGTTTTCAGGATGTAACAGATTTTGATCAGTTTTGGGGAGCACTATTTAAGTTCCAATTACACCTAAGTCCGTTTGAAAATTAAAGATTTAATATATATTTCTTTAGAGATAAGAAACCAATCACCTCTTTCTGCATATGATCAATGTCTTTTTTACACGGTTGTTTCTACCGTGTAAAAACAGAATTAGCTGTACTTGCAAATGCTTCCTTTCTGTTTCATTATGAAATCTTCTATGGGCTTCGATAGCTTCGATCTATCGTACAGTTCCATTCAAATCGCACTTGTCGTTTTTCTATTTTACAGTACATATGTATTTATATACACCTAATTCTGTTTTTGCACGGTCTTTTTTTACACGATTTTGATAAAACACGATTTAAAATGTTCATATATATTTCTTTAGAGATAAGAAACCAATCACCTCTTTCTGCATATGATCAATGTCTTTTTTACACGGTTGTTTCTACCGTGTAAAAACAGAATTAGCTGTACTTGCAAATGCTTCCTTTCTGTTTCATTATGAAATCTTCTATTGGCTAGTTTCGATCTATCGTACAGTTCCATTCAAATCGCACTTGTCGTTTTTATATTTTACAGTATATATGTATTTATATACACCTAATTCTGTTTTTACACGATTTTGATAAAACACGGGTTGAAAATTAAAATTTTTATATATATTTCTTTAGAGATAAGGAACCAATCACCTATTTTTGTTTATGATCAATGTCTTTTTTACAAGGTTGTTTCTGGAACCAATCTGCCGTATAAAAAAAGAATTAGGTGTATTATATAGTATAGTGATCTGCATTTCGCTTCCAATTTCGTTTTACTAGTACAATTCAAATCTTACTTTTTATTGTACATAGACCGATCGAGCATTTTGTAAACCGTCACTTAATTTATTTATTAATTATTTCTACTATACTTTCTATATTCCACTATTTTTATATCGGATTTATTATCGACTTTTTTTTTAAACGTAAATGATAAAAAATTCTAAAACCGTTTACACCAATTCTGTTTTTACACGGTCGTTTTTTTACAGGGTTTTGATTTAACACGGTTTGAAAATTAAAAATGTTATATATGGTTACATGGACTTTATTCCATTAATATCAATATCTTTTTGTACACGATTCTTTTGTACACGACTTTTTTAGGAATCAATCTACCGTGTAAAAACAGAATTAGGTGTATTTACAAACATTGCCTTTCAAACATCAATTAAATGGAAAGAGTTCTTTTTAATTCCAAAAATCTGCAGATATGCATGTATTGAAGCGATGGAATTGAATGCATTGATATATTCAAACCAGCTATAATTATTTCCGCTATTATTATTACAAATAGTGTAAAAATGATTGACATCGTAAAACTAGTTCCATTTAGAAGTCCAATTGAGTGGTTTCCGATTTTTCTTTAATCCTTGTAACGTCAATCTATTTTTAGATTGGTTGTACACGAAATGCAGAAAAGCACGAATCCTTTAACCAATTACCAATTGAACGAATATTATTTGGGTAGTGGAAATACTGGAAGCCTATTAAGCAGTATCAAATGTTCTTAAAGCAACTCAAGCCAAATAGCTTGGTGTGTGTGTGTGTGTGAAGAAAATAGATTATAAAACAGTATACACATTATAAAGTATTTCAAGGGAGTGATTCACAAATTTGAATTAGCTCCAAAAAATATGAGAGAGAAACGGTTCAAATCTTTTTCTTAGTGAAAACAGCCAAACTGTAATTCCCAGAGCGGAGGAAGAAACCATTCTACCATTCTAGTAGTACCTAAATATATATGTTGTAAATTCCGGATTCTCCAACATTCTAAGTTCCTAGCAGAGAACAAACTGTAACATTACTTTATACTACTATACTTTTGAACTTATGATTTTCTGAGTGATTTCCTTGCAAGCATTCCATGTTTTTATTATTGTTTTTTTATATATATATATTTATGCGTTGTTTTTGCTGTTCTTTTTCTTTTCCTGTTTTTGTTGTTTCCTAACCATCATTATAACTGACAAACAGAACAAAAACGGAAAAAGGGAAATATGGATGTGCGCCCGCTTTTTTAGTCGCAGCCATGTTCTCTATAATATTTGTTCCAACTCACTAACCACAGCAAGCAAAAACTGAATAATACCAACAAATAATATTTCAAAACAAAAGCAATCCGTGCTAAAAAAAAATCCAAAAAGAAACTACCATTGCCGCCAACGCTGCTGCCGCCGCCATTGCATTGCACATATGCTTACAATCTGGACCAAATTTTATTGCTAATTACCATTTCTGATCTGTCCTGCATAGACTGCAACAGCACTCCGGACTCGGGTCCGAACTCGCCGCCCTCCTCGGCGCTGGCCGTCGGCGTTGTGGGCAGTCGTGGCTCCCCGACCAGCGCCCCCATCCAGGAAGAGAACGAGGAGGGGAGTCAGTTCCAGCCGGGCCAGCGCAGCAACATCCACGACCTGCCCCTATTCAGCTCGCCCTCGCTGCCGAACATATCGCTGGGCCGTCCGCATTTAACGAACGCACAAGCCAGCGCTCAAGCCTCGGTGCACGCCAACTACGCGATGTTTGCGGCACTGCAGCAGCACGCGGCTCTAGCCGGCAGTGCCGGTGTGCCGGGAGCACCACCCACGTACTACAATCCGCTGGTTATGCCGTTCGGTGGTCGCCAACCGGGACCGGGACCACTAGGGATGGTGCCACCTACGGGCATTGCGCCGCAGCAGCCATCGCCAGTTGTGCGCAGCGCCTCGGCCACATCCACATCTTCGTCACAGGCCTCGCTGGTAGGTGATGTGGCGCCGCCTCAGGCGCATGCCGCCTCCACAATTCTGCCCTCGTCTTCGTCCTACATGCAACAGGTGAGTGGCGCCTCTGCAGTCAATTTGCATGCAGCAGCCGTCGCTGCAGCGGCTGCCGCAGCAGCTGCTGGCAACATGCCACCCACAAACAGCCATGGTGGACTCTACGGGCATCACCACAACACGCCCATTCCCATTACCGATGCACAGGTTGCGCAGGCGCATCTGAACAAGCAAGGTCATCGGCCGTTGGGGCGCACACAGTCAGCACCCCTGCCCTTGGGCCATCCCATGCTCACGGGCACGGGTCAGGTGAATGTTGTCCAGACGCACTACGAGAACAGTGAGGTGAGTGTGACCGAAAGAAAACGGATGACTTGTTGTTTGGGACTTAGATTTGGGCCTCATAGTTTTATAGAAATTAAGGTACATAGAACTATTTCCTCATTGATTCAACATTGCCCAGCCTGCAGCAAAATATAGAGAAATTGGGGTAAACTCGGCCCCCAAATGGGGAAAATTTAGTTCATAAACGGTTTATATATCTATTTAGTACGTTGTAGTAGTTCATGAGTAGGATATAGAGTGGTTTCTACATTTTAATTTTCAAATACTGCCCTTGAAATGCCAAAATTATGACCGGTCAGGGGATTTTCGCATAGGCTTATAAAATTTCGTTTCATCTGAATGCAGTAGTTGTTCAAGCTAAGCCTATTTGGATATGTATACCCGTGTTAACCACTTTTTGTATTTATTGACAATTTGTATTGTAGGCAGAGCGACAGGCCTATGAGCACCAGGTGCTCACCCAAAAACTGCGCCAGACCGTGCTCACACGGAGCGGGGCCGTCCGCGAGCTCCAGCTGAAGGAGGAGGATGACTCGGCCGCCGAGGTCATGGATCTCACAGACAAGAAGAAGCCCCCGAAGACGGTTCTCACAAGCACCATAGCGACAAGTACCTCGCAGAATCTACCCGAGGCCCTGGCGGCTGCTGCAGGGGCCGCAACAACGCTGTACGCGTCACCAGGTGTGCCGCATGCGCCGGCCAAGCCGAGCAAACGCGACCAGGAGTATCTGCAGCAGCAGCGTGAACTGCTGGCCAAAGGACTCAATCGACCGCTATCGCGAACATTGTCCAGCCCATTGGTTCCGCTGGGGCCGCATGGCCTTAGTCAGATACCGGACACAGGGCAGCATCCGACGCCTATAGCCACCTCATCCTCGGCCGACCACATACCACCCGTTAATCTTACTCTGCCGCACAAGCGTCACATACTCACGAACTATCCGGGCGCGGTAGTGCCCCTGGGTGTCTCCAATGCCTATACATCTGCAATGGCTGCGGCCCAGCTGCGTCAGCATCCGCATGGCACGGCGGCAATGCCACCGGCCACATCGCCACCAGGATCGCTGACGCCCGCCTCCTCGAACCCGTCCCTGCACAAGATCACCACGGGCCTAGCCTACGATAATCTCATGCTGAAGCACACGTGCATCTGTGGCGACAATGCTGTGCATCCGGAGCACAGCGGCCGACTTCAGAGCGTGTGGGCGCGCCTGATCGAGACGGATCTAATTAAGCGATGCGATCGTCTGCGCTCGCGCAAAGCCACTCAAGAGGAGCTGCAGACGGTTCACACGGAGGCGCACGCAATGCTTTTTGGCTCCAATCAGTGTCAGCTGAATCGTCAGAAGCTGGAGAGCGCCCTCTCCGCCAGCTTTGTGCGACTTACGTGCGGTGGTCTGGGCGTTGATCTGGACACCACATGGAATGAACATCACACGGCGGCGGCAGCTCGCATGGCAGCGGGTTGTGTCATCGACCTGGCCTTTAAAACGGCCAAGGGCGATCTCAAAAACGGCTTTGCCGTGGTGCGTCCACCTGGCCACCATGCCGAGGCAAATTTGGCCATGGGCTTCTGCTTTTTCAACTCAATTGCGATTGCGGCCAAGCTACTCCGCCAGCGCATGCCGGAAATGAAGCGCATTCTAATTGTGGATTGGGTGAGTGCATCAAACTAGCCGTTTAGAGCATCTCCTTACCATCTTCCCTATCCATTTCTATGCAGGATGTGCATCATGGCAATGGCACGCAGCAGGCATTCTACCAAAGTCCCGAAATTCTATATCTTTCCATACATCGACACGATGACGGCAATTTCTTTCCTGGCACAGGCGGTCCCACAGAGGTGGGTTCATAAATACAAATTACAACCAACAGTTGCAGCATCCTCATGGCTAATCATTTATTTCCTCGCAGTGCGGTGCCGGTGCCGGCATTGGCTTCAATGTAAACATCTCCTGGTCCGGCGCTCTAAAGCCGCCGCTGGGCGATGCCGAGTATATCGCTGCATTCCGTACCGTTGTGATGCCCATAGCCAAGTGCTTCAATCCGGACATTGTTCTCGTCTCATCCGGCTTCGATGCAGCCGCCGGCCATCCCGCGCCGCTTGGCGGCTACCACGTCTCGCCCGCCTGCTTCGGCTTCATGACGCGCGAACTCCTCCAGTTGGCCAATGGCAAGGTGGTTCTGGCCCTCGAAGGCGGCTATGATTTGGCGGCGATTTGTGATTCAGCGCAGGAGTGTGTGCGCGCCCTTCTTGGTGATCCCGCAGCGCCGATTGCTAAAGCAGAACTGGAACGCCCGCCATGTCAGAATGCCATTAATACGCTACAGAAGACTATTGCTATACAGGTGAGAAATTCCAAGCTCCCAGACATTTTCCCCAATACAAAACAAGATAGAACGCTACAGTCGAGCAAGCCCGACAGTAAAATAAAAAAAAAATTTTTTTAAATTAAATTATTAAAAAAAATGAATAAATGTGGATGGGTGTATCAGAAAAAATAAGCAAACTCGATCTGCCTAGGGCTTATAGGAACCTTGATACCAATTTTAGTTATCCTAGCTCTTGTACTTACTGAGATCCTTGCGCTCATACAGACAGACGGACAGACAGACGGACATGGCTATATCGACTCGTCTTCTCATCCTGATCAAGAATATATATACTTTGTGGGGTCTGCCACGCCTCCTTTTGTGTGTTACATACATGCGCACAAAACTAGAATAGCCTTTTACCCTTTGGGTACAGGCTATAATTATCCTTTAAAGCGCTAGAGATGTATTTTTCAATTCCTGCATTAGTAATGGAATCAGAGCTCTAAATGCGATAATATATATATTGTGTTCTTCTTTTCAATGTTCAATATCGAAAAAAGCTTTAATTCTACTGTCCGTTAGTTTTAAGGAAAGAACGCCAAAGTTTGTAGATTATATATTATGGATATCTAATCCATATACAGATCAAGTCATAAACAATATGTAAATATCCACATTAGTAAATTTTTTCTTGTCACCAGATTTGGAATTTTTTACACAAATTCCATATTTTTTCACGAACAATCTCAAAATGTCTGATCTCGATGCATTAAATTTTCGAATAAGAAATGCTGTACCGTTAAGTGTTAGAGATAGGCACATACATGATATTATCATGGACAGAGAATCGATAACATTCGATATACAGGTATATCGCATACATTTTAAATATTTAATCAACAATTCTACCGTTGAAGAATTCGAACCAGAGACTGTAATCAGTATAAGTGTTATTAAAAAAATTACAAAATAATGATTATTTTTTAATTTAATTAATTAAAAATTAATTATTGAAAAATGTTTGCCTTGACTCACTGTTTAAGGATATATATAAATGTTGTCCTTAATTCTTATGAAAAAAACAAAATTACAGCTTGAGTTTTATTTTTAATCAAAAAAGCATAAGCATTATTTTATGTTTTTTTTTGTTCATCAATAATGATTATTGGTTAATTTTAAAAGTAAAGCTCAAAATTAAACATTAAATTGTGAATAGATATTAAAATTTATAAATCATGGTGCAAATGCATAGATAATCCATAAAAAAGGATATCTGTAAACTCCTCGCTTTCTCAAAGTTACTATAAGTGAATGATTTTTTCGTTTAAAAAAAAACGAAATAATCATTATTTGCGGTCCCTAATTCGAACTTTCAAGCGGCCTCCTTACTTTATGTTTCAGTACACAATAAATACTTATGCTATAGTAAAAATGTTTATGGGGAAACATGCTATATCTGTTATTCTATTTAATTGATAATCTGTTTTCAGCAAACACATTGGCCGTGTGTGCGACGCTTGGAACATACTGTTGGTTTGTCCGCGCTGGACGCGCTTAAAATAGAGCACGACGAGTCCGAAACTGTGACGGCCATGGCGGGCCTCTCCATGCAGTCGATGCACAGGTGAGTCCCTAGAAGCCACCGCCTAATTGGAGCGAATCAACTGATTTCGAATTATGTTTGCAGAACGCTGTCGCGTGATGACTCCGAGGAGCCAATGGATCAAGATGAAACCAAATAGACGGCGGATCCTGCTGTCTGCTCAATGAAAATCACTTTAGTTATTGTTGTAGTCTAATAGGTGTTGTTCGGGCCGAGACGTGTGCGTAGCTTTTGCCTCAATTGGAATCACCAGCGCCATCATCATTGTCAGCCAACTAACGCTATCTCCTTTTCACACACACACACAAACACACACTTCCCCTCTCTCTCTCTCTCTCTCTCTCACTCTCGTTCACACGCTATCTATCTCAGGTGCATACTCACAGCAGCAGCAGAAAGCAGTTAGCAAGAAAGCACGCAGGACACGCTATTGTAGTTTACTGCACAATAATGAAAGAAAAAAAAAAAAACAATTTTTATAAAACATCAGGCGCGTCACAATGAACTGGAATAATAGTTCAGCACAATACATTCACATGCTGCACACACACACACACACACACACATATACACAAACAACTCGTTAGTGATGGGAGTTGGAGTTGAAGGTGGAGGGGTTCTTGAAGTTTATGGATGAGAAAAAAAGTTGCTGTGCAGCAAACAAAATGTACCATCGAATGAGCCAGAGGAGTAATCAAGGCCTAAAGTTCAAAACGTGGCTGTGCCACACAACAAAATGAAGAATTAATTAATAGAAAATATAACTGCGCAATGCATAAATGCGAATGCATTGAAATTAAAAAAAAATATATATATATATATATATATATATATATATATATATATATACATATATAGTATAAACTATATGTGAATAAATAACAAATAAAAACTAACGAAATTTACACGTTTTGATGATTGTAATGTAAACATTATAATTATGTTATTTTCAAAAAATCAAAGTCTATACACACACACACACACACCCATACACACACACACGCACACTTTATGTATGCATGCATATGTATGTATGTATGTACATATGTGTGCGTACATGTATGTTTGCATTTGTTAACTCGGAATATGAGAAAGTTAGAGAAAGCAACAATTACAAATGAATACTTTGCCTGTTTCTTTGTTTGTCGTGTGTTGCTATTTATAGAAATAGATTTGTATTTTTAAAGCTGTTTTTTTTATTATTATTATTATTAAAATTATTATTATTTCCTCCATTTTAATTTGTGGTATGAATGTTTAAGCAAATGTTGCAAATCTGTTAATTATTAAATGTATACGTATGTATGTATGTAATAATAATAGTAGTTATGATAACAATGTGAAATTATAATGTAAACTTGCTTGTAAAACTGTTTGACAAAATACTATTCTTTGCGTTTTGGTGGCTGTTGTTGTTGTTGGCATTTTGGTAGCAGGCTGGCAATCGAATTGCCACGCCTTCTTCAAAACGCCCACACTAATGGCAAGCAACACTCATTCACACACACACACACACACCCACATACACGGAGAGACTCACGCACCGAACACACACACACACACAACTCGATATATGTATGTATATGTGTACCTATGTATTTATGTTTATATATATATGTATACTATATGATATATGCTATTAATGTAATAAAAAAAAAAGCAAGAAGAAGAAACCTAGAAATTGTCAAATGTCCAAAATTTGTCCATTATTGCTTTCGGTTTTTTGAATTTGAATTTCGCAGTTCGATTGAAAGGAATTGCTGGAAAAACATTCACTCTTAATTTAGTTTCAACAATTTTGTACATTACAAGAATGCTGTTTGTAGTTTTTAGTCTTAGATCATACACCCAAAACATACACGCCCGCACACAATCACACACTCACTCACCCATACACACACACACACACCTACACACGTACACACATATTGGAATTGTGTAACAAAATGGCGTATGTTTGTGCAATAAAGAGAAGGAAAGTAAATGTAAAATGTAAAAGTGCAGTAGAAAACAAATTTCAGTTGCGAGCATAGTAAAATCTTATATGTGTACGTATACTAATTAAAAACTGTTACAATAATAACAATGTTCAAATATCTGAAAAGAAGCAAAACTAAATAAAAAGCAAACTATGAGAAAGGCGTTTAAATGCTTTACAAAAAAAAAAAAAAAAACAAAACAAAACAACAAAAACAAAAAATGAACCGAGCTATGTACTCTCCCCATCTCTCCATATCTCTCTCTCTTATATGGTTGACTAATGTGACAACCCAACAACCTAAAGGCTGGGCCTGCAGCCTCATTACATCCCTACATACACACACATATATACTCTAACTATGTACGTATACATATGTACATATATGAGGCGAAAATTGTAAGCTCGAAGCAGCTAAACTGCAGAATCAAAGGCAAACACAATTTACTGAGCACAACGAGATTATTGACAGAGAAGCGAGCTTAGGGGATACACAAAAATAAATGTATATGTTTGCATTAAATTAGAGAATTTGATATACAAAAATAAAAGAATTTGAAAAAAAAATACAAATAAGCAAATTGAATTGTAAAGAGAAAAAAACAATACATTTCGGCAGGCCGAACGATCTGTGTTAAATCCAAGAAACCAACTAACTATGTATTGGAGAGCAGAATGCTAAGCTTCTTCTATGGTCCGACATTAATGGAGTCCAACTAGATTCCAATCGCAGTTCTTAGTCACCCAAAAATATATATTAGTATTGATTACAACTGATTTTTCGTTTGTATTATTTGGTAAAAAATTTCGTTGTTTTTAGGCATAATACCAGACGTGGTAGTGTCCGAAAAGTTCGTTTATATGAGTGCTGTATTATATAGAAAATAATAATTTATTCAGAAATATTATTTTTATTATTTATGCCTTTTAAGAAGCAATGGTTACTAGTATTTATTATATATAAAGCCAATTACGTATTCATTGAGAATGTTCAAAAACTTGATTGAATTCAGTTTCCTAGCTGGCTTAGGAAACCAAACCGAATAGTCCACGAATGAATCAGAATGGCGAACATTTTAGAGTTTTCCAAGATTAAAAAGGGATCCCCTATATAAGGTGATTGTTTAGCAGGATTAATAATGGGTAATGGCGACAATGAAACCAGAAAGGCATTTTTAATTTTATTTAATAATCATCTGCTTCGGTAGAATGGTGTTTGGATCAAGCATTTCAAATCAAATTCGATGCAAGACAACAAAATTAAAATTAAATGTACAATTTTGATGTTAAATGTGTTCGATAAATGCTGCTAATCGTAATAGCGCAGACGCACCCGTCGTCGTTGCCGCCGCCTCAGAAGCCGCTTCGTAGGCCATAGAAAGTGCGTCCGAATACCTCAGTTAACATAAAGAATCTCTCAGAGTTGAATTGAGAACGGGAGTATTTTCTAAATGAACAACTAGCTGAAACAAATATTTATAAAATGTTGCACAATTAAAAGAAGTTTATACATACATACAGTAGATGTTAAAGCCGAAAGTCTAAACGAAACGATACGAATAACAAAAAAGAAAAAACAAAAAAACTGTTGAAATTCATACCTATGTATATTTTGTTTATTGTTGCACAAAAACAAAAACAATTGAATAAAACAAACAAATGTCTGTGTCGCTTTTCTAAAATATAAAACAAAAATCAACTATCTCTGTGTTCATCTATTTATGAGTGCTGCGAATATAAGGTAATCCAGTTCAAATACTACTCGATTCCGCCGGGGTCACCAAAATATTTCTCCACACAATTTTTCAATTTCAAGATTAAGCGATGGTTCCTAATAACTGCCCATCCTTGAAATGGAGTAGTGCGAGCACCGAAACAAAACTATTTACTATTTATTCGATGGAATACAGTCTCTGTCGTTACACAAGATTATAAAGATCCATCAAATTTTCCAATATTTAAAAAATATATGACCATATTCTTGAATATCGGAGAAAGTTCAGTTCTCGTTTTCTGAAGTTTGAAAGCAATAACAGTTGGATAAAGCTATATACTCGTATGTATACATGTATTGTTCCCAAATCTCTGATAGTAGCAATACAATGTTTTTTTATTGTCTTTCTATTTTTGGGGGCACATGGCTTACTTTTGTCAACTTTGCTATTATCATATAATTCTTTGCACAAAAACAGAATTAATCTAAATGATTATAAAGCATTAGCGTCATAAATGTAGGTTTGAAGGTTAAAATGAAATTTCGCAGCTCGGATGTTTTCATTTCAGAATTGTATTCAAAACTTATGCTTTGTCGGGCATTAATAAAGTCTATTTATTTTACTCACTTGTGCGCCGATAAATGGAACTGTCAACATGGGGAAGATTCATATGTTATTAAGAAATCGAAGATACTTATGAGTAAATTAAGAAATTAATTAATTGAAATATGAACTAGCACTTAATCGCTCAAATTAAATGAATACTCATGAAGCTGAAGATGTTTGAATGATGATCTGAAAAGCTGTGTACACTATTATTTTGCATCTATTTTTTCCATGCACTACTGTGTACAATTAGTACTATTTAGTGTAACTGTCAAAATCTTTATTTATTCGTTAAAATATATTTGTATTGCCTTTAAAGTAATCCCCTTCGGATACCTCGAAAGTCTTCTTCTGGAATGGTCTTCAAAACGGTGTGCCCGGAGTTGTCTTTTCAATTTAGCAAAAAGTCAGAAATCCCTCGAACACAGAACTATTAAGTACACAAAAGTAGGATCTAATATACATACATACATATGTATGTACTTGTATGTATGTATATATGGCTATAATGGCATAATCACAGCAGATAAGAGCAATAAACCGATTTTCTTGTTTTTACAGTATGGGTATTCCTGCCATTTTAAAATTATTGTTAAACCCACAAGCTCTTCAAAATTAAAATTAAATGAGCACCAGGAACACCCATAAGCTTGTTTTGCATTTATAAAGATTTTGTGTCAGTTGAGCTTCGTACCCGAACGATCATTGAAGAGATATATACTATATTTCTAGCATATGTTTTTTTTTTTTCAGAGTAGTCGCCAATCTTGTTGCTAGAGTCGAGAATCCATTCTTATCACAAAGAAATAAGGCACAGCTAAAATGCGATAGGAGAAGTAAGCCAGAGGGGAAGACACGTGCAAATACCCTCACAAATTGGTAAACATTTCATCATGGTGTTTGCACCTTTTTATTAGATAGCTGCTTTATGCTTGGGGTATTCATATTTCATTGACGTACTAAGATAAGCCATAAGAGTTAGTTCCATACTTTTCTTAGCTAGAGATAAACATTTCACCAATGGACCAAATCGTAATTTTTTAAATACAGACGTTGGTTTTTCTATACTTTTTTTTTGTAATAACTTGCACCTCTTTTTATTTCTTTCGGTACCTGAAGAAATATACTACAAGTATATATAGAAAAATATTGAATAATAATATTTTTCAATTACGGTTGCAATCATTTAGCACAACTCAGTCACCAAATCAAGAAAAATGTTGAAAAAGTATTAGAAAAACAAGAACAAGACTCGAGGAGTTCTCAAAAACGGATTCAAAATCGACGGATTTTCTTTCATAAGCCAAACGGCTTTTTCGAAAGCCTTTCTCGATTATATCGATTAAAAGCGGATCTGCTTCAAGGAATATTTCACGATAGTTTTGAAATAGTTTAAAACCGAGATATAATTGGAAACAGAACCGTTTGCCGAAAAGCCATAGATTATATATTTTATGAAAATATGTCAAAACCGGATCTGTTTTCATGCTATGAGCCGGCTTCAAGGAATATTTAACAGGGACCGCAAATAATAATAATTTTGGTTCTTTTTTAAAGAACCATTCACTTATAGTAACTTTGAGAAAGGGATTTTCCAATAAGATTTTTTAAAGAATATATGTGGATTTACACTATGATTTAAAAATTATAATGATTAATTTGAAGTTTTACCTTACAACTTTATTCGGAATCATTATTTTTGAGCAAATAAAATAAAACTCACACAAAAATGATTATTTGATTTTTATTGATCAAAAATAAAACTCAACTTGTGTTTTTTAAGGATGTTTTTTTAGCCCATAGTTTAGTTTTTGGCTTATAGTTGAAGGATATATATACATTTTTTCCTTATTCTCTACGAAAAAGGAAGAGATAATTACAACATGAGGTATATTTTTAATCAAAAAAATAAAACTTAAGGGATAATCATTACCTTATACGTTAAAAATAATGAGTAATAAAGTAAAACTCAAAATTAACCATTATATTGTGAGAGAATGAATAAAATTTAAAAATAATCATTATTTTGAAAATTTATATAATAACACTTACTATATAATGATTACAATCCCTGATATTTAACGATAGTTTTGAAATAGGTTTAAAACCGAGATATAAATCAAAACAGAACCGATTGTCAAAAGCCATAGATTTGTTGGTAGGAACAAGCGTTTTGATGAAGCCGACATACTCCCTTTCGCAAGGGCATAGATATGCGAATAAGGCCGTAAAAGCAGTTGCTTGCTCGCTGGCTTGTTTAGTCGGTTCGGTCTCCGAAATGAGGACAGTCGTGCCAGTAGGTGCGTAGTGAACGGTGCTTGACGATTGCAAAACTTGTCGGACTGCATCCGATTTGCGCTATTAATAGACACAGTGTTGGGCGTTGGACATGGAGCGCGTGTCAATGGAGGTGCATGCAGATTTGCAGCGGGAACGAGCGGCTGCTACCATTAGCAGCGAACACTTTGCCGAATGGTGGGCAGGCGGGCGAGAGAGGTTGGAGGAGCGACGTGCCCTCGAACGGTACTTCTTCGATGATCCCGAGTTCAATGATCCCAAGCACATTAGCTTCATGTCGTACAAAGAGCTGTACGAGCACTCGGTGGCCAAGGGTACCAGGTTTCTAGCCAAGCTGAGGGAATGGCAACGCCTGCGTGCGCCTGTCGATGGAACCGGAGGCTTGACTGGCGGCCTGGATATCAAGACGTTGCACGACTTTCGTTTGCTAATCTCTGGGCCTCTGGGCACGGCGCTCTTTCAACAGAGTTTCCCATTGCGCCTACATTTTGCCATGTTCTTGCCGACGCTGCTCAACCAGGGCGACGAGGAGCAGAAAAAGCAGTGGTTGGAACGGGCCTGGCACATGGATGGCATTATTGGCACCTACGCCCAAACGGAACTGGGCCATGGCACCTTCATACGCGGCCTAGAGACGCGCGCCGACTACGATGCAGAGCATGAGGAATTTGTCCTCAATACTCCCTCACTGACTGCATACAAATGGTGGCCGGGTAACATGGGCCAGACAGCCAATATGGTTGTGGTGCTTGCCCAGCTTTACATTAAGGGCAAGCACTATGGCCTGCAGCCCTTCCTCGTGCGCATACGCAACGAGCAGACCCATGAGCCGGAGCCGGGCATTGATGTTGGCGACATTGGCGCCAAGCTGGGTGCCAATGCTGTGAACAACGGATTTTTGGGTTTCCGTAATGTCCGCATTCCACGCGACCAAATGCTGATGAAGAACGCGAAAGTGCTGCCTGATGGCACCTTTGTCAAGGGACCGGAGCCGCTCCTTCTGTACGGAACGATGGTCTTTGTCCGAGTGCTCATTGTACACGACGTGATGGTCGGACTCCTACAGGCGGCAACCATAGCGACACGGTAAGATCCCTGCTTTAGATTTGATTGGCAAGTGTTTGTTTAATTAGGAATTAGGTAGTACTATGGATACCAATTTAAGAACGAAGAAGCGCTGATTAAAAAGTGGAGATAAGTAAGAAAGAAGGGCGTACGCAGCTTTTACCAAAGGGGGGGCGGAGCCCAAAAAATGAAAATGTGGATTAAATAATGCACGACGCATTTAATATAATTTGCAAATAATTTATGCATTTGATCAATGAAAAAACTTTATCATATCCAACTGAGTTCCATTTTAAGGCGAAATCGTGCGTCATAATAATGAACGCGTGGTCGATTTTATATGGTCTCCCCTGCCCCCCCCCCCCCCCCCCCCCTGCGTACGACCTTGGTAAGAAACACGCCTAACTTAAGAGAACTATTGAACTATAACAGCTACAATAAACTTTGTGCTTCGTGGTAATTTTATTCAAAAAGGAAAAAAGTCAAACTCAAAGAATATTGGATAAAAGCTTTTTACTTTTCATTAAGTAAAATTGAATCGTTCAGTCCTCCTGGTATTTATAGATTTCAAGCTCTATCAAGTCAAAAATTGAATAAATGCTTATACCAGAAGGGATTGGCATTATTATCAAACTAGTTGGATAAACGATATGCTCTTCATCTAAAGTTCTAAAGAGCCCTTTGCTCTTATTGGAAGTAAAGTGAAGCCAAACATACATACATACATACAAAAGTACATACATAATATATGTTACTGAGCAGAGGTGTATCATTTATCCTTTCTATATTGCAGCTACGCAGCCGTGCGTCGCCAAAGCCCCATCGAACCGAATGCACCGGAGCCACAAATTTTGGATCACTTGACGCAGCAGGCAAAGATCTTTCCGCAGATAGCGCGCGGTGTATGTTACCGTCTGGCCGCGGACTTCCTTTGGCAGTTCTACCAACGGATCATGCAACAGCTTGAGGCGGGAAATCGCAAAGGATTGCCAGAGCTGCACGCGCTCTCCTGCTGCTTGAAGTCTGTCTGCACCCAGGAGTCTAACGAGGGCATCGATGCGCTGCGCAAGGCGTGCGGCGGACAGGGCTATCTGGCCTCGGCCAACTTCGACAACATTTACGGCCTGGCGACGGCAGCCTACACGTACGAAGGCGAGTACACAGTGCTGCTGCTGCAGACGGCACGCTTCCTCGTGCGCCAGTACGAGGACAGTCTGAAGAGGAAGGTGCTGCCTGATAGCATCAATTATATGCGAGACACAACGCGCCTGCGCTGGACGAAAAACCTCTTGGCCAATGCGGTACGCGCCCTTGAGATTGTGGCTGCGAGCAAGGTGCGTGTGGCTTGGGAGCAGATACGTCTGGAGCGCAAGCGTGGCCAGAGTGCCCAACAGGCGGCGAATCTTGCCGGAATCCAGCTGAGCACAGCAGCGGCAGCACACGCTCGAGCCTTTCTGGCCCGCAACTCGCTGCGGGAGCTAAAAAAGCTGCAGCGAAATCTCAAGCCAGAGTTGGGCGGAGTGTTGCAGCAACTGGTGGAGATATTTGTGTACGACACCTTTCTCCGTCAACTTGGCGATATTCTCAAGTGGAATCACATTGCAGTGGTCCAGGTTACGCAATTGGAGCAACGCTATGAACAGTTGTTGCGCGATTTCCGTCCCAATGCCGTTGCACTGGTCGATGGCTTTGATTTTCATGATCGTGTGCTTGGCTCTACACTGGGCTGTTACGATGGTCGTATATACGAGCGACTGATGGAGGAGGCGCGCAAGAATCCACTGAATGAGGAGCCAGTCAACTCGAGCTTCCGGATGCATCTGCAGCCCTTAATGCGGGGCAAGTTGTGAAGACAAAAATGGATGGTGCTGCCGTTTGTTGCATTTATTTAGGTGTTCACACTGAAAGCATAGTATTAAGCTATTAAATTACAAATACTTAAAAATATTAAATATCAAGATATACACAATATAGACTAAGGTAGTGCATCACTTTGCGATTGAGTTAGCGAATGCGGTTCACAACATCTGCCGCCTAGAACATCTTTTTCTTGACAGCCGTGTAGCGCTCCATGTAGACATCGTAGCCCTCGAGATCGGTGAACTGCTTGGAGTTGAAAAGATTGCCATCCACCGCCAGGTTGCTTATCTTTGAGTCCTTTAGGATGCGCGGCGTAAAAGCGCTTGCCTGCAAGCAGTTCTCCTCCAGGCGCAAGGTCTTCAGCTTGGGGCAATCGGCAATATCCTCGGCCAGCATTGATATTTGATTTTGATTCAGATTGAGCTCTGTCACATAAAGCTGTCCCACCTCGGCGGGCACATCGGTGATTTTGTTGCGTGACAAGTCGAGCACATCCAGATGTTTTAGACCGCACAACATCGATGGGAACTCCTTAAGCTGATTGTTACTCAGATTGACGGTTTTCAGGTGCACACAGTTGGCCAATGTCTTTGGTAGCTTCGTCAGCATATTATCCATTAGCAGCAGCACCTCCAGCTTTAGGAGCTCGCCCACAACTTCGTTCAGCTCGACCAGACGGTTACCACTCAGATTCAGGTGCTTCAGCAGGGTGAGTCGACCCAGCTCGTCAGGTATATGTTCAAAGCGATTTTGGGACAGGTCTAGCGTTTTCAGTACATTTGGGTATGTCTTTAGTTGCGGTGGGAATTCCTGCAGTCGTTGCAGCGATATCTTAAGAATGCCCGTCTTTTGGGCAGTCTCCAGGTGCTGCTTGATTTGTTTGTTGCCCATTATATTACTGCTGTCAAATAAAACCAATAAGTAGGCATTCAGTGCTATCGACTAAAATTATATATCGATACTCGATATATCGTAGGGACATATCGATGCTCTTGGGCACCTACCGATACAACCGAATGGCAGTGGCATTTTAGCATTTTTTTATAAAACAAAATACTACATGCCGACAAATGCATAAAATTATATAAATAAAAGTCAATTCAGCACATGCTTTTGCTGCACATTATTTTAGAAAAAGAGTATCACTCTAACGCACTTATGCTTCGAGAAATAACAATAGAAGAAGGCTAAAATCCTTCGTAATTATTCAGCAATCAACTTGAAAATGCAAGGTGATGGTAGATGACTTCGATAGTTTTTCAAAACTAACGCCTAGGCTGACATTTCAGAGTGCTGCCAACTCAGCTAAGCGCGGATTTCGCAACACATCGAGTGGCCAGCGGTGGCATTTTTCAGTCAAGTTGGCCTTTTTGGAAAGTAAAAAGCGTGGAGCCGCATTGCAATAGCAATAGCAATCCTTTTGCGTAAAAGTAAAGCCAAAAACATAAGGTTAGCGCGGCCACTGCATTTTTAACATTAAGTTGAGCTTAAACTGTAGTTGTCATTGCAGCGTACGCGTTAGTAAAGCAAGAAAAACAATCACGTTTTCGCCAAAAAAATAAACCGACCAAACACGCGCCGCTCACCAAAGCCGCTTGCACTACGCGACCGCATTGACGTTTTGTTATTTTTCCAACTGACTGACTGCTGTTGTTGTTAGTGACTGAGAGAAGGCGATCGTAGAAGCGAAAAGATGCCGAACGATACAATCAGCAAGGTTCAGGAGTACAAGGATTCCCTCATTACCAAGGCGGAGTTTCTAATTACAAAAGGATTTCCCGAAAAAATCGTTGAATTAAATGAGCTCCTATCAACTCCCATGTTCAACGAGCGCAACTTTAGTGAGGTGCATCAGGATCTAAACATTCCGGTTGTGGATCCGGTGCTGGTCAACAATCATGACGGCGCCGGCGGCGAACCCGACAACAATCAACCGGCAACGAAACGTGCCCGCTTGGACGTGAATATAACGGGAACAACTGTTCTTTCACTACCCAACGGATCGGTATCTTGTAACAAGCCGCTCTGTGAAATGATCAAAGTGGTGAAGCCAATTATACGTAAATTGGTTGAGGATTGTAAGTAGATTGGTCTTCTTTTTTTTTGTATGCGGTTACTGATCAAACCCACTATTTTGTCTTGCAGCAAACTTACTGAAAATGTGGATATCGTTTATGATACCGAAAATCGAGGACGGCAATAATTTCGGCGTCTCCATACAAGAAGATACGCTGGCCGAAATACAAACTGTTGAGTCTGAAGCCGCCGCATTCTTCGATCAAATCTCTCGCTACTTCCTGTCGCGTGCCAAGGTTGTCTCGAAAGTCGCAAAGTATCCACATATCGACGACTATCGTCGTGCTGTCGTCGAGCTGGACGAAAAGGAGTACCTCAGTCTGTGGTTGGTTGTCTGTGAGGTTCGCAACCGTTACTCGTCCTTGCACGATATAGTGATTAAAAATCTTGAAAAGCTGAAGAAGCCCCGCTCCTCCAACGCCGAGAGCTTATACTAGGGGTTCGCCTCTGGTAGTAGCTTTTCGGATTTTTCTTTTTTTTTTTGCTATGAATTACACAGACACTTACCTACCTAGTATAAACAACCGATACAGACCATGCCGCCAACAATGGCACGAAACGAATCGCATTCTCGAAAGAACACCAACAATAACAGCAGAACCAGTAAAAAAAACCTGCGGAGAGTAGAGCGGAACAGTTATAGATGTGTTAAAAGAAAATTTAATAATAATGATAATAAAAAAAAAAACAACAACGGTAACAAATGATTTAGTAGAGGTATGCATATGTTTAAACTCTTACTTTTCCATTTTGAATGTGTTACTACATACATATACGGCATGTGAACGGCGTACAATCTTTAAGGATACATTTTCAGTAATCAATAAAACCTAAATCTAGAATAGACACTGTATTATACAAAATCAATACTACAGATTCTGACTAATAAGAACAGCTGCTTGTTTTTACATATGTATGTCAAAATAAAACGAAAACAAATGTTGCGTCGCCTACTTAAAACAGAGTTGAATATTAGTAATGGAAGAAACAATATTGTAAATATACATACATATATACATACATACATACTTATGCCATACTTGCGTGAATGAGATCGTTCATTCGGGGCTTTATTCTTTCAGTGCCTAAAGCTCGTCCAGGGTAGACCAAAGACGACCATACCACACACACACACAATTAAATGTAAAATTCAGGTTCCCTTTCAACACATGTTTTTACGAAATTCCATTTTCACAATAAAGTGAAATTCAAGTATACTGCAGGTTTTCACGTTTGCCTTAAGTTTTGATTGCAGTTTTGTGGTATTTATTGAAATGTTGATGGCGGGCACGCTGTTCTCCAAATAAGATGCTTAAAACATTGTAGCATAATTTGGGGCTGCCGTTTTTCACATAATAACGGAAATAGTGACAGATCCCTATTCACCACAGTAGCAGATGTTAAAAGAAACACACCAATCGCTTGTTGAGTTTGTAGTGTTGCCAATTTGGCCTTTTTCCCGCCACATCTAGTGTGGTTGTTTTTAGCTCTGTATTTTGTTGTTATTTGTTACCTCAGAACTTTCGACTGGATAAACCGATTTTGATGATTTTTTTTTTGAAAGCTAGTGCATGTGTGGTTCCATTTCAATTTGGTCCAGTTCTGACAATGGCATCCATGAGAAAACGATATAAGTCTTAAATTTGCATTGTCGGCATTAACTTGGTTAATTTCCAATAACCATACCTCCAAATAGCTGAAACATTATGTCACTTTGAATGCCAACCAGGCAATACTACTTGGAACATTTAATCAAGCTGATTTACGAACTCATTTATCTCCAGGCAAGCAATGTTAGCGGCTGTTTGTGAATTAGATTCAAAGACTTTTTTTTTTAATTTTACTTGTTCACATCAAATTACGGGAAAAAATTCAAAATCGCGGAAAGCGGGAATTCTGGCTTTTTGAAAAAACATTTCCGCCTTTTGTAATTTTGCCAACATTCATGTTCTAAAATTGGTTTTGTTGCTGGCCCGCGAAGCTATCGAAGCCTATATGCTCAGCATACAGCAATAGTTCAGATTGATTATTTGAGCAACTTTTGCACCAGCTTTTTTGGAGGCGCATTCGACGACAAGGAACAAAATGTGTAAATGTTATATTAGATGTGCACCAAGATGATAAATAACATTAAAAAATACAATTTTCCAAGCAATTTTTGAAAAATTGAATTTATTATACTCTGTACATGAAATGTACAAGAGTATATTAGGTTTGCGGGAGCTGAAAAATGTAACAGGCAGAAGGAGGCGTGGCAGACCCCACAAAGTATATATATTATTGATCAGCGTGACAAGACGAGTCGATCTAGCCCTGTCTGTCTGTCTGTCCGTCTGTCCGTCTGTCCGTCCGTATGAACACCTGGATCTCAGAGACTATAAGAGATAGAGACACCAAATTTTGCACGAAGATGCGTTATGTGTATATTCTATACGAGTTTGTTTTATTTTTTTGATTTTCCCCCCCACTTCCCCCCTATGGGGGTTTTCCCGATTTTCCATTCGTATAATCGCCTATATCTCGGAGACTATAAGACCTAGGCACACCAAATTTTAGTCCAAGATGCCTTGTGTGAATACGCAGAAAATGTATATTTTGGAATTTCCCTCCCTCCCCCCTCTCCCCCGCAAATGCGATTTTCTCTAACTCCCGTAATTCTTGGAATTTCGAACTAAAATTTTGCAAATACCCCCAGTTAGTAATTATGTGTCCGTATGCCAAGTTTCACTATGATAGACCGATTTACCAAGAAGTTATAGCCATAAATATATTTGCTGCTGCAGCGCTGCTGCAGCGCTGCCCGCGGCTGTTGTTGATGTTGCTGTTTGGTTGACTGCGAAAATGCTTACACAGACACGAATTGATGCGCATAGGCATACATACACTCACACAGACGCAATTGCTATGTAAATGTGCAATTATACACCCTTTACGTGAGTTCGAATACCGAGAGAGGTAAAATCGATCCAATTTTTTTTTTATTTATTTTTTTTTTTTATTTTTTATAATTATTGTAAACATATGTACAGAGTATTTCAAAGTCGGGACACCCGACTTTAGCTTTTTTACTTGTTTGATCTTTATTTCAGTCTTCTTCCTGTCAAAAGCAGCTTGTTTTTCATTTAAAAACTTGGCAACACTGTTTGCAACAAACTCGCGAGCATATCGTACTGAAGTCGCACCAAACATGTATACTCGAGCACGTTTGAGTCGCATTGAGGTCGCATCAAACTTGCACACTAAAGTTGCATCACATACTCAAACACGTTTGAGTCGTACTGAAAACGCATCGAACTTGCATAGTCGAACGTGCTTGACTCGCACTAAAAACGCGTCAAACTCGCGTGGACAGTAATAGAGAAACAAAAATTGTTTGTAAGTAGTTTTGTAAAACATTTCGTTTATTTTATTGTTCATCTACACCTGCAGCAGAAATAGCTCAATTAAATGGACTTTTCAAGCTGAACAACTCTTGTATTTACAAAGTTATTACTTAAGTCAATAAATGTACACAAAGCTATAATTAAACTTATCAAATTGAAGACTATCCATTGCGAACGCATGGATTGGTTGTTTCGGTTTTTCTTTATAACTTTCTTACTTAACTAGGCACTAGGCACCCAATTTACTGAACATAACTACCGGTATTTATGTGTATATTTTTCATTATTTTTTTCGTTTTCAGGATAATCAAGAAAAGCTAAGCAGTTCCTTAAATTGATTTACAGGGGCTCGTCGTATAACGAATTGTTCTTAAAAGTGTACATATGTTGCCTCGTTTTTGTTTATTCGTTGAGCGCAAGTTGGTTTTTCGAAGCATTGCTGACAAGTCAAATATTAACGATTAACGAAACATAAACATTAGTATATATGTATGTATTAATAAATGCTGATACGTTTGTAAGAATGGAATATTTTCATGAACTCGTATTTATTCAGGAAGGAGTGCTTCAACATTTTTTATTTTCTTCTGAACACTATTTTATAAATATATATATTTTTTGTATTTTAAATGAACGTTTTAAAGATTTTTTTGATTTGTTTTTGTTTTTAATAAATAATTAAAAAAAAAATTAATTAGAAACTTTAGATTCTTATCCTACTACTAGAGACAGCGAGAAGAATTGCTCTACGGCGTGCCTCTAAAATTATTCAGTAATATAATATTACTTTTATATTCTGATTTTCTTCGTATACTTAAACCCTACAATGGACTGTCGAGGGTAGAACTTCGTGAGCCCATTTGTCCTTAGAAATAAAACGGCATTTTGTTGCGCCAGTTTTCCCATTGCACTATGGTTTCTTTGCCCGTTTTTTTTTTTTTTTTTTTTTTTTTTTGCAGAAATATGGCTCGAAATATTTAGATATTTACCCCAAATTTAGTTTGTACGCATATTTTGGTACTTCAAGACGACATACCATAGTTTGGTTCAGTTTGGGCCACTATTTCATATAGCTGCCATATAACCGATATGGCCGACTTTCACTAACTTCTGTATTTTTAACTGTACCAAACCAGAAACTGGCCAATAATTTTCTCCCATGCAACATAGAACATAGTTCACAAAATATAAATAATTGAACATGAGATTATTTAATTTTTTTGGTGCATCAGAAAACTTAGTAGAATCTGGATACCGAGTTTGGTTATACTTGCTCTTATACTTCCTGAGATCCTTGCGTTCATACAGACGGACGGTCGGACGGACGGACAGACGGACATGGCTATAGCGACTCGCCTTGTCATCCTGATCAAGAATACATACAGTTTGTGGGGTCTGCCACGCCTTCTTCTGCCTGTTACATACATTCGCACAAAACTAGTATAGCCTTTTACCCTTTGGGCGCAGGCTATAAAAACACATGAACAACAAACACATGGCACAATTACACGAACACACTTCATCGCTTAAAAACAGTTTTGGATTATAATTAAATATACATTGGTTAACGTTTTCCATTATATAATTTAACTTTTGTGGGGTCTTTTCTTACTTCTGCAAGCTCTGACATGTGTTTCACACAATCAGTTAACTTTGACTGCGCGCCAAGAAAATGGTGTTGCCATATCAGCAGGAATTTATTTAATTTTCCCTTAATTAAACAATTTATAATAAAAATAAAACTGTTTATATTTGGACAAAAAAAAAACGGGCAAAAAAAACCATAGTGCATTGCTGTATTAAGTAATGGTCCGAGCTGGCTGTTTCCAACATACTTATTTCATAGTTTGCAGAAACAAGTCTTATCCTAACTTATGAAAAATATAAGAAAAAAAAAATCCTACTTAAAGTCTGAGACGAAACTGTTAATTTTTTGTCCGACTTGATCAAATAATACAACCATAAGCATGAATAGCTTTTGAATTCCTTCTGATACATCGAGTTCATGAAATGGCAGATTCCTCTATACTACTTGTATATAAACAGAATCGGATGCGCACAATACGCGGTCCTATTGAAATTTGATTTGATTTTGAAGAATACAATGTCTACTTTGTCACTGAATCGGTTCGAATTTTTTTCGGATTCCGCAAACTTAGTGACCCTCTCGGGCAAGCGCTCGTAACACCTCTCGTTATCAACGATCGATTGTGTCATTGGACTTATCAGCTACTGTTGTTAGTTTCGAGCTCGGGTACTCTACTCTACTGTACTTTATAGATTACTATATAGTAGTGTATTGTATGTATGTACGCTAGTAGGTACGTTAGTTGTTGTTGTTGTTTTTTTTTTTTTTTGTGTTGGCAGTGGTCTATTATTCGGAGGAGAGGCAAAGCTAGTTAGTCTCTCGGGGCTCAGATGAAGGCCTTTCTTCTTTTTTTTTAAACTTAGTTTAGCGTTTAATATAGTACAAAAGTGGGAGCGGGTGAATTTTGAAGCCCAATTGCTTAAGACAGCAAATAAATACTATTCATAATAATAATAATAATAATATTATGATAATTATAGAAAATTACATTAATAACAAAAATAAAACATTTTTGATTTAGCTCGCTGGACGCTCAATCGGCACGAGCACTATTAATTGCTTAACGAACTGCAATCAAGTGAACGGAATTTTTGGCAGCCTAACTGGCTGGCCAGATACTCTTTGCGCTATTTCGGATGATGCCAGCCATCCTCATCAGTGACCTTCGTTAGAATTGTGTTACTCAAGCAGTCCCTACATGGGTGGTAATCGCGGCCTTCGACCTTCTGACCATTCAGCCTGCTATATCAAAACCGATGGCTATATGTCGTACAAAAAAAAAAGCATTAAATAAAATACAAAATGGCACGTTGAAACATCAAGAGTTCCACCCCTCACATGTGGCCCCACCAGGCAGCGGTGGCCTGATAGTAGCCATCGCTGCCCCAATCAATTACAGAAAGGGGCGGCGGAGGTGGCGTTAGAGACAGCACATCGAACTCATCGTTGTTGTTGTTGTTGTTATTGTTGTTGTTGTAGTTGTTAAATCGTCTACGCCAATGGCGATACAGTGGTTGGTGCCTCTTCACCGTCTTCCGTTGCCTTTTGGGAGCGACCTGGTGTCTGACCAGATCCCACCCAACGGTGCCCTCTTGTTAGAAAACCTTTTCGTCCAGAAAGGGCTTCCCCTCGTTCATTTTCTCCAGATTGCCACTCAGTGTCGGATCCATGGGTCGCTTCCGCTTGAAGAACCCACACTTCCACAGCAGGCATGTGAAGATGCCCAACAACACCAGACCCAATACGCCCGCCAATATGCACAGCCACAGCGGCGTCGATGTGTCCCGTTGTTGGTCCAGCAGTTCCGGATAGGCGCGTGTTTCCACCTGCATCACAGAGCGAAAGAAACATATAGAAATGACAATAATAAAAATGTACGAGAAAATAGTATTACTTGTATACTGGAAAGATTACCCAGACCTTGGGCCACAAATTCGCATTGAAGCGTCTATCTCTTTTGGATAATTTCAAATTTAAATTAGTCCTTTACTCACCATAATGTGGTTGTTGTTATTGTCCGATTGTTTCACACCCAAATCATTGGGGATCTCGACGTGGGCCTTCGAGAAGATGCGGACGAGATCGACGCGCGGATATAGGGACACCAGCGTTGAGTTCCACAGGCGAGCCTTCACATGTACCTGCGTTTCTGTCTTGGCCGGCATATCGTAGATTTCGCACTGGATCTTGATGCAGTTGACCGCTTTGTTGCAGTTCAGCTCGACGATATGACGCTTCTTTGTCTTGCCGTTGGCATCGCGACCATCCATGAAACGCTCGGGCCTGACGATGCGAATGAAAGTGTCGCGGCGGACGCGATTGTGCGGGGCCGAAGGCTCCATATCCTCTGCCTCAGTGGCCATACCGCCACCGTGTTTGAAGGGGTTGAGGGCTTCCGTTTTATGCCGGATTCGATGGTAAGTACTGACAAAATGGGGGTACGACTCGTTTCGCTGCAGCTTGGAGGGATGCATCATCATGGAAGCTGGTGCGGACAAGTAGGCGGGCTGGAGTTTGAGCGGATTCACATATTCGGGAGAAACCTTGCACTCGCCCTGCACATTCTCGATGGTGGGAACATCCACCAGATAGAGCAGATGCTGATCTGTTTTGCCTGACTCCCGTTCGCTGTACACCTGATAAGGCCAGTCGATCGTGAGCAGAACTTTCGGCGCACGCCAGGGGCCCTCATTGTAGATCCAAAATGTGTGCGTCAACGACGAACCGACATCCTCCAGTTTCATCGGCGAGTTATCCAGCTTGACGGCGCCACTATAGAAGCTCTGCTCAGGAATGGCCCAACCACGCAAGGTCAGCTCGGTATGCTTCACAACCCGGACGTCCAACGTTCGTTCGGGACGGTCCGAGCCTACTAGCTTCGATGTCGTATTCGCAAAGATGTGGAACTGCAGCTTTGTTTCGCCCAACTCCAGGCTACTGGGATCGAAGCGTATCGAGACATCTGTGGTGCTGCCACGTCGCATGGGGTTGCCTAGACCGCAGGAGACGACAGTGTCGTTGAAGCGGTTGCAAATGGCATTGTTCTGTGAAGAGAGAGTACAAATTAGTTCGCTGTTTCAGGAAGATCCCTAATATTGGGGACCTCTAATATGTGTCATAAGGAACTGGCTCATTTTTTCGAGATAGATAAGGGCCTTATAGGCCTTCCAGACCTTTCCTTTTGATCTTAAGATAATACTTTTGTGCGCAACATAAGAGCCCCTCTAAGACTCTATATGTAAGAATGGTAATGATCGATAAAAGGCTTACCTTCTTCAAAGCGGCTATGTAGGATATACTTTTTGGGTGAACAATAAAAAGCTGCGTTTCGTAGGCCGAGTCGGCCAGATTGCTGACATTCACATTGACTCGTACCTCCTCCTTTTCGCCTAGTGTCAGCGCATAGTTCTCATCTGCATAGGTGGCAAATAGACGAACCAATAGAATTAGTTTCAATCAAAGTTTGACGAGGTAGAAGGTATTTCCACTCACCCGCTTTGTACGCGTCTAGCTGAGCTTCCAAAAGTAGATTACTCTCGCACTCATCGTCGTCGCCGCAGTCCTTTTGGAACGTGCCTTCGAATTCAATGTGCGCCTGCGTTTGGTCGAGCATTGGGTTGAGTCGTATCAGTCCAGAGTCCGCTAGGGGGGGCTCTACAAGTGTATAGCTCAGTCGCATCTTTATAGGCGTCTGTATGTCCCGAGTGTTATCTTTGATGTAGCCAATGATCTGCTGGCAATGGGATCGTCCATTTGTACCCACTCTTACCTCGCTCTTGATAACATTGCTGCGCTTGTCGTCGTGATCGAAGAAGACGCGGGAGAACTTCTTTTGGTGCTCGTATGTTTCCGCTTCGACGGTGGCCAACAGATTAAGTTCCTTGCTGGTGCCCGACTGCTCGTAGGGATCGATGGAGCAGCACACCTCGAAAGTGAAGCACGTCAAATTGGTGGAGGCGTTTCCGATGCAGCGCTGCTTATTGGGATCGATGTTGCGCAACTCGCTGCCGCTATAAGTAGTCTGTATGCTGATTATGGGACGTGCCAGCAGCGCCACAACTGCAGAGGAGTTGTAGGCACCCACCACCAAGTCCGGATAGGAGTTGCCGTCTAGATCCGTGTTTCCAGCTATAGAAATGCCGAAGGTGCGTATGGGCTTAGGCAGCAATCCACCCAGATCAGAGGCGGGAATGCGCTGTGAGGGCTTGCTGTTAAGACCCGTACGTGAGCCGAGGTAGATGTAGACGACACCATCGCCTTCATAGGGCGCGCCCACGGCAATGTCCTCGCAGTTGTCTTTATTCAGATCACCAATGTTGGCCAGCGCCAGTCCAAAGCGACTCTCCAGCGTACCTGTCAGCTTCAGAGTCGGCTTTTGGGGCAGCATGTCTTTATCGTTCTGATACACATAAACGGCTCCACCCTCATTCTTCGAGAAGTAGAAGGGTGCGGCCGCAATCAGATCGGGCTTTTGATCGCCGTTGATGTCGGCTGTAGTGAGCTCGTAGCCAAAGCTGGAGGCAAACTGCTCGCCATCAATGATCAGACGCACAGGTATGGGACTGGTGTTGGCCTTGTCAAAGATCACCACTTGGCCATGGCCATTGGAACGAGGAGCGCCTGCGGCGTAGGACATGCGCTCGCCAAAATAACGACCTCCGGTCACAGCCATGCCTAGCAAGCGAATCATAGTTTAGAACTAATGCTTCACTCACCAGTTTTGTTACTCAAAACTTACCTAAATAGCTGTACTTGTCCACGGGCGAGGTGGCGTCCGAGTGATCGCTGTAGTACATGTTCTTGTCCCGCTCCAAATATTCGCCGCCGATCTCTGTGACAAAAATAGTGCCGCGCCAAGTGAAGGGGCCAGGCGTGCCCAGCACCATGGTATTGTCGTCTAGCAAAGCGCCGGACGTTCCCACCTGACAGAAGCCATAATCCTCGTGTTGCCTGCAATGAGTCGAGCTCACATTAATAAACGGGCAACCCATCTCCAGCAGCAGTCCCCGGTCCCAAGTTTTCAATTCTCCACTTCAAGTGGGACATGGACAGCGTCTGCACGCAATGCCAGCGCAATGAAAAATTACATGTCCATGCGCTGACAAGCATCCAATACAGCACACCACACCCTGGAATTCTATCCTCGTTCTGTTGGACTCTGGCGCAACCAGTGGCCGTCGTCTCTAAAAGCCAGTTGGTGACACCAACGAAGCGTCGCCATTTAAATTAATTAAAATGCGCCTTTATGACTTCATACCTCGCCTGGAGGTCATCAAGCGTGGCATTCTGCACTCGGACACTGCGAACAGCGTCGGCGGCGACGTCATCGGTGTCACACCCAAGCTCCAACCCTCCACTCCGCACACAAACACACACACACACACACACACACATGCTGCATGCTAATTGGCTAAAAGCAGGGACAGACACTAACATATTTCACCTTGACACCTTTCGCCGCAGCAGAGATTCCAGCAATGCGACAATTTCTCCACAAAACACCACCACCCCGAGGGTACAAAATGGACATTCTTGCGTGTGGGCAGTTACTACTAAGTGGGTGGACGGATGTTATTTAAAATTTCGATGATTTAGTGAGAGGCTCTCAGAATTCTCCCAGGATACTAGTATATACTTTATATACTTATGCATAAAATAACAATTTCAAATGAAAATTCCTCTATATCAGTTACTACTAAGAGGGTGGACGGATGTTATTTAAAATTTCGATGATTTAGTGAGAGGCTCTCAGAATTCTCCCAGGATACTAGTATATACTTTCTATACTATAAAATAACAATTTCAAATGAAAATTCCTCTATATCAGTTACTACTAAGTGGGTGGACGGATATAATTTAAAATTTCGATGATTTAGTGAGAGGCTCTCGGAATTCTCCCAGGATACTAGTATATACTTTCTATACTTATGCATAAAATAACAATTTAAAATGAAGATTCCTCTATATCAGTTACTACTAAGTGGGTGGACGAATGTTATTTAAAATTTCGATGATTTAGTGAGAGGCTCTCAGAATTCTCCCAGGATACTAGTATATACTTTATATACTTATGCATAAAATAACAATTTCAAATGAAGATTCCTCTATATCAGTTACTACTAAGAGGGTGGACGGATGTTATTTAACATTTCGATGATTTAGTGAGAGGCTCTCAGAATTCTCCCAGGATACTAGTATATACTTTCTATACTATAAAATAACAATTTCAAATGAAAATTCCTCTATATCAGTTACTACTAAGAGGGTGGACGGATGTTATTTAAAATTTCGATGATTTAGTGAGAGGCTCTCGGAATTCTCCCAGGATACTAGTATATACTTTCTATACTATAAAATAACAATTTCAAATGAAAATTCCTCTATATCAGTTACTACTAAGAGGGTGGACGGATGTTATTTAAAATTTCGATGATTTAGTGAGAGGCTCTCAGAATTCTCATAGGATACTAGTATATACTTTCTATACTTATGCATAAAATAACAATTTCAAATGAAAATTCCTCTATATCAGTTACTACTAAGTGGGTGGACGGATATAATTTAAAATTTCGATGATTTAGTGAGAGGCTCTCGGAATTCTCATAGGTACGAGTACATACTTATGTATAAAATAACAATAGTAAACGAAAATCTAAATCTGCTGCATTATTTGTGAATAAGGATTTCAGATCTCATATCTGAGAAGTATTAAAAAATAGACAAATATATTAAAGGGCGCGCTTTTCTCACGTATCCATCTCTGACACACATTGCATGTTTTAATTAAAAGGTCAACCTACTTTACTTTACTTAAAAAGGTGAATTCGCCATTGCGTGTTTTTTTTTTTTTGGCTTACCTTACTACAGAGCGGCCCTTGCAAGGCTCGTAGACCTCGTCGAATTTTAGATTGTTGGTCAGCACGTAGCATAGGCCCTGGCCATAGCGATTCTCACGCACAATCGTCACATAACGATGTGCACAGACGAGCACCTGCAAAGATCAGAATCGAGGGCCACAATGCATTTAGAACTGTAGAGCTGTGGTTTGTGAGGGAAACACACCTTGCCGCCCAATCCTTGGGAGCGCACTGTAACACCCATCCATTGCCCTTCCTTGATCTCATCAGCGGATTGCGGGATGAGGGAGTCGTCATCGTAAGCTGCAGGCAGCGATTGTGCAGGAAAAAAATATTAAAAATAAAGTCAAGTCCATTAAATATTGGCCAAAGCTTTCAAAGAATTCGCTGTTGAGTGTGTGTGTGTGTGTGAGTTTAAGAGTGTCGCATTGTCAATCACAACAACAACAACAACAACAGTAAATGTTACAACAATGGTGATTGATTAAAAACAACAATAACAATAAAAATTCTTTATCGTACATACATACATACATACACATCAACTATTCAGTCAAATAAAATCAAATGGAATCTAATTATTTGTACAGCTCTTTCTTTTTGTACACAATTTTCTAATATCTACATACATACATACATACATACATATGCATACGTACATGTGTATGTATATAATTTTAAAGTAAGTAAGTGTGTGTGTGCTCAGTGTTTAACAAAATTGTGCAAAAGTCAAAATCAACAACAACAACAACAACTGGAAACAAATAACAAGGAAAATGGAGAAATGCAAAACTGGAAACTTAAAACTATAAATGTTGCCTGATTATGATACGCACATACATATACATACATATGTATATGTAAGTGATTTGTTCAATTAGGCAGGAACTATTGTCTGTTAAAAAGCTGAATTATCATTTAAAGATGTGCGAAGCTTTTCAACACTAGCCCCTCTTCCAGGGAGAGAGAGAGAGAGAGAGAAACAGTTAGGCTTGCCAATTACATCAGCTGCTGCAGAGATGATTTGCAGCGAAGATCATTTTACATATACATACATACATACATACATACATACATACATATGTATATGTGCGTATTCACGTGTAGACGGTCTCCACAGCTGGTGTCTGCTTGGAATCCAGTTTTTACTTTGGCCTTCATAGCGTGTACTTTTTATTACAAGGCTTTATTTTCAGGTTATCTCCTTAAAACCCAGGCTCGAATTGAACTTGAATTATCATCGAATGCTGCACACATCGTCTTTAAACAAATTTTTGCATTTTCGAATTATAATATCGGTTTGTGATTTCGGAGCATTGTCAAATTTATTCATACAGCAGTGTATTATTTCTATCTTTGCCCAGAAATGTATATATAAGTACATAAACCATTTACAGGAACGCTGTATATTTTATATACATAATATACTTGTATATATGTACTTATGTATCATAAAGTAAAAGGCAATAAGTAGCATTCCAATTACATCTGATAGATATGTATATAATTGCTTTCAATCGAATTGCAATCAGATTTAAATAAACATTTAATTATAACTTGGCTAGTACAGAGAAGCGTTTCTCACTGTAATTAATCGAACTGCTAAGCTCAAATAAAATCAACATCTAACTTCTAGTATTTAAAGTTAGCTTTAGCACGAGGTTCTAAAACAATCTTCAAAGCTCGCGAGAAATTCATTTTCGAAATGTGCTATATTCTTAAACAAACTATGGAAACTTTAGAGCAAAATTGCGAATACTTGTATATCAAAACTTAAAATTGTTAAACAAAACTTGGGTATCCGACTTAAAATTTTCTTCTCACTTGGAAAATGATAAATATATGTATGTACTTTATTGAAAATCTGTTCAGTTATGGTTCAGTGTGTTAGGCCATGAAACATGCGTGCAAATGTTTTGCAAATTTGATTTTCAAACTGATAAAATCCGCCATTGAGCAGCAATTACAACAACAAAAACAACAAGGGATATGGGAAATTGGAGCACATGTGGCCGTTGCCTTAAAATATAAATTAATATATGTATGTATGTTCACATTATGTAAACGTGTGTGTGAGTGTGTGTTGATGGATTGTGCAGCACACAGTAGCCACAGCCAACTGCAAACAGCTGCCACAACCCCACCAACAACAACAACAACAACATCAACAAGAACAGCAACAGCAACAACAGCAACAGCAACCCGAGCCGCATTGGTAACAAAATTTCGATTAAACCAAGCATGAAAAATGGAAAGCGTTGCTGACGACGCTGACTGCGACTGCAAGCGTTTGGGGCTACAAACAAACAGTGCCACTTAGTTGAATAGATTCAACAAACATTCTCAGATCCTCAATCATCTCAGCCATTTATGCACTATCAAAATAAAACTATCTATCTATAACTAAGCTGTAATTGTTTCTGATAATGTTAGAGAGTCTGTTAATCCTGTAATGTTTAGTTACCTAATTAAATATTGTATTTCCCCTAAACCACGATTTAAATAGAATATGAATCATATATTATTTTTGAGACGCTGGTAGTCTGCAATTTTCAAACAAAACTCAATTTAATCAACTCAGTTTTACATTTCCTTTTTAATTTTCCTTTGCTGCTCCATTAGTCTGCATTAATTATTTATATAACTGGCACTCGAAAGGTATACTAGAAAGCCTAAACTACGAGCAGACAGGACGAGAGGACAAGACGAATCAATATACTATAGACATGTTCGAGTGCGAGTGTTCGTTCGAGTGTTTGTCCGTATGAGCACCGAGTACTTTTGAACCATATTAGCTAGGGACACCAAATTTAATATTTAGACTTGTCTTTTTTATATGCAAAGCAAGTTTACAAAAAACCACATTTAACTTAATTATTGTATATATATATGTAGCTCCCATGGTACCGATCAGTGCAAAAATCACTCTTCGTAGGATAACTTTTATGTGTACAAAGATATCTTAAGCGAATATGGTATTAATTAAGTTTTAATTAATTAATTAATTTATATTATATATGATGCTGCCATAGGAACGATCGGTACAGAAACTAAACGTTGTTGTTTGCTACGATATGGTACAGAAAATTTGTATAAATGCTTCATAGTTCCTGCATATAGTCGACACTCATTCATTTTTTTAAAGCTTCGGTTTCTAGTCAGTTGAGCGGTGTTGTGTGTAAATGCCTACACACATGTGCACAGATTTGATGAAGCGTGGTTGTTGCTATTGGCAGCGAAGGAGCCGCGCTGCACCGGCCCAGGGGTGTTGCTGTTTGCGCCTTTTTAAACACATGTGTGCGTGTGTGTGTGTGTGTGTGTGTGTGAAATTAAACGTAACAAAATTGATTTAAAATGCATTTTAAAGCATCTAAGTGTTGAAATATGATTAATGAGTATAGCACTGCATTTTGTTTGGGGCCGGCTTGGAGCTTGAAGTTTTCTTTCTGTTGGCTGGCTGGCTGGCTGGCTGGTTTGGGCGAACATACACAAGTACATATGTACATATATATTTTTGTTCAGCGTGGGCTTCAGTCAGTCAGTCACTCATTCATTCCCTCACTCGCTCAACAAACTCAATTGAGTTTACCACACAGTTCTGGGCCCAATAAGCACAACAACAACGACAAGCCCGATACGTTCGCCTTTGAAGTGAAAGTCGCGCATGCGCCGAAAGTATTTGGTTGGATTGGGGGCTTCGTGGGGATGGCGGGATCAGGGAAATGGCGACATTGAATGAAAAGTGTCAGCGAGATTGCAAGACACAACAACTATGTACAAATTGTAATGAACTTTGAACCTGCTCGACGCAAGCACATGCCTGACATTGGCAGAGAGCGAGGAGTCGCTCGTGAAATGCAAGAAAATGAAAATGTGCCGCCAGTCTTTAGGAATGTTGCCACATTGTTGAACATGCCAACAATTTCACTTCACTGGGGGCTAGAACTATGGACGCACACACACACACACACACACGCATGTATTTACAAGCACGTTATATGTTAATCAACTACGTCAATGAAAGTATTTTGATCGGGTAGTAGTATTCACATAAACTAACAAAAATTAGTACATATATGCTTTTCACTTTGGATACTTAAATAGTATTGCATTACTAATAGTAAAGGGTTTAGACTAAGGCTCTGGTATACAGGCAGAATCGCTCGCTAGACTCTAGAGTCAATTAACTTTCCAAACTCAAATCGAATACTTTATGTTAGTTTTTCTAACGTTTTAAAAGTTTGCCAAACTCGGCATGGTCGTCTCGTAATATTTGCCTTGTATGCATAATATTCTTTTTTATTTTATGTAGACGAACATTATGGAACTAGTAAGCGCTAAATTAGAGGTATAATCTATAGAACAAATAGAAAGTTCGACTTTTGGGATCTTACTCCCAGCTTCCTCCGCTTGTTAGGCAAATTTTAGAAACGAGCAAACATCGATTTTGTTGGAAATTATAGAACATTAAAACTATATCTTAATGGCGGCTAGAACCGGAGAAATATATTGCAATGGATATTCTGAGGTGGATAAACAGGATTCGCAATTTTAAAGTCTAAATAATATTATTTTGTAGCTGGAATGCTGTCAGAATACTTTTGGTGACTAGTGTGTGCATTATAATGATGCAAACACATATGTGCGGTACAGTCGCGTTTCAGTTATTTTTATGCGCCACTGCTTAGCCAAGTGGTACAAAAAAATATTTCGAAAACTTTGTCACGTTCTGTGCGCGTTATTGGGAAGTGGGCGGTGGACGCTGGGCGGTGGGCGGTGGGCGGTGGCGTTACAACGACTAGTATGTATGCCGGCAGCGGCGCCAGTCTTTCGAATCTACATGTACATGCATACAAGTATATGTACTTGTATGTAGCATACTTATGTATGTATTCATACATAGGTACTGTGCCACGCTCTGATTGCCGAGTTTCCAATACAGACCAAATGCCAAAAATAACAAACGAGCGCAACCGAAAAAAAGGAAGACAAAAAACTATGAGGCTAAAAAAAGGCGAGGCAGGCAAGCGCCAAAATATCAAAAAAAAAAAAAAAAAAAAAAAAAACAACAGCAGCAACCAAAAATGCCAAGTTAAAGGCAATGATGTGGATGCGGATGCAGATGCGTATGAGGAGGTTGAGGTTGAGGATGAAGATGTGCCACAGCTGTTGCAAATATTTATGCACTCGTCGCATACTACTATAATGAATTCTTTCTGCATTGCGCGATCCAAGTCGGGGACGCATACTTTAGCAAGGGCGTACGCAGGGGGGTAACGCCCCCCCTCCTACAAAAATGTTTTCCATATAAAGTTGACCACACGTTCATTATTATGACGCACTATTTCGCCTTCAAATGGAACTGAGTTGGATTTGTTGAAGTTTTTTCATTGATCATATGCATAAGTTATTTTTGAAATGCAGCGAGCATTATTTAATGGCTCCCCCCTTTGGTAAAAGCTGCATACGCCCTTGTACTATAGTAAATAAAATGTAAATAAAAACTAAGCCAGGCAACGCAATGTGCTGTAATTAGCGTTTAATGAGCCGTCAATTGAAGCCAAATCATGGCAGCTATGGCGACAGTGGCGTGGGGGGGGGGTGTAGAAGGGGGGCTGCAAACTAAGCTGACATGCTTTTTAGCAATTTGGGCGTGCAAAGGAAATGCCAAACATGTGACGATGATGTGACGGAATCAAGCCAAATGAAGCTGTTATGGAAATCAGCCAGAGCTATGTACGAGTATGTATAGTATATTCGTAATCCAATCGGTTGTGACTCGCACTTGGAACACTTCAAGAGCCACGAACTTGCAGTCAAGCTTACCACCAGCAGTCGTCAACCGAACACCAGATGCTTGCAGCTACATACATACTATATAGTATATATGTATGTACATACGAGCACATATGTACATACAAGTATGGAGAATGTGCGAAAAGGCTTTCGATGTATGTGCGGGTATGTATGTATATATGTATGTACAGTCGACTCTCGTTAATGCGAAACTTGAGGGATTTTTAAAATATTACGAATTATCGAGTGTTTGAAATATCAAATGGTTCGAAATTTGTGAGAGAAAATGAATAAAACTTCGAATTATTAAGTGTTGATCAATAATTATTTATTAACTGCTATTCTATAACAATGTTAAAAGAGTAACAGTAACTGAATGATAACTGAACAAACCAATTCGGACGGATCTTGAGTTCACCACTCAAGTCAGATGCGGAGAAGTCGATTTTTGTTATATACTTAGCACTGTGTAGCCATGTTGTTATATAGCAATGATTTTTTAGTTCGAAAATAGTTCGAAATATAAAGAGATTTTGTAGGAATCTCGTGATAACTTTGAATTATAGAGAGGTTCGAATTATCGCAGGTTTGAACTATCGAGAGTCGACTTTATGTAGAGTATAACGTATATGCAACAATTTTTAGCTTGAGTTGTTAATTGTAGCAGCTGTGCTTCCTCATCGCAACAAGCGATATGTGAACATTATATTAGCACGAGATGATGGGGAAAATGAGGAGCACGAGTGCTTTCGAGATTTGCGAAGATCATCTAATGGCTTTAACGAGCATAACACACTCGACTTGGCAAACATGTGTACGAGTATGTGTCAGTATTGGGGAGTCTGGGGGGCACATAGAGGGCATTTTTTTTTTTTTTTTTTTTGGGTACTTCAAGTGACAGCAACAAGTACAGCACAAGCTCGTTCAAATGTTATGTATGTATATACTTATATAGACATACAACGATTCTGTTCGTTTGGCTAGTTCTGTGCATGCTGCCATCTTGTTTTCTTACTTTCAAAATCTTTGATTAACTGACTGAAGATGAAAGCAGCTTTTACCATAATCTGTAATCTCTTAAAGGATAATACTTAAGTTGGCTCACTTGAATGTCTACTAAGGAGCCGTGCACTAGAATAGTGCCTTTTAAGTGAGCAGTTAGTCTAGAGCGATAAATTCTTGTAAAACAATTTTTTTTTTTTATAAAAACTACAACTATATTCCTTGCTGCATTATTTTTGATCGGCATGTAAATAAACAACGGAATGTTTTTCATTTATGTTAAATATGATATCTCCATTAACGAACCTTAAATATTGAACTTATACTGCTCATTTTACCATCGATTGTTTGAAGGTGTTTGCCAAGAAGGGAGAGTGGCAGATATTGTGAAAAATCTATATAGAAATATAATAAGTCTCTCAGTCTTAAAACCTTCGAGCTAAAATTTTTAATTTAAAACGACTTTTTGTTGATGCAAGTACTATATTTATGTACATATATATGTAGAACCCGTCAGAATCGATCTGAACCACTTGCATATATTTGGCTGCCAAAAAACTAAAGCAGCTTAGTCGCTGATCTTTTTGTTTCTGAATCTATCCTAACACTATTGGTTGGTACATATTAGAATTTCGAATAGGTATTTTGTTTGCTGACAAACGCATGGTATACCCATGCCTTGATTTATATTAATTCTCTTTGAGCGATGAAAATGGGAAAGATGTGTGTTCTTTATTCGGATTATCCACAAAGATTGCTTAAATAAAAATCCAATTAAGAGCTTTGACCTTTCAATAATCTGAAGTCACTTGAACAAAACTAAATAAATTGTTTTAAACTTATGGAAGTGTACTTGAAGATTAATGTACAAGTCTAATAATAATATTTTTATTTTAGAATATATATGTATTTCTTCAGAAATATGTTATAGATTGCTATTAACTTTAATCTAATACCTAATTATAATTGCAGAGGTCGGTTCCTACTTTTCGGAAATCATATGTGAGCTGATCTTCAAAAAATCGATTGATGAACACATTATGTATGTACTCTGTATATGTATGTATGTATGACGGTAGGTGCATGATACAGTTTGATTTTTGATTATTAAATACTTATACTCGTATAGTAATTGAATTAAATATTTATGCTCTTATACTATTGAATGGTGATTGTTATTATTTTCTGTTATATACATGTATTTACTTAAGCTAACTGTTAATCATGATCAGTCACTATACATATGTATTTGTATACAAGTATATACAAAAGATATTATGTACAGCTTAGAACTAGGTAGCTGAAATGCGATTAGCGCGCATGCGTAGCGAGACCCAATGGCGTGAAGTACCGTTAGCTTGCGACATGCATTTGCAATTTATATAAAAAGTATTTGTTTAAATAGATAGGTTAGATATATATAGTATGGGCACAGAAGTATGTGCATATATGCTTTTGTGATAATTTACAAGATCAACCGATTAGCAACGAAATACTGTATGTAGTATGAGTATAAGTAGCCGATTTAGAGCCGAATTACGGATCAGATGTGCCGAGTGCAAACACAAAGAAGTTAAAGAGCAAGTAGTACGAGCATTGGGGTTAAATATAGAACGAAAAGTATGCGCAAATCAAAATTAAAAGTTAACACAATGAAATGCTTTGCGTTTTTGCAATGGTTTTGATTTGTGGGAAAACAAATAAAGCACCCATACCACTTACTATGTTCATAAGATCCCAGGAGTGCTAAATAATAAATCGGTTTGGTATATCGAGCAAGAAAATGATATGAGATTTTTGTTCAATCATTTTCGAACGCGTTCGGTTTTTATGTTTTTGTTTTCGAAAGGGGATACATGAGTTTTCCATATGCGCACCAATTATAATTGTATTGTTGTTTTAATTTGTTTGATTTTTTTTTTTGGGGGGGTAAATAGAGAAAAAAGCAGAAATGTGTACCAAAAAAAAGTAAAAGAAAAATATAATTAAAAAATGAGAAAAGATAAATCAAGACAATATATTTATTTATATGTAGTAAGTAAAATATGTTTTAACTAAAATGTTGCTATTCTTTACAACGAATTTAGAGATTTAAAAACAAATCTAATATTAAATTGCAGGTAAAACATAAATAAATTATAGAACACGTAGAGAAAAGAATTGCAGTTTTTTTTTTTTTGGTGTTGTACACTTTAACTAAATTTTGAAAAGTTGCATTTCAAAATACCTATTGGGGAGTGGGTGGATAATATTTATAAAGCAAATCGGCAACAAAGATACTTTAATGTTTTAGTCACATTTCTCTTTACAGAAACGTTAGAAACGCAACTAATTCTAAGTTAAGTCTTAGAAAATAATATTTAAAGTATACTTGTATGCTATACTGAATACAATACAAGTTGAGAGAGGGAGAAAGTATTCTAAACTATATTCTAAACTATACAAGTTAAATTCGTTCGTATAATTTAAAATACGCCTATCGAAGCTAATGACACATGGATTGGTTAAATTGAAAGTGGGGAACCCGATTGATGTGGCTCTAGAGGGGCATGTTATGCCTCTCAGGCTTAAATAGATCATTTAAATTCCTAAATCTGAGCTGGGAATACACAAAATTCCGTGTAATTCGGCAGCTCAACACTAACAACAATTCTGTGGAAATTTTTCATTTTCCAAGGCATTTTCATAAGTGATCAGTGAGCTACAATTTATCTGATAAGTGCGACTGCCTCTCTACATCATACGTGGAATCACGTGCTCTAACATTTTGAGAGAAAGGAATTCTGGTAGAGCCGCAGAATTATACGCGCAGTAAAATCTGCTGCTTACGTACATTTCTGGTCCTTTTAAGTGACCAAAACAAATAGTTAGTTACACGGAATAGGCTAGCAGTTAGCAGTTAGTTGTAATTCTTTCAAAGGGGCACATTAAATAAACCTCCACCGAAACAAGAACTATGGACTACCTTAAAAATATTAATAATAAAAAAAATAAACAATATAGTATATAGAAATATTTTACTACGTTTTTAGAAATCTCCAATATCGTGCTTAATCTCAATGTTCATACTTTTTCGGAATTGAGGCCTTTAGTGTTTAGATAAACGTAGCATATGTTTGGATATACCTATTTGTGGTTGATTAGGTTATTCCTTTCATAAGATTTGATCTGGAGAAATTTGAAAGGGTTGGGGACAAATACAACTAAGCTAAGACTTATTTCTTGCACTATAACTACAACTATTGCTGTAATATTAGCAAAGGTTAACGTACTTCTGCGTCCATCGGTTATGATCTGTTCGCAATCATCGGAATTCTGTGTGATCGGACACTTCCACAGGGCGCCTGAATCCTTGGTTCCTGGCTGTAGATTTTGATCCAGCGGTGCGCCAACCAGTAAACTGTAAGAAGGGTAAGAAAAGAATTGCAGTTTTAGTTACAATGCCAATGTCAGGCTTTTGAGAACCCCTGTTGGCAGTTCGGTGCCTTTCTGTAGCTGAAATCGGAGCAACCGCTCACCCCACACGGATCACGTAACAGCAACGTGTCGTGGCTTGCGGTTACGCTACCATTGCACACCTGGGCCCGGCCATCGATCGCCCGATCGAGAGTCATGCAACAATTGACCGCCGACGCTCAGGTATCGGCGATTGGCGGGCACCTTCGTGGGAATGCAGCAGCATGTGGCCACTGGTCCCGGCTATCTCCACACAAATACAAATTCGAGCCAAGGCAGTGCTGCCTCGGGGCCAGCCATAAATAGACATGACAAAGTGGAGCATAATTTCAAAATGACAAAAGTCATAAAGTGAACAAATTGGGCGACCAGCTTATTCTTGCTAATTGCAATGAGTTTGCGGAACGCTAGCAGTCCTGTAGAGGCGTAAATGCCGCCAGCGTCCGAGTCGTGGGACATACATACATAGGGGGAAGGCCTCACCCACAAAGGGAACTGGCACTGGCACTCTAGCAAGAATCATTAAACGCTATAAAGACAACTTCACTTATTGAGTAACTGACAACGACTCCGACTCGACGGGGGTGTCTTGTTGGCTTTATTTGCAGTCCGAGGTAGTCAGAGACGTTATTAGTGCATGACTGCACAAAATTAAGAAGTAAGTGAATCAACTAAACACTTTTTAAGTGATGCATTCAGTTTTGGATCCATTTCCGTTCATTTTTGACAAGTGTGGAGCTTCACAAAATATTTACCAATTCTATTCCGCAGCACAAAATTCTGGTTATGAAATGGTGCAAATAATACCCTGAACAAAGCAAGGAAGGAGGGCCAAATCAACTGAATAGTATACATGAGCAAACAAACATGGATAGGATATAACTATTCTTTGAGTCACAGATGTGTTGGTTGACAAAAGAAAACTAGTTCGGCAACAGAAAAGGACGAAACAGTCAAACTTTGCTGGTTACATGAAGATAATCGCCTCTGAGTAGATCCCCCCTCCCTTAACCCTTTTAGTTTTAAGATATTCCTCTCTTCTATAAAAATGTATAAGTATTGTTTTTTGGCTAATTTTCATTACGTGTTCATTAAGGTTTCTTTCTTTCAACAACTTCATAAGTTAGTAATATTAGCATAGGTTTTTGAAAAACGAAATGATTATTACTTTAAATATATTCTGGAGTGCCCATTAGGGACTATTAGAGTAGGAACCAATATGTATATATTAACTAGAGTTTATTATAGTATATAGATATATTTAACTGGCATAAAAAACAACAAAAATTTGAATTCAAAATAGCAGCTAATCGCCAAAAATGTCCACTTACCAAACTATCACAAATTACTATATATAAAAAATATACGAGATCGCTTGTTTTATCGACACAACTAATTTCGAAACAGAGGTAGGCGATCAAATAAGTTGAATCGACAAATAAATTGGTTTCATGCTAGCTGCAAAAACGCGGAAAATTGTTCCCGCTTAAGTATTAACAATATATTTTATATAATTAAATACTCATTCGATTTGTAATTGTTTTTTATTATTAATAATAATAATAATTTGTAAAACTACTGCTGCTCTTTTCAACTCAGTCAGCTGTTTTAGGAATCGATAATATCATTTAACGGATGTCGGAGCATGAAAAAAATAAAACGGACATTTTCCTAAAAATGTATGCAAAGGGCAAGAATTTGTGGAATTAGGCCACGACTATTTAGTATCCAGTTTTTGACGCTCCTGAACTAGCTCGCGCTCGGAACATACACAGTTCCTGTGTGGCTGCGCCCATCGGCCAACTTGGTCCGAATCGATTTGTAGGCGGCACTCGCTGGTTTTAGGTTCAATGCACTTTTTTGTAGGGGCTTGGCACTGCCAAAAAGTAATTACCTTTGCGCACAAATAACTACCGGCATGCACACGGATATGTGTATGTATGCACAAACAAGACATATACATATGTAAATACATCTGTGTGTGCGTGTGTGTGTGTATGGGCGCTATAAAAGCGCACTCAACTGGGCGCTGGGCGCGTCGTCATCACATCAAAACGAAACAAGGCATAGAGAGAGAAGGAGAGGAGAGGGATGTGACTAATGAGATGGCAGGCAACGGCAACGGCCAAAAGCTTCACCCACGTTTTGTGTGTTAACATGAAACTTCATTATCCTCCTCCTCAGCAGCAGCAGCAGCTACCATCATCACCACAATAATAATAGCTGTGGACTGTAAAACAACAACAACTGCAGCAGCAGCAGCAATAACTGCAACAACAACAATTACTACACGTACATGGTAACAGCGCCGGGGCAGCGTGTTTATGGCTGCCATACGAGCCTGTAAAGGTGGCAAGCGTTTGGCTATTAAGTGGCACCTACACCCACAAACAACAGCAATTTTATTTAGTGCCCAACAACACCAACAACAAGAATATTGCAAATACAAAATTACCAAAGCAAGGCATGTCCAAGCCATCATTTTTGTCGCCTTAAAATGGCAAAACGCACACACTTGGCAACACTTTTCTGTTGGCAACACTTTTTCTTCTCTTCATCTCTTCTCTCAACTGGTTAGAGCTGGAGCTTTCAAGGGCCTACTGTCGTTTGCTGGCTAGCGCGGAAAAAACTTACTCCGCCGGCGTGGTTTGCAGAAGGATCTAGAAGACTCTTCAAGGAGCGGAAATCAGTGTTATACACTTTCTAAAAACGTTCGAAGCAATACTCGTACACATAATTTTGATTTTTCCGAGGAGTCTGGAGCGATCAAAAGATATCAGAATAGCGACCAAAAGATAAACAATAATTGGTTAATCAGCTTTTCAGAATGTTGCATGCAAAATCGGGAATGGTGTGCAACAAAAAAAGAGTATGCGCTTGGTTTTTTCAACAACATCCATAGTTTCAAGTCTACTATCGCAGACTGGCGGTATATAATATTATTATATTATATTGAATTGCTGTCGGATATAGAGATGAGGTTCCTAGCTGTTCAGCCAAAAGTGGCCCCACATGATTACAATGGATGCAAATTGTTTATTACCGCCCTACCATGGACAATTTTTAGTAAACCTAAGCTGCTGCTGGCTCCTAAATGTATAAAATAATGAAATACTATGCTATATACAAGTATAAATACAATATTTTGGTAGAACATTTTTGGATGAGGCGGGGAAAAAAAACGTAAAGTAAAGAAAAGTACCTGCAGAAGGAGAATTTCATTTCCAGGACAACTGTGCAACTAGACTTGAAAAATACAACTCCATATGTACATCTAATTCTGTTTTTACACGGTGGATTGGTTCCAGAAAAAGTTGTGTAAAAAAATAGTGTCAAAAAAGACATTGATAATATATTATTTTGAATCGTGCTAAATGGAATAAAGTCGTGCAATCATATATAAAATTTTTAATTTCCAAGTCGTGTTAAATCAAAACCGAGTAAAAAAGAACCGTGTAAAAGCTGAATTAAGTGTATGTACATTCAATAGGGCGCGCAAAGGTGTGAAATCCTTTACGAGAAGCGCCTCTCGCCCAAACTTGCAGAAGCTCAGAAAACCACATATATAGTATGTATATGTGTGCTCTTCGAATGCATAGACTGTAGGAAGAATCCGGAGAAATCTATTATCTCCCCCCCCCCCCACTAGCTCTGCAAAGCAAAATGGCAATTGATGCGGGCAAATTTTTTTACAAGCTGCGCTTGAACTCGGGTCAACTGCCCTTTTGCCTCTTCAAGCTACTACCACTGCCAAATACCAAATGGTAAGAGAAGTGGCAACTGTAGCTGCTTTATGTCAGGCAGCGGTCACATCACGTTGCACGTTTTGTTGGTGTTATTGTTGTTGTTGTTGCTGCTGCTGCTCCTGCTGCGATTTGGCGCTCGTGCGCTCGTGTTTCATGGGCCTCCCCTTGCCGGCGCCCGCCGCCCAACAACCGCCCAAGCCGTCAATTACAAAAAGCGACACTAATTCGGCACGCCAGCTTCTACACATACACACAACCACCACATCTACATAATAAGTATATATGTATGTACATACAACGAGAACCACAACCAGGTCCAAGTCCAAGTTGCGATAATCGACAGAGGCTAGAGAGTCGCACAGACTGCGCAGCAGCATTAGCTTGGGCCGATATTTGTCTAGTGGCCATTATTGACACTGCGCATGCGCGCCTGGAACCCAATCCGAGTCCACTGCGATGGCCTCTGCAGCCTGCAACTTCAGCCTCATTGGTTTTATGGCCTTCGTGTCACGTTTCTGTTAATCTCGCCCTACTGATGTTGCCGTTGTTGTTGTTTTTGCTTTCCTCTACGACTGTTCTTGGCTGCCCATTTCATGTTTTTAGTTGTACAAATATACATACTTGTACAAGTATATCACTTGAAGTCATTACTCTCTCTACTGTAGGTTATTTCTCGGGCGCGTGTCTACTACGAACTAACACTATTGCAATAAATCAGTCTTTTCTAACCCTCTCCTACACCTATTGTTTTTAAAAAAATATTAAACCGTTGAAGCCGTCATTTGCTGGTATTATACGTATAATAACATATACTAGTATTTATGAAAATATAAAATCGATTTTCGCATTAAAAATTAATTCAAAGAGTGACTTGAACTTAAATTGTCTTTAAATCATGTTTTTTTTAATCTTTATCTTTATTTAAGATCTGTCCTAAGAAGGACAATTACTTAATTGTATAGAAACATTCAAAAATTTGCCAATCATGCGTTGATGGTTGTAACGTGGTCTTTAAATAATAATAATCAAATAACAAAAGACCTATAACCATCCAATTTTGTCCAAATGATATCAGGATTGTCTCATAGTCCATATGAATAAGTATTTATATTTATAATTTATAGTGTCGTTAAAAATATTTGGACGTTTTAAACTGATATGATAGTGTGCATAAATAATTGTAAATAAGTAAAAAGGC